CAGATATTTGAGGAACAGATCCAATGAGTGCCCCTGGTAAAAGGAACATTCAAGGACATTGCGGTTGCCCTAATCTTAAAAAAAGGGACGATTTTAATATATTTACTTCGCGCATTTTTTAAATTCTTAAAGAACCAGGCACAGGCCAGCTTATCTTAATTGTATTTAAATTTTATTCATACTATCATTGTAAATATTTTTTCTCTCTTTTAATCGTTATATATTTTATATTTTAGTATATTTTTAGTGTAAATATTTGACATAAATTTTATTTTTTTAGTTAGTAACACGTGAAGAGCCACAATGTGGAAACCCTGTTACTAAACCGATTACTTACTTATTTTGGTTCCAAAAGAAAAACACCAGCGCCTGGGCGGAGGCTGTAAGAGCAAGAGTTTAAATGGGATTAGAAAGTTGATAGTAAATCGTCTTACCCGTTGTTGCAACGAATTAACTACCATTTATGGGGTAACTGTTGTACTCTTCAGATGTAACTAACGGGAAACTAAACAAAATACTGTATACTCCTAACAACGCTGGGAACCCACCACCCCTTGCGCTTTTTTGTCTAACATGCGCCCAACGACCTCTAAAGGGAAAATAGATTGTCTGTGAACAGACTACACACACCCAGAACATGGTTGGTAAGAGGCCAAAACTTTTCACTCGCAATAGGTTCAACCGTTTAAACGAAGAAAACTCGGACACCCCAAAGGCTTTACTTGTTATGTTGGCTTGCACTAGCAAGAAAATTATTTTCATTCTCGTACACACCGAGTAACAACTTTTGGTGTGCCGTATGGTATAAACATGCCGCATGTTTTTGCTTCATGTATCAAATTATGGGCGGTTCCATGCAACGAAAAAATCGGTTAGAAATTTTGGAAATTCCTCGTGTCCAATGGAACGTACATTCCAGTTAAACAGACCCAACCCAAGCCACCGCTCGTTTGGTTATTGTTATTGTAAGCAGGATACAAAAGAGCGGTACTGGGGACAACAATTTTCATTTGTCAAATCGGTCCGACCGACCGAAATAACCGGACCGGTCAAAGTGGACCACCTTCAAAGCTGTTCTCGAATATTAGGGTCAGAACAAACCGAAATGGTCCGTTCCAATTGATGTAGCAGTGGAAATGTCCGGAATTTTGGGTTGAATGGAAAACGCTCTATTTTTACAATGTACAACAGCACACATTCCCACGGGACATTTCCTGGCCATCTTTACAAACTGAAGAGCGCAAACTTCTACAAATAGAGACTCTGTAAGGGTCTGTTTACATGGAGGTGGGGGACCCCAAGAAAATGAGGTAACCCGCCTGTCCATATAATCTCTCATTTTAATTTGATCAAGTTTACATGAGAGGTGGGGTGACCCGTTTCATGTTACCTCACATGCGTATGGGGTCCCCCACCTCCATGTAAACAGGCCCTTATTTTAAATATGAAGGCCACTGCTTAGCGCGAAGAAGGGCTTTAAAAGTCAACTTAAACCGAAACGAGTGTGCGACTTGAGGGATGTCTGAAATTCAGACTACCCGGGCATCTGATTTGAAATTGAAAGATAAATAGCCCATTTCCTTAATATGTTAGCAGTTAAGAAGGTGTAATGCTAACTCTGGCAACGCAGAACGTTACATAGCGTCAAAAATGGTCAAAGTTTATCAAAAGAAAGACCAAAGAAAAAGAAAAATCCAGCTTTACTGTTGCTTGAAACAAGCGTCACATCATCCAAGGAAGGCAAAAGAAGAAACACTAAGTTCTGCACCCCAGACTTTGATCAAAAATTAAGGCAAGAGACTCACTCTTTAAAACTACCTTATCAACAGCCCTTAAAAAAGATGCGAGTGGAATTATGAAATGACGACTGAAATCAGCAATGAACACCCGGATTGGGGTGCTGGTCGGATGGGATACATATTGACTAATAAACCAATGACCTTGTAATGAACTTGTTTATGACGGCAAATATTTTGCACTGAAGCAAGATATAGCCGAATAAATGAATAATCACTTTTGTTCCCTTGGTAGTAAACTGGCATCTGGTATTCCCGATACTGTCTTTTAACCAGAGGATGTTGACAAATTGCAAAAGTTGCAAAATAGAGCAGCACGGATTATTACTTGGGCTGATTACTCTATCAGATCATCAGATGTATTAAATTCTCTAAAGTGGTCTAACTTGGAAGAAAGAGGAAAAAGGCACTTGTTAATTATGATGTTTAAAGTACTCAATAGGTAATTGTCCGACGTACCTTCGGGAGCGGTTTCGTAGAACCTCTAAAGTTCACAACTATAATTTTAGGGGTTCAAACTATGTTCCCCAATTAACGCTACCTAAAACGAATTTTATTAAATGCCCATTTTCTTATCGGGGTGCACTGGCTTGGAATCAACTGTCAAATCAAACACGTGGAATACAAGATCTCATTAGCTTTAAACTTGCGATATCCTAAGATATAACGTTTTATCTTATTTTTATTTTTGACTTATTTCTTCTTATTACATTGTATCTAAATTAATCTTGCTTACATAAAACTAGATAGTTACGTTAATAGGAGTCGATAGGAACAGATATAAAATTGAAAATCTTAGTGCTAAAGTATTGTTAGTCACTAGTTTAAATATTTATAGCTTGTAATTGCTACACCGCATATCTGAAAACCAGCTTGCTGAGCCATTTACCGTGTTTAAATAAAGTTGATCTAATTGAACTGGTCGAGTGGGGTGCCGGTCTGGTACGCCTCCTTTGGCTGCGTGAAGTACACCCTTCTAGGGTTTTTAACCAGTTAGCAGAAATGCGTCGGATGCTGAAAATGCCAAGTTTGAAAATGATTTGTTGAAAAGTAACGAAGATATAGCTTTGCAAAGGTGCGAAATTTTACAGATGTTTGTTTGGCGGTTGCCAAGTTTGTTCCCCCTTAACATACCTAAGCCCATAACATTCTCGCTCGACTCAAAGTATCACTTTCAAACTTGGGTACGTTTACTGATTTTAAACCAATCTTTTATCTTCACAGAAGGTGACGAATCAGACATGTTGCTGTTATCAGTGGTTTTGACTTTGCTGTTTACAAAACAAACTTCGGCTGGTGCACGGTGTAATGCTTTTTCGGGGCCATCAGGTACCACGGCGTGCGTAAAATTTAGAGCGTACAATCGCCATCAATGGGCAACCTGCGCCACGGATGCCTATGTCAAACAACAGTCCCACTATAAGCACTCTTGCTCGAAATCTTCCAGTACATATTGCTGGTACCAGTGCATGCTTGAGAAACGCAACAAGGCATCAGGATTTGTGACAATAGACTGTTCCTGTACCCTGTCACCGGCAACTACGATTTCGCCCACGGCAACTTTATCTTCTGCGTGTTACAGTCCATCGGGATCTGATTGCAACTGGTTTACTAACTGCCTCAAAAAGAAGTACCCATGTAAAGGATCAAGCACAGCCTACGCAGTAACTTACGCCCGTATCTTTTGTGCACTATACGAAGCACATCACAGTACATACAGCTCCACTGGGCAGAACTGGATGAACAGTGCACGTAAGTGCCTCCAAAGTTCTCTTGTACCGCTTCTGCGACCATGGGTCAAGCCAACATGTCAAGATATCAGACGTAAGGCATTGAACTCCCATACGTCATGTTTCTTGAAACCCGACAATCAAACTTCAATATGCAACCTCAACTGCAACGACTACTTCAAAATCTTTTGGACCATCAGAGAGTCTTTCGTTGGTGGACTGGACACAGCATGGGAGTCTATCAGAGCAATGTGGAATGTAGGGATTGACTGTGGTGCTCAGAACATTAGCCAGTGCTTTGAGCAGGCAATTAAAAGAAACATGTGGATTGTCAAAATAAGGATCTCAAGGTTCGACAACCGCTCCGTCGCCTTTCCTTACGGCGACGCTAGAAACAGACTTGTGGACAAGATCGGTGCAAGTATTGCCAAAAGCCTTAACTGGAACACAAAGTTCATTGGTTGGTTGGCATTCCCTGCAGAAGAATCGAGTTTTGCTTCTGGAAGCCTAGATATCATTCTAGCTGTTGTAGACAAACCGGCCCTTGGTATTGTTCATGCCGTCTTACTTTATGTCGATTTCGACTACATTTTCAACAAATTTGCTTGGAACATGAAACGAGGAACACTTTCTTTAACAGCCGTTGATGGAATCCGTTACTGGGTTAAGTCACTTGACATATGCTCTGACAAAGCTTGTATTACAACTACTCCCTTGGCAATTGCAAAACGGCCAAATTACGATGATGACAAGATTCACAGAAATATTGCTACTGCCTTATTGCCTAAAATCGCTACCCTTAACGGTCTGGCTTCAGCAGCAGCAGTGATCCTTTTAAACTTTGCAGCTTACTGACAGACTCACTACTCTCGGTTTATATGGACAAAGAACTTAATTTTTCCGGAGAAATCTTCTTTTTTAATTTAGTTTTTTAAGCTTAACAAGTTGTCATTTCTTTGTTTAGACCGTCGAATCTGAATGCATTTCTTTCTTGTAGCTTTCCTGGTATTCATGTACGTTGAACGCCCTGTTGAGTCATCACTCTTACCATGAAAAGGACGCTTTTTTAAATACCGGGGTCAATTTAATAAAGCGTTTACAAGTGTAGCTATTGTTTTCAGACCCGAAAACAATAGTTACAGTTGTAAGTTACACTTGTAAAAGTTTTATTAAATTGACCCCAGATGTAAACGGTAAGTCAGTGATCAATCTCCACTCAAAGGTACCTCATTCTAAATTAAGTCGCTGCCGGGCTAAGATGTCTACTTCTCTAAGAAACCTGTCCCTCAGCTTTCCGAGCTGTTGGCCCTTGCTCAGCACTGAATGACAATGAGTAAAATACGCTACATGATGTATGTCGCTAAAAGTCAGCACTGAAAACGTTGATGAAAAATTCAGGTGTAAGCTATCCACCTTGTGTTCTGCAAGGGTAGAGTTTGTTGAATTATTGTTCAAAGCGAAACAGAATACAGCATCATTCATCAGAATCTGATGTATCTGAGTCGCTTGAATCTGAATATATCCCAAGACCAGGAATAACCGGTGTTTGCTTCCCTTCTTGATTTTGCTCTGTTTTAGTTTTAGCTTCATTGGCAGGAAGTTGATCCGTGGTTTTATTTTCAACTAAACTTGTGTGTCGTTGCTTGGCTGATGCATTTTCGTTTTCCTGATTATTGCCAACAGCTGTATGATCTGAAAAACATTAAATTATTTCAAACATTGAAACCAGTGATCTTGTAAAATGAGCAACCACTGCAATGCAATAAAAGTTTTAAAATAATTTCTTCTTATAACTAACATCATAGAGGGAGTCACCGCCCTCAGTTCAACTCCTGTAATGATGACCTTTTACTTTGTGCTGTGAAAGCACAGGACGTCTACAACCCAAGAAGGGTTTCAAGCCGGGCAAGACAAGTATCAAAACTTTAATGCTTGGAAACGGGGTTCACAGTCACCCTTCTGGCGGAGAGCAGAGAAGCAGGCTGTGTACATGTTGGCACATTCACATTTCATGTTGGGTTTGATACAACTGAATGCCGAAGATAGCAAAGAGTACAACATACCTGTGAGACAAAGAGGAATTATGCTTCAAAGCTTGAAATAACATGTGAAACATAACAGTGCCACACTTCAATTTACTTGACATCAGGAAAACAACCTGACATTAAGTCGGACTTCTGCACATTAACCTTAACAGGTGCCATAGGCAGTAAAAGACAACTTACTTTCTTTAACCTCCTCACAAACTTTTGTCCTCTTTTCTGGCGATGTCTTCTCACTGTTGCTATAAAAAGAAAACGAGACGTTTAGGTCACAGCAAAGAAAGACGCACACAAGCTAACTTGATCTTTCCTGAAAGAAGCCATGTAAAAAATGTACAGTCATATTTTCCTCTCTTCTCCTAAGATGGACCATATTTTTTGAAGAAAAGAAAAATTAAACTATATCATAAGCTACTGCAATTATTTTCTTTCAATGTTCATCAGATCATCAAGAATAGATGCTTTTCAACTGTGATGAAAAAAAAGTTTAGCAACTGGAAGGTGAGGTTTTTTTAATCACCATCTGAAGGTCGGACATAATGGCTGAGTTAAAGGCTGATAAAAAGTACATAATTACTGGCTCCAAGGCAGACAGCAAGTTTGTTTCCCTGAGATCCTCAACGTTTCCCTGAGAGAACATTGGGAATCAAGAAAAAAAAAACTTGATGTTCCTTTCGAGTCACATAGATGTTCTAGGACTTCAAGGTGCATGACCTGATCACATGTGAGTGAGTTTTGATTTGCCCTAGGATTAGTTAAGAAGTCTTGACACAGCGTGTGACACACTCTTGCCCATTGGAAAACATTCTTGAGTTAAGAGGTAAGAAAACGTTTCAAAGAGCAATTTATAATGTATTGCTTCAAAGCCATGGTAAGTGAATGCACCCTGAGTTTTTTTTTCTTGTTTCATCGCTTTCTAAATCAATTCATCCATTCCTTACTTTGTGTTCCATCATATAAAAAAAGAAACATTTCTATTGTTATTTTTACAAACAACAGGACATTTTCAGAACAAAAAGCATGTTTCCTTATTATTAGCTGTACCATGACTATCACAAATCATCAGAATAATTATATACATGCAAAAAGGGACAATGTGTGGTCTTTCCTTATAAAGAGTCTTAGACTGTAAGCAGTCTCTCCTTTTCATCAGATTTAGTGAAGGCAGTGCACATGCTTGTGGTCATTTTCATATCTTCCACATTTGGCTGGACAGACTCAAAAAAACGAGAGACTGCTCATAGTCTGAAAGAGTCTTAAATATTTTTAATTGGCAGTTCAAATCCCCACAGAAGCAATATATACTCTTCTTCCACATCCTCTACTTTTGTTTTCATGTTATGTTGTTTCCACACACCCACATAAGTGCTTTATTTGCTCTGACAAAATCCTACAAAGTAACAAGACATTGGGTGTCCTATGGCAACAAACTCAAATGGCTGGGCTAAGACTTGAAATGTCACCTTTTGACCCTTTTTGTGGTAGTGCAGCCACGTAAATTAACTTTCTTCTGTGCGAGCAGGGAATTTTTTTTAAACTCAGTTTAAACTGAACTAACTTCATTTGAACCTCACCCATTCATTCATTTGTAAATGGCCTTTCAAACTATAAGGGAAAGTTCATTTAATATGACAAGGGGGGGGATGAAGATATTGAAACTCGAAGCTTGAAATTTTAGCAGCCCCCCTCGCTAAGCGGTTCAATTTTTTAGGAGCCCCCTCCTTGGTAGTCGAAAAAATTTCAGAACCCCCCCCTCCTCCTTCAATTCCTTTGCTCCCCTGAAAAAAGATCGCTAGACTGTATTAAATATATTTACCGTTATTGTCTTCAATGGTTTATACTATGACAAAGTTGAGATACAGTTGTGATACAATTTTCTAAAGCATTTTTGGGATGAACAAGAGTGTAATAATTACTGAGACTACATTTGTTATATCTGTAAACCACGTGATATAGCTGAGTTGCACAGGTCATTAAATTGTTGAGTTGAAAACCATCCGATCTGTATGATGATGTCATGTGTTGGTTTTGAAGTATACAAATTTTCGGAGCCCCCCTTCCTAGCGCAACAATTTTTTCAGAGCCCCCCCTTCGGGTGTCTAAAAACTTTTGGAGCCCCCCCTCAATATCGTCACCCCCCCCCTTGTCATATTAAATGAACTTTCCCTAAATGCAGGTCAAACCTACCCTTTCCTTTTTATTGCTCCTGCAATTAGTTGTAACTGGGATTTTTTGGTGCCAGACTCTTGAGAAGATTTCGTATTTAATACTGCTGACCCAGGCAGTTTGATGTCTGCAGGCACAGCTACTGTACTTTGAAACTGAGAAACTGCATCCTGCAGACCGAAGAAAAACGACAGAATTTGTAATGATTTAGTTTTAATTCAGTTTGGAGATTTATTTCTCACACTTGGAATACACATACCCCTGTATAAGACTGTACAAGAATTTTATCAATAGAGCACTTCACTCACATGAGCAGTAGCTATGCAAATTCATTATAACAAAATAATGAATGTGTTTACATAAGAAAAGAGTTCAAATCCTAGTAGATTGGCTTGGTACACCAATATGGACACCAATTCACTGTGTTGGAACACCAACATGAGGAGAATGAAATTTTCTTTGTGCAGTCAATTGAATTTGTCAAACAACTCACGCAGATGTTAAATATAGTAATGGCGGTACAAATGGATGGGCTAAAGAGAAAATCCTAATGGTTCCAAATTGATAGCTGCTAACGTACCCTATATTCTCTTATTTCCTGAGACTCTTCATTAAATCTCCGACTGGCTATTTCTTCTTGCTGTTTAGAAACCAGGTCAAGGAATAGTGTTTCATCACTATCAAGACCTCGTATCATGTTTTCTGAAAGAAAATACCAGTGATTAATACAATCATGAACATCTCTAGGAGACAGCAGCAACAACAGTGGGGCTAAAAAGCTGGTCACAGGTTAGCTCACAGGTCACTTCATGGTTGGTTAGTGAATGTGACTTTTATTCGTGAGTTGCAAAGAATTGCAAAAAAACCATGGGGCCCACTTAAAATACCTTTTGGTGTGAACTGGTTCATATTGTTTAGAGGGCTTGCTGTGAGGAAAAAGTTTCAGCCATAATTATCACACAATTGGTTGGTATACATACTCAGCTGATGCTGTTCATCCCATTCATCTTGCTTTTTCTGTTTCTGTTCCTGTAATCGCTCATAAAGAGTCTTATTGTCATGGACTTGTTCAGGACACTCTGGCAAAAAAAAGAACCTACACTTGTCTGTTTTCATATGCTCATAGCATAAAATACTTTACTGGGGCCACTGCATCCTCAGAGACCCAGGGGCAGATAGTGGGGACGAGGGAAAGTTTAAACGGGTGGAAAAATATGGCACGAAGAAAAGTAAAGAACGGCGAGAAGAGCCCCTGGGGACAATGTCTTACCAGACCAGTTCCAAACGGTCGCCACCGTTCTGGCTTCTGATTGGTGCCAGAAAAACACAAGTTTTCTGGCACCAATCAGAAGCCAGAACAGCGGCGACCGTTTGGAACTGGTCTGGTAAGACATTGTTCCCAGGGGCTCTTCTCGCCGTTCTTTACTTTTCTTGGTTCCATATATATTTTTCCGCCCGTTTAGACTTTCCCTCGCCCCCTTTATCTGCCCCTGGGTCTCCGACGATGGGGCCACTGCAACTGTACGCCAATTTAATTGCATACAGGCGTGTACATGTAGATCAGAAATGGGCAATAACACTGATTTTTGTACGTTGAAGGCTCATTTTATTCTGAAATGGCCATTCCCTTCAAGAGGTTACCAAAGGAGATCCGTTTTGACTCAAGTGCAAAAAGCTGAGATTTTATTGCAGAAGAGCTAGAGGAGCAATATTCATGTGATGAAATGCACTATTTTAAACTGGCTATGAATATAGTCAACTCTCCACCACATGGACATCTTTGGTACTGACACTATGTGGTTGTTTTGCAGCGATGTTCATCTTACTGAGAGTCAGCTCTAGGTGTTTGTTTGTATGAGATGTCTGTCTTATGGAGACATCTTTTAAGAGAGAGTTTACTTTTAAATGAACATGATCTACACAGTAGAATGAACAACCTAAGTGGTTGGAAAAGTACTTGAAAAAAACAGGCTTGACCAGGAACTCACACCTTTGCAATGACCAAACGAAACACTCTCTTCTTGGTCAAGCCTGAATATTTTCAGGTTCTTTTTCAACCGCTTAGGTTGTTCATTCTACTGCAAAGATCATGTTCACTTTCATATCTTCATCTGCAGTTCAAAATAGGATTTATTTCAGAGAGGAAATCTGTGAACACTTTGTTTACAATTGCATCTTTTGCCAATAAAGTTAAATAACGACTTAGTACTTACCAAGAGGATCATCTTCTTTTCTTACTTTCTCCCACTCTTTTTGTCGTTTTTCACGTACTTCGTCAAGTTCGGCCTCAGACACAAAGGAAACACCACTCATGTTTCACACAACCTTCATCAAACTGCAGTTTTTGTCAGGAGTCTCGTCAGAAAAGCTTTGGGGGCCTGGGGGGAGCGCTTGAGCCTGCGAGCAGTACTCACTTAGAAACAAAATGGCGGATAGAATTTTGCTTAATGCGACGAAAGGGAAACCTAAAGCTTTGAGTATTTGTAACAAAGAACTGAGAAGTGTTCCAACATTAATTGGAAAATTGACGTCTTTAAAAAATGTGGACTTAAAGAACAATTTTTTAACAGATCTTCCTCCAGAATTTTCCTCGCTTAAACAGGTGACAGCTTGTTTAAAATGCCCTAAATGTAAACATAACAGTTGAAGTAATTTAAAACAGTTTTGTTTTCTTTTAAGCTGGAATCTCTTAACTTTGGAAACAACAAGTTTGAAGATCTTCCAGAAGTTCTATCCTTCCTGTCTGGTTTACAGAGATTACATCTCTTCAATAACCAGTTAAAGAAACTCAACTCTGTGGTTTTAAGTGAGTAAAGGACTTGAGACCAGTGCAATACATTCATTAGCTCCCCCAAGTAGGATTTTCAGAATTAAATTTTAAGGAGTGTATGAAAGGAAAAGTAAGGAAAGTAGAAGACCGAGTGTAAGGTCATTTTTCCTTACTTTCATTTCTTAGTCTATTTTGGGACTCTCTAATGGATGGTCCACAGATGGGGTGGGGGGGGGGGGGGTAAGAGATAGTCTATGGACCAGTTTGTGGAGTGGTCCACGGACCAGCGGGTCTTAAGTACAGGACACATTCCTTAGGTCAAGTAGCTCGTGCCAGGCTCTCGTTCACCCTCTCTCCCTTGCATTCACACAGGTTTTTATGCTTTTTTTTTTCGATCCGTTGTCTCCACTATCTTGGAGCCTGGAGCAGGCTATAGGTCAAGTAGCATGCTGAATTATACTCTGAGCTGAAGAATGTGTGACCTTTGAATTAGAATAACCTGCAATAAGGCATTATAATTTTTTTCTGGGAAAGTGGAGAAAACAACACTTTACGCATTTACTTCACCAGTCATCTGCCACCCCCTAATTAAGCCATCTATCAACATTTCATGTGGGGTTAATTTTACCAGAAATTCAAGTAGTTAGTAATAAAGGTTGATCAGAATGTATCATTCTACTTTCCAGGCAAGTGGTAAATTGGTAAAGACCAATTTGCACTGCTGTTATTGTTAATCTTGCCTTATCATTTGCCGTTTTCACACTAGAGACAGATACAGTACCGCTCAAAAGTAAGTTGACACTCGATGCTTGAAACTCGAGACTCGATCCTCGCGTCTCGAAGCTCGAATGCTTCGAGATGCGAGGATCGAGTCTCGAGACATGAGGATCGAGTCTTGAGTTTCGATGATTGAGGATCGAGGATCCAAGAAGCGAGGTTTTCCGAAAGATCGATGTTGTACAGTCACGTAGCCGTTCAGATATTCGCACCGTCGATCAGTGCTTTTGGTGCGGTGTTCTGTAACTGTTTGAGTCGTCGGGGTTCGCCAAGCTTTGAATAAGTGTAAATCAATGTTTTCATTTTTGAAGATTTATCCTGCATGTACAGTGTATGTAGCCTTTGCTTGTCACATTCCGAGTTTTTCACAGGTGAACGGTGCGCTCGGCAAGCTCAAGCTTGTCGCGGTTTTATGCAAATCTTGATGAAGATTACGACATTTGAGTTGTTAAATTTGCTTGTTTGTCAAACTTCAACTAAAGGCGGCTTAGGAGATGTAGCCTTTTACTCGATAATTTTATTTGAAAACTCGGCGATTCCGTGGCTTGTCGCGCTTTTGGCATACGTAAATAATGTTGATAAAGTCATGAGAAACTACGTTCGTTCTAGAGAGCGAAATTTTCATGTGCGCATTTTAGTCGATACCTTGGCTTGTCACGCTGTTACTGTATGTAAATATGCAAATCTACACGTAGTCACACAATAATTGCATGGAAAACTTTATTTGTAACAAAGAGCGACTTTTTCTCGAGCATTTGAGTCATTAAATTTTCCATTAGTCAATTTCAACATAATTTATGTAACCTTTCATTGCCATGCTCATTCGAAAACACGGCTCAGCAACTCCGTGCGTGAATTATAAAACTGGCTGTTATGCAAATCTGGCTGATGTCACTAGAAACTTTGTTTGCTGAGGCGAGATTTTAACACACGAACATTTGAGTATTGAAAACAAAGGTCCAAACTCGTTTCGTGCAAACGACAGAAAGTGACAAGGAATGCACGAGCCTAGCACGGGTACTCTGCAAAAAATCGGAAAAGTAGTTGTCACATGATTCGGAGTTTGACAGACAGACAGACCCCGTGGTATTGATTTGTGAGATAGATAAGATCTAGTTTTTGGATCGAAGCGTGTGAATCTGTGATCTTGTTTTGGAACAATTAAAGAAGATTTATGGTTGAAAAATTTGGTTTGAGTACAATTATCTACAGAGTCGTTTAGTTATTGTTCGCTTTCAAACAGAGGCTCTTTTTACCGCTAGCCTGACGTAAGAACGATGGAAAGTCAAGAAGAATTGCGGCTGTATACTGTGCACGAGCGATATTAATATGGGCGTTTTTAGTATGAGTTGTTTCGTTGTTGTTTACTTTTTGAAAGCTATTACGTATATGTATCTCGCCTTCACTTCTAAAAAGCAAGTTTCAAAAGGACTATTAACAGGAGACCAGAAGCGAACATTTTTGCTTTCAAAGCGCAAGCTTCGTTGACCCCTGGGTTATGCAAAAGCAAACGAGTCTCACCCAATACATGGAGCCGTGATTTTTAGAATGAAAGGTAAGTGTACACTTTTAGAGAGATCGCTTTCTCAAATCAAAATGTAAAACTCGATCCTCGATCCTCGATCATCAAAACTCGAGACTCGACCCTCTAGACGCGAGACTCGATCCTCGAAAGTTTTGAAAATTGAGAATCAAGTCTCGCGTCTCAAGGATCAAGACGCAAGTGACTGTCAACTTACTTTTGAGGCGGTACTGTAATCCATCTTCAAAATCTGTCAAAATTGACCTAAAAACAGATAGATAATGTCAGGCAGATTGTCTGTCCAAAATTAAGACCATTCCATTTTCAAATCGTATTATTTGTCTGACGCGAATTATCCAACAGATAACCCATCTCATACGGATAATCCATCTCTAGTGTAAATACTGTACAGCTATTGACGTGTGGTATAATTCCTTGGAAACAATATTAATAGTGGAACAACAGAATTGTGTGTTTTACTGGAAGTGATGTGTAGAGTAGATGATCAGGCATCCCTTTCTCCTTGTCTCTCATACAAAAAGAAAAGAAGGACCGCCTGAACACAGGTTAATTTTAGAACTGTCATTCACAGACCCAGTCTATTGGAAGGTTCTGTGGACTGGGGTAAGTTTTTCAGGATTATCAATTGAAGTTATACCTGATAACTGGACGAAAAATTCCCTCATTCTAATATTGTGATCTCTAGGTGGACTTCAGAAGTTAACATTTCTTAATCTGAATGGAAATCAGCTACAATCACTACCTAAAGAAATAAACAGGTACTGAGTGTCAGAGCAAGGTCATCATTATATTTTGCTTTCTCTGAGTAACATCAGTGATCTGTAATTTCATCTTTCACTATTAAAGTAAGAGAACAATGAACAGTCTGAAGAAATTGAATATTTTCCGCAAGAACCACCCTCCCCCAAATTTGAAATATGCGGTAACCTCTTGAGCTTTGCCTTTGCCTATCTTTGGCACAAAATTTTTCATATTGATATTTTGGTTATTTTTTGGTAAATTGCAGACTGGTGTCATTACAGTTTCTCAGTGTGGATCATAATCAACTGCATAGCGTTCCCACCGAGATCTGTCATTTGATCAATCTTGCAGAGTTACATCTTGCTGACAATCAAATATCAAGGTAAATTTAGACACTCTAGGCATGTGACAATAGACGAAGCCAAGTTATAGTGATGTAAGGTTGATTTTGAGCTTCGCTTAAAATATTTAATTCGACGCGCGCTGTATTTAGGTTATCGCATTAGAGTAGCTGTTGATTGATTTGTACGCCAGTATATATAGTAACGTCACGACAGCATTTGTCAGTTTATTAGCAGATCGTGATAGTTTGCAAAGTCAAATCTTTTCCCCTCCCTTCCCACCCAGTTGTCTCTGGGTCGAGAGGTTCTTCGGTGGATAAATTTTCGCCTTTTTTTGTTTCTATCTTTTGTTATTTCACTGAATAAACCTCTCATTGTGCCAAACGAAAAAGGTGGTTATTCTTTTTATGTTTTAGTTATTAATCTAGAGCAACAGGAGAATTCCCTCTAAATTGCATTTGACTCAGGAAATGTACTTTATGTTTTAATGAATTATAGCCTTCCGGAAGATGTGGCATTTCTAAGGAATCTTACAAAACTGTATGTGTACAAAAACTTGATTGAAGAGTTGCCAGAGGTGAGGTGTTACTCATTACCCAATTCCATTCAATATCTTTTTTTATAGTCATAGTGGCATTAATCTTCTTTCCTGTATCTCATGCTGTATTGTAAGAACCAGTTAGGTATCTAATTTCTGGCTATGCCCGACATCTTATATCAATATTTTTTTTCTTATTGTTAGTGCACATTAGTTTGTGCTTGTAATGTTTGGAGTTAGACTTAGTTTAAGGTCAGTATACTGTAGGGGAAGAACCCTGGAGATAGGGGTGTGCCACCCCAAGCTCCAACCCCTTACCCTTTTAACTATATACCATTTTTGACAGAAAAGTTATGCCTTTCGTATACATTCTATTGACAAATGGTACCCCTCCCGGATACCTAGTTTACAACTTCCATTCCTATCCCTTTTAACTGCTGTTAATGCACTGTCATTAAAAATGAACAAACACAAATCCGAACATTTTGTCAACTTTTTCACAGCCATAAAATGTATCTGTTTACCTTTTTGGGCCTTTTTACCAACCAAAATGACAGATTTTCCTGCCCTTCCATATACTGAAAGAGTAAAATCCCTACCCTTTCATATACCTGAAGCCTGAAAAAGGTACCCATTTTGGGTGGAGCCTCCCCATATAGGCCATTTTAGAAAGTTTAATTTTTGCCCTTGTTGGCATTGCCTTCCCAGTGTGATCCTAAGATAGGATACCTAAGGGTTACCTAAAATGTATCTCCGAAAACTCAAGGGTGTAAATGCCCAGCTATACAAGAGACAAATTTTTTGTCTAAACTGGATTATTTCTTACAGCATTGGGAAAGCGATTAGTTAGTTAGTTTTTGTTATTCCCTTTAATATTGTGTCATTTTTCAGATTCGTGCCTTAAATAGGGTATTAATAATATTATTTGATTGTCTCATCTTTAAATTGGATCTGGGTTTAAGACCCTGGGTGGAGCCTCCCTGTAAAAAAATTTTCCTTGGTAACCCCACCCCCCTTCCAAGCACACACTACAACAAGTTTAAAACTAAGGATGAAAACAGAATGAAGGGATTTGTGGGCAGTGCTCGACATTTGTTGGGTTGTGTGGGGAGAGAAATGCTATGGGCCTGCAGTAACTGGCTCCATGTTGTTGTGGCTGCTCAACGAACAACAGGTTAAGCTATCTGAACATAGGTAGTAACCTTGAGGTTATCGGTTGAGTAAATTCATTTTGAGAAGTTATGAGACTTTGTACTCTTTATTGGTGAAGATAAAAGTGAACTTAATGTAGTTTTGTTTAACAGGGCTTGTCAAAATGCACACAGCTCAGAGTACTGGACGTGTCAGCTAACAGATTGCGGATATTTCCAGCTGAGGTGTGCCTTTTCTTTTTGGTTTAGATGTCATTCTATGAACATTTCTTACTTCAACTTATTGCTCAAGAAGATTTATCAAAGGAGATTAATTGTATTTTGTATTTACAGTATATCAAGATATGGGTTAAGAAGTATATTATACATTTCAAGGCAAATTACAATTACCATTAATAAAACTCATGTAAGGCAATTTTCCATGGAGCATGATCAAATGCGCTTAAAGGTGGACATGTCCTGTTCATTCCCCCCCACCCCCCGCCCCTCTCAAAAAAAACAAAAATGTATTTTTTAACTATGTTGTAACAGAGGAAGATTAGGGCAGCTCAACTCCCCCTCCCCTCCCCTCCCCCAGTCTTTTCTTTCACTGTTCCATGGCCTTTGAAATCAGATTTGATATTAATTTTTGAAACAGGAAAACCTATGAAAGAATTAAAGGTAAAACTACTACCCTTTGTTTTTGAACGTGATAACGTATGATAATCAGTTTGAAACAGAATAAAATTCAAACCAAGGTAAAAACTACCCCACAATATGCACTTTCACAGTTGTAGAATGCATTAAAGAGCTATTTATATAATCTGCACTTCTCACAGTATTCCCTCTTAGACTGTTGCTGCTGTAATGATGTTTCTAGCATGATTTGTTTGTTGTTTCTTTTTTTATTTCTCCAGCTGGCCCATCTTCCTCTGAAGGAACTTTACTGTGAGGAAAACAATCTTCTTCAACACATACCAGTTCACTCTCAACAAGAAGATGAAGTATTGACATTAAAGGTAAGACTGAGAAGACTGTATCAGAAATTAAAGCAACTTGACATGCCATATTCAGTTCTGTAGAGTAATGTGTCGTTAGTTGTCATTGATGGGGAAAATATTTAGTGGATTATCTTGTTTTCTTGTGTGAAAATGATCCCCAAAGTACTGTTATTGCTGGTATTATAAGCTATTGTACTGTTTGTAGTGTTTTGTTCAGTTATATAACTTTACATCTTTAACTCTAACCCTTTTACTTACATGCATATTCTTTCTTTAGGAAATAACCGCAAGATTTGTTTTAAAAGAACTTCGAGATGGGTAAGAGCCATTTATCGACATTTACTGTGCCCTACTCAAAAATAAAAGAAAACAATATGTTTTTAACACTTTCACTCCCAGAATGTGCCCAGTAAAACAACTGACAAAATCTAGGTAAGTCATCTCGTAAGTGTAATCGGTAAGAGGTGTACTTGAATGGTCACATTAATTTTAATTCCTTTTACAGACTCAGAAGTTAGAACTACCTTAAAGCTTTCGTCATTCACTCTGGGCCGGAGTGCAATGATTTTTAAATTTTGAACCCTTTTTACCGTAAATAATAATGAACCTGCAATAACGAAAATTTGTTTCCTGAAGTGAACTAAAATGTTGTTGAATTCTGTGCTGCAGGCGTTCGTTTGTGAAACGTAGCATACGTCACTTTCCCAAGGTACAGGAGATGTTACAGTACGCCAGTGAATGTGCAGTGTGTGGACAGTCCTTTCTTAATACATGGTTAGAGTGTGTACACTTTGTGGACGCCCATAGAGTAAGTAACGACGGTTTGATTCGTCCTGAGACACAAGCTTTTGTAAAAGATGTATAGAGCTTATTTTCTCTTTCATTTGTCTCGCGTCAAATTTCCGAGTCATTTTACCAGCTGTAACATTTTGAGTGTCACATGAGAGTCTTGCTACTATCCAAAATTACTAAGGAAGAAAGATAAGAAAACCGAGGAGAAGCCGAGTTTTATGGTCAAAACTCTCCTTACAAAGCAGTTTAATAACAGGCAGCCGCACTCTAAAAAGAATTGCCCGTAATGCAGGCTCTTGGCTTTGGAGGTCTGACTACAAAATTAGCAAACGTCCATGTATTTGGATGCCACGTCAAAAACTCTTTCTCGTGATTCATTGAGCTTCTCGAACAATGAATAATTGGTGGAGAAAACTCAAAGAAATCGCATGGATGGGTTTGAACCCCGAAAGATTTGGTTTGAGTGTCGGTTTGAAAGTCCAGGACTTTGACCATCAGAACAAGTAGACTTGATCTTCTGATTTTTATTGTTGCAGGTCTTACGTACAAAGACGAAGCCAGGAATAATTCCAATCCGAGGACTTCTTTGTTCTTATAAATGTTTCAACTCTGAGGGTCATGACTATTTTGGCATCGCCTATGTTGGAGATACTTGATGAGGATTTTCATGGAGATAGATTCAAATTCCTTGTCAAGAACTCCAGCCCTTTCTTGAGTGGAATACAAACGGAATAGTGGCGCGGACTGATTGGTTACCGTTTCCGGTCATACCAGGTCCACAGCTTTGATGCTGAGCTTCGAAAAAGAAGAGCCAGTCATTGCCTTTTTATTGGCTTATGCATGCAGGCGTTCAGTTGACATAAGTGTTCTTGTGTATTCGCTGCTTTGAACCTGAAGAAAGTAGGAAGAAAATGGTGTACACTAGTTACACTATTAAGTCACTTTATATCTCTTGCTTGTCAATGAAGCGAAGACAAACTTGACACTGTTAGTTCTTCGGGGACAAACTCGACAAATTTATATAATTGATCTGACAGGTTTGTTGGACCTGTAAGATCTCTTAACCAACTGCCGATTGATTAACGTCACTCAGGGACAATGTTCAAGAAATAGAGAAAACTTCTTAAACTCCACGATTAACATGAATTGTTTTAAAAAGACTTTCATGGCAAGTTTGGCAAGTTTTTTCCCTAACTGTAGCATTTTCGGAAAAATAGCCCGACGATCTTTCGACCCGTTGTTTAATGGCGTTAAATATATTCATTAAAAAATTGAACATTATGTACTTAGTCGAGGCTTTGTTCTGAAAACTTCTTGTTTCCAATTATTTAAGCTGGATACAGAGACAAAATGAATTGTAAACTGTAGACTTGGTAGAAAATCGGAAAGGCGGTTCCATCCTTTTATTTTGCCCGCACAAGTATTTAACTCGTCGCTAATAAAGTCTATTGGGTTGTTTGCTGAGAGGAGGAAGGACTGTTTAAGAATCTTCGATAGCATAGTTGAGCCTAAATGCTCGAGTGTTCCAGACTCATAATTGTTGCTGTTACTCACCCCTCCCCTAGGTAATTAAATCCTTGCAAGGGCGAGCAAAGGAAGGGAACAGAAACCAGACGGCAAAATAATTTTCAGAGCTCTCCCAATGCCACACTGACTTGTGAATTTCATTTTGTGCGAAGCCATGAAACGTAAACGTTTTCTCACAGCGGTGTGAAGCCTGTTCATTCATCCTCTTTACTGACTGTAATTTCCTTTGCAGTGGATGTTATATCGATTGAACATGTTAACCACAAGACTGCCGGAAAACATTGAATAAAATTTTAATGCGTTATTTTTCAAATTGTTTCTGTCTTCATTGAGCTTTTTCATCAGGTAATTATCGGTCGTATTAACAGAGTGATTTTATAACGAAAATAAGGACTGATGACTTCAAAAGATGGTCGTTGGTCGTAATAACGGGGTGGTCGGATTAACGGGGTTTTCAAATAAGAGAATGGATGGACCTTTGTTCGGCCAGAAAAAAGTGGTCGTATTGCAATAAAGGAGTGGTCATCTTAACGGGGTGGTCGTACGGCCTAGTTCCATTGTACCCAATAATCGTTGAATTAGTGTCTTGTTTCATATCACACTCTCTTCAAGTCTTCCCTTGCGGACACCCTGATAATACGGAAGGCAGCTACATCCCTGACAAAAATGAATTACAGCTGTTTGACTGAAATAAACTCCCGCTATTATTCTCGCTCGTGAATAAGGACAACAACTTAAGGTAACCTACAGTGTCCGCAATAAAGTGAGTTGACTGTGTAAACTTTAGTATCCGGTCTTCCTTAACGGTTAGGAGAGGAGAGATCTTAAAGGATGAAGAGGGGAGGGAGAAAAAGAAGAAAGAAAGCCCTGCATAAAGGTATTCATTGAACTTAGCCATTCGGGAGATGGTACAGAAAGGGAAGCGCCCAGTGTAGCTTTTGGGATAAGTGAATTTTAGCCAAAGTTATTTTTAGATCAATTAAACGTTTGGAATTAATCGGAGGTTGATTTCTGGAAAAGTACGTTAACCTTTATTCGATGTTTCAAGAGAAAATATTGAGATATTATGCTCTCTTAAAATATTCTGCATTGTGTCCTTTGAGGCGTGGACTTGATGATGTCAAGCGGACGTCCAAGGAATTAGACCTCTGTTGAATTTCAACCTTTAAATATAACTTTAGTGTAATTCACATAATCCGGCCACCGCCCTAAGATTTCGTCTCTGTCGGACCATTATTCTCTCTTGGCCGTGCCCAAACATCCCTCTCCCTTTGCTGTGTCCACCTTCTCGTTTCTCACTTCCCTTTTCCTCAGGAAAGGCCTAACACTAGGTCTCTCGAGCAATAAGTGGTTACAGATGAACATTCTAGTCTGTTGTACGCTGCGGAAAAGATACTACAAAGGGGCTTATTATCAGTATCGGACTGTTTGGGAACGAACAACTGGTTCTTATTCTGGCATTATGTCAGAAAACATCTCGCAAATGGCCTTACGAATGTTTCTCATTCTCCAGCAGTGAAACAAAGGATTCAGCAGTGAATTCATGAAGAGAATGGTGTGAGTGATATTGAAGGTCGCCTTAAAACGGTCATCACTCGTTCTGGTTACGGCCAAAACAATGTTGCTGATAAGATATGGCGAGTAAAATATAATCATAAACAAAACCGAGTAAACAACAGTGTGAGTTGACGAGCGATATTTTGCAATGTTGATCATTTCAGTCGGATGTTGCATGTGCTGTGCATCGTTGGTGCATTCATATTTTATTTCCTGGGTGTGCTGCGCAATCTGAGTTTGTGACGTTGCTTGGTTGTTCTGTGCAGCATGAAGATCCGTCTGAACCCTGCATCGCTGTCGTTGTATCAAACGCAGTAGCTTAGCATACGCGAACATGGTGACAGCGAAACAAATGGCACCCAAGAGAACCATGCAATAAACAAAACTCAGAGGGTAAACAAATAGTGGAAGTGTTAAAATAATGCTTAGTATCCAAAGAACACCCACTGTCCTTGCAGTAAATCGTAAAGTGACCACAATACGATATCTTACGTTCAGAATCAGCGCTAGAAGCCTATCAATGCTTATAGCAGTAAGCGTTGTCAGTGATGCCACACCTAGGACTGATGCCAATGTCTTGCTTGCATGAGAAGCAATGCAATGAAGCGAAATATTCCCCTGTATTGCGCCAATTTTATGAGCAACGAAAAGAGGCTGAACTATACATCCCACTCCAAAGTCTGTTAAGGCTAGATTACTGAGAAGGACATTAGATGGAGTATGAAGTTGCTGTTTTTTCCACTGCACCGCTATGATCACCAGTAAGTTCAATAAGCATGCTGGCACTGCACAAATCGAGTTGAAAGTAATGCTCACCGCATACGTGATATAGAAATCTTCAATGGCGCTTTTTCTGTATACGATGTAACTAAAACATCTTGTTTGATCCTGAAGTTGGGAGTAATTATTTGCTGCAGTAAAATTCCACTCATTGCTTGAATTATAATCTGCCATTTTATCGGTCTGAGTGAACAAAAGACGTAAGACCGGGTCAATTGACTACGAAAGAGAAGCAGTTATAGTATATTCTGGATATGGCAAAAGAAGAAGAAATTTGTGAACGTATACACAGAAAAAGATTATACGAAACAGTTGGCAACTCTTAACTGGATTGAGGTTTTCTTTACTTGCATGTAAATATTTCCTCAGCTGTGCAGTTTGTACACAACCCAACGGCATACACAAATGAGAAGTCGTGTTTAAATGAAAAACATTTAACATTTAGCTTTTGTGAGCCTGATGCTTTAAGGTTATCAATAGAGGAATTAAGGGTGAAAAGGAACTCTAACCGAGAGAGATAAACGTTAACAGCATTTGTATTTAACGGCCTTGTTAATATCAGTTGTCTTTTTCTTAAAACCACTTTCCATTTAATTACGCAGTTTTGTTAGCTGTAAATCGTGACTCCAGTTAACACCTCAAATACCACTTTATTTTCTTTGTGTCAGTTTCGGTTCGACATTTATTGACGCATCTGTGTTCTTTATTACGCCGCTTTCTTTACAGAGGTGAAACATATTCATTTCTGATAAAAATATGACGTTTCTTTTTAGCACAATACCGCTTGTATAACTCAGTTCTTGTTATCGCTTCCTCGCTACAAGCTGTAATAGCTAAGGCTATTGATAGCAATATTATGTTTTTAAATAGTTTTATCGTTTTCAAGGCATGGTCCCTATTTAAATTCATCAAATACACTGTTCAAATATGTTACACGTTTCATATTAACTTGGCAAATTTATGACATGAGTTGTCCTAACAAGACTTGTAACTATGCCTACACAAACTTCGAATGATTGGTCTTGAGCTCCATTGGTCAACTGTTAAACGCGTTGGAGGGGTGAGTAGTGGTGACAAGCCTACACAGGGGACCCTTGTGAGGAAATTCCTTCTTGGTGTACTCATAGGATGGGTACGATCTAACGTGTGCAAAAAACAAACAAACAAACAAACAAAAAAAGCAATGAGTGCAGTTAAGAAAGTAAGAAATAAACAAAATGTCTCTATTACTCATGACGGTTTACTTACCATTTCAAAAAATTGAGGAAAAGGCAAAATATAAAGTAGTTATTAATAGGGAACTAAAACAAAGGAGTTTTCAAGCGACGCCCGAAGCCTTTTCTTTTAATTGGCCTTAACGCGACCAAATTTGTATCGTTTACCTTCGTACGTACATAGCGGATCTTTACAGACTGAATAATAGTGGTTACCACCTTAGAAACTCTGATTTTATTATATCTCGAGTTAATTCAGTAGCATATGGCCACTTACGACTAGAAGAGAATGCCTGAATTTCCTAATGCTTTCATTTGAATGGTCACCCTACGGCATAATAAACAGTACCACGGGGAAAGTACTGCTCGGTAGCTCTTATTTCAGTGGTCTGTCTCTATAACTATTTCATACACACTCAAAGTGAAGTTGGAAGCACCGTGTGGAGTAACTAAAATAATCATCGCTTCAGTCAAGTATTGTTCGCAACTTTGATACAATTTGTCGGTTGTACCGAACTGTAGTGTTTTCAAGCAGTTACGTGAGCTTGATCCGGCTGTCTTACCCTAGGCACTAAAATAAACATCAATTATGTACATTTCTTTCATTTAAATTTGTGGAATGCCAAATTCAGTGAATTAAAAGAATATGACCCTTTAGTTACCTGTAAGTTAACTTAGAAAAGTTCACGAAAACTTCCTCCCAAGATCCTTGAGGAGGTCTGGGCTCTACTGGATATCGGGAAATGTAACCGCCGTATCCTGGAGTGGGCCTGGTGCTAATCATGAAGGACAAAAAGAATATTTATAACGCTGACTAAAGCACCGTTATACCATTTAGGCTACATGTTTACAATACAGTGTTTTCACTCACATGGCCAGCATCTATGCAAATTTATTGGAACAAAAGAAAGCGATTGCATAAGAAAGGAGTTCAACTCCCACAGGACTGGTTTGGGACACCAACATGGCCGCCGTTTCATTGTTTTGGGACACCAATATGGCCGCCGTGACGTCATGTGAAAAAACACTCTATAGGGTGATTTTTCTGAATTCGTCATGAATCTGGAAAGTTTTGTTACCGGACTAGTTTTGTCGTTTACATTCAGCCTGGTCCCTAGGCGTTCTCTCTTGATCCGTTGTCCGCGCGAAGTTTGGGAGAGAGCGACGAGTATCTCTTGGTGACGTCACAGCTCACAGTAGAGTCCAGGATTGACCGAGCCGAGAATGCCTAGTCACTAGGTTGGCTTACATGCAGATACGGGAATCTTAAATGAAGAGGCTCACAGCGCGAAAATGTAGCCTCTGCTTGCAGGGTTATCACTTTTAAATCCTCAATGTTTTTTTTTACCGTAAACAATTCTTCCAACGAAACTCTGGTGGATCAATTTAGGTTTCTGGGAAACTGCCCACCTACCCCTCCCCTAAGTCAACAGTAACACTTACTTCCCACTTAGGGAAAAATGTTGGGTTAGGGGAGGGGTAAGTGGGCAGTTTCCCAGAAATCTGAATTGATCCCTCTGATTCGACTGAAACATCTATGAATCCTTCCCTTTACTAGCGTAAACTTGACCTTAAAAGTCGATAAGTAATTATGAAGTAACCTAAGAACATACCAGAAATTGTCATAAGAGCTCACTACGTCAGAGGACATAAAAAACAGTTTACAAAACAGCCGCTCTTAGCAAAAAGTGTTTGACAAGCCTTCGTCCAATCTTGTCAGAAAAAACTGATGTAGAGCAAGTACAACCATAACAACTTTCTTCTTCTACATCTTTAGTGTAATTATTTATCCACCATCCACCTGGAAGTCGTTTTAAATTTCTTACCCCGGCGGAAAGCCCTACTGGTTCTCAGAGACTTCCGACTCGTTCCAGGGAAGGAAAAGTTGTGACGTTTTTTTAGACAAAACTCCCTCAGTGATCTACGCTTGAATGGAAGAATTGACGTTTCTGGGCAAAAACGAATAGGTTTCAGAAAAATATTGTTATTCTTTAATACCCTGTTCCAGAGTGAGAGTGATCCTGTTGAAACTGAACACATTCCCGCATATCAAGTACATGACAGCCCTGCTCCTCCCCCGGGCGCGTCTTCTGCATTCTCTAAGCGGTCCAAACTTTTTTTAAAACAACCAATCTTAGCATAATTTATCTACCAGTTTACCCAGATCCAGTCAAATTTATTCAGTTTAGTTTATGGTCTACGCATTTTCATTTCGATAACAAAAACGTTTCTGCACTGTTGACTGTTGTTCCTTGGAACTATTGGTGAACGATGTAAATCGATGTAACTTGTGCGCATTAGATCCTATATTTGAATGCTATTTTGCGCCTAATAAATAATAAATTATTAATTATTATTAACTCACTATGTTGAACGCTCAACTCAGCCAATCGAGAAGCTAAACATTGCTGAATTTAATAGTCTACTATTGTAGGTTTAAGAAGTAAGAATTTATACACGGTCCAAACCGTAAATTTTACCAAGCCTAAAAGCAGAGCTCTCACTTTTAATGGGCCCTTTGTAGCTTGTCCTTCACGTGCTACAAAAACACCATCCTGGACAGCAACAGACTCACTGGGAGAAGACAAACAAAGAAAATTACTATTTTAAATGGCGTCCCTTGCTCTTCAATGTGGCGGATTTGTACCGCGTGAATGACTGGCTACAAAGGGTCTATTACCAGAAATACGAGAGAAGAATCATTATCTTTTTTTGAAGAAGATACCAATTCCAAGGAGGAAGCGTGGCCGAGCGATTAGAGCGCTGTAATTGCAATTCGGAGGCCCTGAGTTCAAGTCCCGCCCTGACCGCTAGTTGGATTTGTTCTCGGTAGTCCCGAGTTCAAATCCTCGACCACGCTTGTAAATAGCCAACTGATTCGACCTCCGACCAGTTGGGATTCTTAACCCGTTTATGTTTGATTTAATTAATTTGTTTCAGGAATTTGCTCGGCCCCACTAGCATTAGTGCTATAAATTCTACCGATGGTAAAAAAACAGAAACTTATAACCCGTGAAAATTCATTTACATATATTAACTAATCTATTAAGCTTATGTGCACTATCCCGCGAGCAGAGACTACTTTTTCGTGTTATCTACTGGCTAACGTGAAGACGGTATGGAGTGAAACGAAGGTTCTTGCACCTAAGCCTCAAACTCTAGCATAGTTGCAATTTTTCTGTGTTTTTGAGACAGTCGATCTTGGGAATGAATAAGAGTCTCCAAAGTTTCATGTTCGTAGTCATATTTTAAAGTCACTATTGATGACTGTCAGTAGGGCACTTACAAACGCATTTTGTTCGTTTCTGATATTTCCATTCGTGGCGTCCTGATGGGCTTGTCGACCTTTTTTACTGATGAAGTCTTCTCCGGCTCTTCAAGACTATCAGAGAAAACGGTACATAGAGCGTTACAGATTGATCACGGATCACGTGTACAGTATGTGGTCCTTGGTCCGGCCGGTTTTACTTTGTGACGTAATTTTGGGGAAGCAATTAAGTTTACAATACAAACGAAACTTTCCGACGGTTTATTGATCTGTTCGCCTTCTTAAGCTCGATTTGAGGTTTTCCTGATGCTAACGAAGGCTGGAAAATAAAGTTAACGCGAACGTAGGTGAATTTTGTTTGGTTTTGATTTTTTTTATGGCGCCTTAGATTACTTGGATATATGTTGAATTCAGGCGTATGCGATTAAGTGCGTCAAGAAAGCTAATTTTTGGCGTACACGGCGTACAAGAAATGTTCTTTCGACTAGCGAAAAAATTTCAGTCGACAGGTTGAATTTTAAAGCCAAAGTTATAGATGATATTCCAAAGTAAATTTTGCGTACTAGGTCTTTGGTCCTGCCACAGGACGATAACATAAATAAGCCAAATAGTGATTGAAAAGGGTGAGCCTCAGAAAGTTCAGGTTTGTTTTCGTTTAGTTCCTAGTAAGACATAAATTCAGATTCCTGAATTGAAGTGAAAAATTTTGAGTAGCTCAAATTGTGGCAGAAAATGAGATAAAAATAAAAAGTCAGCTTCCAACCTTTATATTTGCATTTTGCTCTGCATATTTTTATACATTGAGATAAGTGAAACAGTCTTTTTATTGTGTGATCATTTATTCCGCCTAATCTAAAAATTCCTCCTGAAGTTGGAGTCTGTCACAGTGAATAGAGAGCTTAAACACTCAACAACGACGGTGACAGCTACGAAAACGTCACTTAAAAAGTGATTTCGCGCTGTTTCAAACTTCATCACCAATATATTTAATTTGTAAAATGTTTTTGTGAATTTGAATTCTAAGGGAAGGTATCAAAGTTAAAAAAAATTACAAAAAGAAAAGAGATGTCTTGTGTTCGCGTTCTCCATGAAATGTGAAATTAATAGCTTTCACGTCGTTGTCGTCCTATGACGGCAAGGAATGTGTAAAAAAGCGTTATAGACGTGTAAATTTGCTTTTCTTTTTCTCTGCTGTTCTCGTTTCCATTGCTGTCGTTATTGCTAAAGCTCTGTAATGTCACGGAGAACGGGGAGGTTGGGTATGTTTAAAATTATGGGAAAAAAAATAAATTGAATAGTTATTATACAAAGATTATACAGTCCTCCATCACGTCAAGGTTTCTTTTGACCAACCAACCGCCATAACCCTTCCTTCACAGGGAGCCCAGGGCAACGGCAGGGTTGAGTCATCATTTTTGAAGCAATAAACTTACCGAGTTGTGGAGGTGTAAATGGCGGGAAACAGTTTATCTGATTCATACTGGTAAAACTGGTTTGGTCTTGATTGAAGCTGGTCCCAGGTGCACGCAACTGTCTGCCATATTTCGGGTTCAGGTTCATATCTTACTGCTCTATATCTGTCAAGGTCTGCATTTTGTTCATGCTTAGGTAAAACAACCAGCTCTTCTTTCACAACGGCCTCGTCACAAGCTTGCTGGTAAATAAAATAAAATAAATTACTCCTAAGAGGGCGCAATCCCTTTTATGAAAGATACCATCATAAGGCTTTTCATCTCGGTACTGTCGTAGACTTGGTACATTGATGACTTACAGAAATATAACTGTTACTCCCTTTAAAGGAGTTTACGGAGTACGGTTTGATTGGAAAATCGTCTCTTTACTGAATTTGTTTGTCAGTATAACGTTGGTCTTGTAATCTAATGGAAGTCTGCTTTTGCAAGTGACCTTAACAGAATGAAATTTGATTTTGAGTTTGTTTTAGTAAGAGTGAGAATTTATAGTCTATAAATATTGCAAACTCAAGAGGCAATTACGGTGCATTACCCGTTGATGGCATTCATAAGACAACTAACATGAGAGCTTACTAGTGAGCTAAAACAAAGACGTTTTTGAGCGGCGCATGTCAACCGTGATTTGCCCACATTTTCAGGTAGACTGAGCTCATTTCTGAGTGATGATGTGCGTCGTTCAAATGAAAAACACCTTTGTCACCTTTGCTTAAGCTCCCTATTATCTCTATACAAGACCCTTTCTCATATAGGGGACCTTGAGACTGATGCTTGTTTTCGGTCAAAAAAATCCCTCTTCAGTTCAAGGAAACACTGAGTAAGGATTGCTGGAGGATCCACAATGAAGTATTGAGGAACATCTAAGGCTAGAGTATAGTCTAGCCTTATACTTCCCGTAGAATGTAGAGTCTACAATAATTGGAAAGTGACCAGACTAACACCTGTATTCAAAAAAGATGATCCCGCGGTAATGAGTAATTATCGTCCCCTCTCCTTGCTAAGTGTACCAGCAAGATTTTAGAATCATAATAATAATAATAATAATAATAATAATTTAACATTTCTATTGCGCAAAATACATGTAAATATGATCAAATGCGCATTACATGAAAGTAAATTATCGACATTAATAAGCTATCCAAAATAACTAAAAATATGATATATATATATATTCGGTTATATATTATATATATATATATATATATATATATATATAATATATAGCCGAATTTTTGAAAACGTGCCTCAAGATGCACCAGAATATTCGCACAGAAAGCTGGTCTGCGGTGAGAAAAACCATAGGGGGCTTGCTGTCCTGCTTGGTCTCATTGTCAAGTTCAGTCTCTGAGCTAACTCGCCATGGGTTGGAAAGGGGCCTCCATGTCAATCCCTAGCGGGGGGAGGGTGCTGCAAAAGCGTTGTACCTTCCGTTAGTCCTGGTCTGGGAGAGTCAGTGCACTGGTCATGTCTGCCTTTAGTTTGTCATGTCAAATTCTTGTAACGTTTGAGGCCCATTGGCCAATGAAAGCATTCTCCTCAAGCACTTGCTAGGCAGGGGGGTGTGGAGGAAGTCAGGGGGGGTGATTTAACCTTGAATTCTCTGCTTAGAACTTGCTGAAGTCTCAAGCGTCCTCCGTCATTCAGGGCCTTTAAGCAGCTAGAGTGTATGGACAAGTCCAGAGTGTCTTTTTGATGGACTTGAATGTTTCTTTTGCTAATCAGGAACCAAGAAGAGAGTCACCTTAAGAGAACCATGGGTAAGAGCTGAGTTTCTTGGCGATATTTACTTTAGTTGAGTCAGTTTAAGGTGTGTGGGCTCCTGGTGTCCGATGTTACGGTTTTCATAAATCCGGCTAGATATGTATATATATAAAACAATGGATCTATAAAAATATAATATATATGTTGTGGTTCGATTTTATCCTTGGTTTAAATTTTATTTTCCTTTGTTATGGGGAATGGTAATGTATGATAATGAGTTTGAAACAAAGGAAAATAAAATTTAAACCAAGGATAAAATTGAACCACAACATGTACATAATCCTAAAAAACCCTAATAAAAAGCTAATCTAAGAAAATGGGTCTTAAGTAAACCTTTAAAACTATGAAAATTGGGCTCATTTCGTATTTGTGATGGTAACCCATTCCACAGTTTAGGTGTCACAGCTTAAAAAGCACGGTCACCCAATGTCTTTTTAGTTAAAGTTCTTGGCGTTTGAAGCATGATTCCCATTGCACACGATCTTAAATTGTATCTCTTTTCCTCCCTTTTGCTAATGAGTTCTTGTAGATATACCGGAGCTTGTCCATGGATCGCTTTAAAAGTAATTATAATAATCTTGAAGTGAATCCTAAATTCTACTGGAAGCCAATGAAGCATACACAGAATTGGTGAGATGTGATAAAACCTTGGAATCTTAAAAATAAGTCTTGCTGCGGAATTCTGGAGCCGTTGTAACTTTGCTATTTGTTTAGCTGGTAATCCATACAGAATACTATTACAATAGTCAATGCGCCCAATTATTAGGGCATGAACAAGTGTCTGGGTTGCTTGGTTACTTAAATACTTTCTTATTCGTCTTACATTTGTAATGTAGTAATAGGCTGCTTTACACGTGTTATTGACATTAACTTGAACACTCATGTTGCGGACATGATTGCGAAACATGCTTTCTCGGAAAACGAAGCGCTCGTCACTGACAACCAATGGGCCTGCCGAAAAGGAAGATCAACAAAGCTATTACTCATCCACCTGACTGAAACTTGGCGACGAGCAATCGATAACAAATTAGTTGTGGGCGCCATATTCATAGGCATTTGATTGCGTTTCACACTCAATTCTTCTTCACAAGCTAGAGCACAACTTTGGAATCACGGGAAACTTACTGGCATGGCGAAGAGATTATCTATCTGAACGGGAACAGTATACTGTAATTAATGGCGTACACTCTGAGAAGATCAAAGTTGCACACGGTATACTACAGGGCTCCGTACTCGGGCCCATACTCCTTAGCCTTGTACACAAGCGATCTACCGAAAGCAGTTAACACTGCAACGACGTTCCTGTATGCTGATGATACTACCATGTACTGTGTTAGTGAATCCGTAGACCAGGTCACAACAACGCTGAACAAAGCTCTAGAAGAACTCGCCCTCCTGTGCAAACATAACTCCCTGGTACCACACCCCAAAAAGTGCGAGGGAATGATCCTTAAACGAAATCATTTTATCGGTCCCTTAGGCAGTTTAAAAATTAACCAGCATCTCATAAAAAGGTCCTCAAGCTCTAAGCTGTTAGGTGTAACCATCGACAACAAGCTTACGTGGACAAAACACATATTAGAGCTCAAGAGAGAGTTTGTTAACAAGCTCAATCTAATCAAACGCAGCCGCTTTTTACCCAGGAATTCGCTTTTAGATCTATATTTTAAAGTCATTTTACCCTCGGTTACATATGTGTTACCAATTTGGGGGAGTTGTACAAATAAAACTGAATTTAATTCTTTGGAATTCATACATTGTAGGGCTGCTAGAGTTATATATAACCTCCCGCGCGACATGCCCCTGATGCCCTCTGAGGATGTAAGAAAAACAGCTAACTGGGACTCTTTATTCAACACTTATAAGGTCAAAATAGCCACCTTAATTTATAATATATACAACCGCATAACTCCATCATGCTTGGACCATATAATCCAAAGGAAAGAGTCTAAGTATGGCCTCCGTCATCAACATCGTGTTAGCGTACAACGTTTTGAAACTCATTATATGAAAAACTCTATTTCTTACAGAGGTTCCATTGTTTGGAATCATTTAGAACCATCCGCTATCAGCACCAGGGATTATGCCAAAAGGGCAAAAAAGTCTCCCGCCCTCAGAAACCTGAACTTTAATGAAGAGTCACCGCAAATGGGTCGTCCCCAAATTGACAGTGATTTCGTCTTTTATTAATTCTATTCATATCTTTTATTGTACATATTTCACCTTTTATTGACTACATTCAATTTTACCAATTTTTATTATTTTTTTTTATTAACATTCTTTACACGGCCCCATAAGCTACATTAGCTTTTAAACCCACCGTGTTTAAATAAAAGATGTTGTTGCTGTGTTGAAGGTGAGTTTAGAAAATTCGTTGAGAGAAGGCCTTCGAAAAAATTGTGGTCATTTTCTTAAAGGCCTACCATTTACGAAGTGTATAATACAAAACATGGGCGTTATGGAAAAAAAAGGTGATTAAAGTAACTTACCATTTCTTTTTGATAAACTTTTTCTTTCTTTTCCCTGATTTGGTCTTTAATTGGCGGAGGTACACCACTAGGCTGCTGTGAAGTTTCGCTGTTTTTTTTTTCGTCCTTCAATCCTCTGATGCTACCGAGTCTTAAAGATGGCGGGCGACTCGTTTCCGAAGGAGGTCGATGTGGTCCAGTCGGCAGATTATGAGGAAATGATCTCGGCTGCAGCTTGATGCTTTCCACTACAAAACGTGGAATAGCATGGTACCCTATACGCTGCTGCGAAACATGTCTTTCCAGTATTCGACTCATATTACTAAACGAGATTTCATCTAAGGTAGTGGCAATCGTTTGTCCCCCGTGAGAAACGTGCCACGGATTTCTTTCTTACACTGTTTAACGAGATAATTTGACGCGTAATAGTGGTAATTGTTCCGTGACAGCAGTCACAGCGCGCGCTAGCCTGCGTGCATGGTTCATCAGTTAAGGTTTACCAGGGCGGATACAGTGTTGGGCAGGGGGGACCCTGGCGTTGGGCGGTGAAACGAGCGCTCTGCTCGTCATTTAATGTGTGATGCGGAGTAGGACTGGCACGAGCGCTCTTTCCGCGCTTCCGGTGCGCCTGAAGGCCAGCGAAATTGTCCTTTTTGCAAACCGGAAATCCTATTTTCTTTCTGTAATTTCAGGCTACAGTGTTAAATAGATAAATCCGTTTCATAACAATATCAATAAACAGTTTCATATGTTTGTGTCTGGAAGCCTATAAGTCAAACTTGTTGGTCGTATAATGCCAAAATTTGAGTTTAATTTGAAAGCGTTCCTCCTTCCACTAAATGTCGCCTAATCGTCTTTCGCCGTTTCGTTTGCAAAAGCTTAACACTTCTTAACCTCAATTTTTACATATGTTAAAGGGGGATAAATTTTATACAACATAACAAAAAATTAGGTTGATATATTTTGATATAGTGGCGTTGTACTGCTTCAAACTTTGCTTCTCGGGTGAAACGCGCCATGGCGATTCGCGCAATGCGTCCCAAATCCGGCAACCGCATGTAAACAAAATTTATTGAGGTTAGTTGTAAGGTTTTTTCTCTCTAAAACAAAACAAGGTTAACAGTAAAAACTGAGGGGAAACTAATTCTGAAGTTTCGAAGAAACAGAAAGACGTTTGAGATGTTTTTTCTAAAAATTAAAAAGAAGGATGATAGTGATTGAAATTAGCATAATTTCACCTTGGACGAGCTGCACGCATTTATAAAATACACGTCATCTAGTTATGAAACACGATCTGTTATCTTTTAGTTTTGCCATGGATGACATGGATGAGATTTTCCTTCGTGTTTTAGACAGTACTTAGTTGTTTTTGTTTTGGAATAACGTCGACATTGGCGAGTAGTAGAACGAAAATATAATTCAGTGGTAGAGCCATGCAAGTAATAAGAGAAACCCTTTGAAAGAGATGTCTGTCTACGCCAACTAAACCTCTCGCAAAAAATAGCAACATTTGCCTCTCGGAGACAGCGTACCAGCACCAAGGAACGAGGAAGAAGTGCAAGACACCAAATCAAGCCGCCATAATTCTGTGACAGCCTCATCGCAAGCTCTGACCGAAGTCGAAAACAAGCTACATTTCTAAGCAGAGTCCCAGTCCGCTGGATCACACCTTTTTGCTCGGACGCTCTCGTTTTACCGCGCAACCTTTATATTTATACGCCCTAGGGTGTACAGACTGAGTGCTTTATGCACCTACCAATGTAATGCCGGCGGAGGGGGGAGGCAGGGCATGGGGTGGGGATTTGACTTTTTTCAAAAATTTGCAATCAAATTCCCTGCCCACGAGCAAATCATTCCAGTCAAATGCAACCAAATTTCCCCACCCCAGGCTGCACATTGCTGTCAATCCCAAGGCAGAACCCAAGAAAGGCACAATAAAAATATCTCCAAGTAAAACTCTGCAATCTTTTATAAACGTTGCTGCATCAGCAAAGATACATGTTCCTGTTACAGCTGCAATTATACGTTTTAACCATAATCCGTGTTACACCACAGGTAACCCAGGCTCTGGGATAGTACCACAGTACGGTTCCAGTTAGCCTGCGTAGCAAGCGTTTCCTCGCGAGGTTCGTCTAGAAAGCTGGGACAAGAGCAAAAAAAATGAATGACGGAAATGAATGAACCTTTTTTTTGCTTCCGCTCTAACCTTCGCGTAATAACTCGATTGGAAACGCTTGCTACGCAGGCTAGGTTCCAGTAAAATTACAGTGTTTGTATGGGGTAAAAATATCATCCTAAAATTTCTAGCAAATACTAAATAAAGATCAATAAAACTTACTCTGAAGTTAATTGTTGTTGTCCTTATTGCTCCAACGAAGTTTCGTGATAATTTGCAGTAATTTGTTTAAATTCACTCTATCTAGGATGATATTTTTACCCCATACAAACACTGTAATTTTACTGGAACCGTACTGTGGTACTATCACAGAGCCTGGGTTACCTGTGGTTACACTGCGTAGAATACATAAACCTTTAGGAGAAAGTCTACATTTTGTAAGTTTAAATATACCGTTCTTAAGGGTACAAATAAAGTCAGTTTTATAAGTTTACAGTAATTGTAGCGAATGAGCCATACACTAATAAATTGTACTTGCAAAAATCGACTTGGTGTCTCTTTACTTCCGTTTACTTAGCCTGCTCTTAGCCACGCTAAAACAAACGAAATTTGAAGACAAAACAGTGAGATCCATTCAGCCTTCGGTTGCTCTCATTGGCCTCCATGACTTCCTGATCTTTTCAAACCGTACAGCGCATGCGTGAAGCGTGGAAGCGGGAAACATATGTTCGGTCTCAGTCTTTTTCGTCCGAGTCTGCAGTCAAATATCTCCACGTCGGGTGACTAAAGATTCAAATATCCCCTCCCCTGGGAGAACAAGATCAGTCAAGTGCCCTACCCCAGGGTCAACAAAGACAATCTAATCCCCACCCCATGCCCTGCCCCCCCCCCCCCCACCGGCTTTACATTGATAGGTGCATTACTAATAAATGAAGACAAAGAACACACGCGCTTCCTTTAGAATCAACGAGGAATTTTAACATTATGGCCAATGTAGCAAGACAGGAGCCCATCATAGGCTCCTGAGCAAGATCAGTACGCAGAATTTCCTAAAAGTTCATTCCAAGGACAACAAAAGCGTTTACTTGCTGGTTAACGGCTTGGCACAGGACCTCTGTACATAAATACGGTATATACGCATACATACACTGTTCACAGGTAGCCATTACGACACCTGAAGGAGGATCATGAGGTTATCCTTATAGTAACATCTCTCCTTACAGATAACCCACCCAGCCCAGGAAAGGTTGGCCTCACCACCGGGATCTACCTACCCTACTCTTTTCGAACAGTGCTCTGGATTCTTTTACGTCCCACAAGAACCGGATAAGTGAAAGTGCTGTGAGACGAGACCAACGGTTTTTCGTCCATTTCCGAGAATACTAGTAAGTCTAACCGTTTGCAGATGTCATTACAAAGCTATCACTTTATTTAAAGACCCCGAGTGTTGGTCCTGCCGGGATTTGTACCCACGACCTTCCGCTCAGCATACCGGCGCTCTCCACCTGAGCTGTATAAGGAAACTTAGTTATTATTATAATAATAATAATAATAATAATAATAATAATAATAATAAATCCAAATGTTTTATTGATAACAAAGCTAACTATAAAATCCTATTTACAATTAATTTCACTTAAAAAACTATTCCGTCCAAGCACTATTTACATTATTCCTTTCGATTAAAAGGAGACACTTAATTTCGATTGTAATTATTATTATTATCATTAATAATAATAATAATAATAAAGTTAAAATCTTATTACAAAACCTCAATTAAAATCCTATTTACAATCAATCTGCTGTTACAAAAAATCTAATTAATTCATCAAAACACTGTCTACAATTCCATCCGTTACAAAAGAAACCCCTCGGCCTTCATTAGAGAACAAAAACAATCCTATATATAATAAGTGAAGAAAGAAACTATTCATTTACAAATTCTAAAAAATAGAAGTAACTTAACCTTACATAAAAGAAGAGGAAATAGATATAATTAATAATAAAAGTTCAAAATTCTATAAAATAAAGAATTCCATTATGCAGAGATATTAAGATCATACAATCGAATTATACTAATGACGGCTGAACCAGTGTCCATAAAAAGCCCTAAGTATAAAAGCATATGGACACGTATTCCAGATATCCGCACTAGCGACATTTATTTTACAGTCTAATGATTGCTCTATCTTGCTACAAAACGGCGTTCGCGAACCTCTGACGCATGCATGTACCGATCTTAAGAGTTCAAACGAGATCTGTGTCCTGAGCCAAGTGATTACAACATGATAAGGCTCGGTTTTTTTTTTAGCTATCTTGTCTGCGAGATGCTTTAAGAACCGCTGACACTCGTTTCCCACTCCGCCATTGGTTCCAAACACTAAAGGCGTAAACGAACCCATTTCTACATCTAACACCCGCTGCTGGTACTTGCGCTTCTTCTCTTCTTCTTGCTCTCTGAACACTTCCGATGTTGGCTTGCTCTGGTAACACTTGGAGTTGACGTGTGTATATAACTCTAACATCAAAAAATGCCGTAACTCCTCTTGCCCAGAAACCTCCCGCTTTGATGTCCAACCTTGCCTCAGAACTTGTAACAGCGCTCCTCAAGTGAAATCGCTCGTTGTCCAGGGGTTGAAGGCGTGGTTCAATTTCGACATTATTGCAGATCTTGTCGATGAATGTCGTTAACAAGTTCCGTACACCGTCATGTCTCTGCGCTACAAACCCCCCCTTTTTACAAGAGAGGGCGTGACTAACGGTGAATTTATCCCCACATATGCAATGAATTGGTAAATCGACTAAGGGCAAGTCATAACGCAAGCGTAGCGATAATAATAATGATAATAATAATAATAATAATAATAATAATAAAATATTTATATAAGTGCCAGTATCATTAAAGTTCAAAAGCGCTAACAAGAACAATAAAATAATAAAAAAATTACGAGAAAGCTTTTTAAAGCTTAGAGACTAAAATAAAAATGGCTAAAACGTTATAAAAATGCTACTTAAACTATTTTTCAAGTTCCTTGACAATTTGTCGTACACTGTATGAAGCCTTCAGTAAGCCTACCAACACAAATGTATTTCCGTTTGTCGCTTCTCTCCACCCGAAAAGAAAGAGAGAAGCGACAACATGTGTTTCCAGGCTAGCCTTCACTCTAAACTATACAACTTACTCTTGTCCTGAAAATTTAAATTTCTCTGTACCCAATTATTCCTGAAAAGTGTTTAGTGGTTCCTACTTTTTTTTCAAGAATTTACTTAAAGAAAATTAACCCAATGAATCATGAAAACCAACACAACAAAACGAAAGTAAGAATAACATCTTTAATCACAGTCCTCAACAAAAAACGTTTTCGAACTAATTTACATTTAGCACTCGCTTCACAAGAGTGGGATTTACACAATTCATGTGACTTTTTAGAAGAATGTGACACTATATACATAGAGAGATTCTTTCTCCATGGCGATTCAGTTAACAATCAGAGACAACAAGATCAAGCCTGCTGTGTTTGACATGGTTCAATCTTTGCCTTCAGCCCACTCACACATTTCTTTATACCATTCCTCCTCCCATGGCAGCATGTGAAGAACCTCAAATGAGACAAACAAAAAACAAAAAATCAAATGCCAAGCAAGGAAACTTGCTTGGAAGTTTTATTATCATTACTGGAGTCATAGAAAAGCCATAAATGCTCATTAGGCCTGACCTAGTGTAAAGGATCATAATATTCAAACAATGATGCATTTGATTGGTAGCCTGCAAATACAACCCTCTCTCCTTGTTGTTTGCTACCAGGGACGTTTTGCGGGACAGACTTCAGTGTCTCAACGACTGAAATTAGTGAAATGCCATACTAATGATGTAAAATCTGTCCAGAATCTGGACAGGAGCTCTGATTGGTTGATGTAGTTATTATATTCTTTTAGCTATTGCTTACTAATGACAGACAGAAGAAAAAAGGTCATACAGGTGACATGTGATGAATCTACTATGAAACAGTCAAGAAGTGTTGGAGTTTTGCTGTTACTTGTTTGCAAGAAAAACTCAAAATTTTACAATAATAGACCATCAGTACAGCATATCTATTGTTGAAGTGCACATGTCTCTCCTGCAACACATCCCATGATGAATGAAGCAAAGAGAGACAGTTGTATTCACAGGCTATTCTACAGCATCACTGTCGTCATTAGTGTTAACCTTAATGGCATTCACTATTGTCATCTGACAAAAAGTGACATTTCAGTGAGTAAACTGACAGTGAGTTTTTAGTCACTTAATGTTATGTCACTAAATAGGCGAAAATCATGTGACAACACAACCTTGTTCCTGAGGTTTTTGGAGAGAACCCTGGGAGCAATGTTGGTGACAAACGATGAGCTCAGTCATTGCATACACAATCTGTTGTGTAACTATTAAATTTTGTAATTTTAGAATTCAATGTATTTACCACTTGCTTTAGCTGTAGCATTATATTACTGTGCCTATTAGAGGCTGCTTTAATGACTTTCCTTCTGGAAGTTCATACTGCATTCACATAATAAAATAGACCGGCTCAGCCTAAGGTGTTTACGCTTGGGTAGTTTTCACTCAGTTGAAAGCTTCAATACCTTACTTTTACCTGACCTTCGGACCAGAGTGTACCAAATAAAATATGTTGTTCTATAGCTTAACCCATGGTATATTGGTCAGCCTCATGTCAATTAGGATGGAAATGCAGTATTATCCATCTTTGCCCATGGTTTCCCTTAAGTTTGCATTATTTTGTATCATATTTGCCCCGAGAAAATTTCATGTAAATCTAATTTTTCATCCAGTGTTTTCAGGCTACAAAGACTGTAGGTATTGGAGGGTGGCAATTCTCGTCATATTGATGTTAAAATGCCATTTTCCACAAGGGTAAGAGTTTTATTAGTAACTTTGGAGAATTTTAGGAGCTACATGTATCCCAGGAACTGTTCAGTTAATCATGTGCCACCATAAATGAATTTCTGTATGATTTGAATTTGAGCTGGTAAAGACTATCCATGAAACTTTTTGACAAGTTTTTATATTTTTTCTGTCACAAAGTTATGTATCTGAAGTTTAGCCCAAGCTGAAAAGAACACTCTACTGTTAGCAGGGAAATTAATAGGCCTTATTATTCATTCAAAATAGTGCTCTGTTTCTGATTGGCTAAAATCACATGCATAATTCATCAGAACCAGCTACCGTTGACCAAATTTGGACGAATTTTCCCATATTGAACCGATGACATCAATCGTGCGGCAACATCGCCAGATTATTCAACCGTTAACCGGAAAACCTTGGGACGAGGTTGAGTTATACAAAATGGTGGACCTTTTTACTTGTTTCACAGGGCTGAAATAGGAGAAATTTTGGCTAAAAACATGGCACAAACAACAGGAAGACAACTCGATGGATGACAGCTTCTATATGGAGAATATTTGCAGAACTGAACAACCCTTTATCTCCTAAACCTGCTGATAAAGATGCACTATCGAAGACGAACTTAACATCGATGGAGGTAAGCATGTTTACATGTAAGCTTGTTTTTAAAATTATGGACATCTCGGAGGGTATTATCTGCCTCAGCCTATTACCTCGGTGGATAACACCCTCCTCGATCTCCATAATTCTTCAGATGATACTCAGCCTCATTCAATAATAAACTGTTAATTATGCAAACACACTTGGGCTCACAGCAGATGCTCCTCCTCCCTTCTTTCCCTCCCCTTTATGCAGTACCTGCCATGCAGGCTGTAGTCTAGGCACCCTCCAAGTACTTAGAATAGTGAGTTTACACAACAGGACAGCAGAAAAAAGAGGATGGCAAAACGCTTGAGTGTGATAGGTGTGAGAGAGCTATAATGTGCATGTTGTGTTGTGACCTTCACTATAACACTGGTGTTTTCTGGTTCCTTATGAAAAAGATCTGATTAAAGGAACGTAAAGTGTGGTAGAAAAGATTTTCAAACATATTGTTGTCACTCCTGTCACTCAAGATTTGCCGTCTTTCCTGTCCCATTCACTAGTGTCCTTGCCTGCGGTCATGCTGAAATGCAGACCACGTGGACTATGTTGAAACGCAGGCCATGCGGACTGAGTGTTATTTTTATTCACAAGTACTTTAATTTCTCTTGTTGGACATTAATTAAAGTAGTAAATACTTTAACTGGTTTCCCGCTTCTTCTCATAATGAAGACTACCGGCCATGACTAATAAAATGAGAAAATCGCAGGCTCAGTTTACAGTGCGGACCTATCTTGATTTCTTTAAAGTCAATTAGTTTTCAACCGGTTTTACATAAAACAGAGGCAAGTACTTGTAGTGGAAGCAGTGATCTGAAATCGTCATGCTTTCTCGCATATGTATCGCCTTGAAAGCTACTGGGTCTGAAGTGTCATTCAGGTGTCTTATGTACTGCAATAGTCTCTGTGAAGTAGTTTTTATGAAAACACAATCCAGACTCCATCCAATAAAAAATCAGTATTGGGTTCTGCTTTTACAGTTTGTGATGGCTTGCCTTGGATTCACTGTAGGCAACCCTTAGGTACTACACATCCAAATGCATTTTTTTGCCATATGTTTACTTTTCATCCAGAAACCATTGAAGTTGGGACATTCAGTTGGTCAATTAAAAATTCTTTGTCACCTAACTGAAAAGTATTATAGAGTAAGTAGCCAAGGGCCAAACACAACCGCAGGAACAGGAAAAACTAAGGTACAAGTAAATAAAAGTAACACTCAGTCAGCACAGTCTGCACGGTCTGCAGTCTGCATGGTCTACGTTTCGACATGACCGCCTTGCTAGGGGTGTCCTTAGCTTTCCCTTGAACCTACAACTTTTCCAACTTTTCTCTTTCCAGAATTAGAGCAGACTTTAAAATATGGCTTTCGCGGTATTTATCGGACATTTCACCAACAAATCACAAAAATACTTACGTGGGGAGGGGGTGGCAAGTTTCTCTCCCACTTGCTACCGTCTGGACTTACGGGATCTAAAACAGTTGAGACCAGTTATTGGATTGATATAATGTATATTCAGAGTATTTGTTTAAATGTAACATTCCACCCGGCAAAACATTTTAGTATTGCCCTTCGCAGTAGATATATAAGAGGAAACAAGTGTACAACACTTACCGATGTAGGGAAACGGGTGTCTTTTGTTTTCAAATTCGATTTCTGCATCTTGCAGAACCTTGTCTATCATTTTCTGGTCAGTCTCGTTCTTATACTTATCAAATCTATCTCTCAGTATCAAGGCCTCTTCTCTCCATGACTCTCTATCGATACACCACGAAAGTAAGTGTTTTAGGCTGTTTCTGTACAAGCGCATAACGCGCTGCTGATGCGTGATTCCCTTCTTCAAATGAGAAGCGATGTACGCCATCTTGGATCTTGGATATTGGGAACAACGCGCTCTCATTCCCAGGGTTCACTCCGCGCCTGTTACATGTAGTGCTAGTACTAGAAACGTAAAATAGGGCTGGCACTACGGCAAAGGGCTGATTTATTGTGGGCCAATATTTCGGATAAATAAATGATACGGATCATTACATGTTTCTGGGAAACTGCTCACCCACCCCTCCCCTAAGCCAACATTAACACTGACTTCCAAATGTTGGCCTAGGGGAGGGGTAGGTGGGCAGTTTCCCAGAAGTAAGTCACAGTAGCAGGGTCGGCCAGGGTTTTGGGGTATACGGTACACGGGGGCTTTTTAAATCGGGTATACGGTATATTGCAGCTTAAATACGGGTATTCAGTATATCACTTTCTATGAATTTCAGGTACAAAGTATACCTGGAAATAATTTTGGGTATATTTGGATGAATTTTGGGTATTTTTGGGTATTTTGGCGAATTTTTTTCGGGTATACTGGTATACCAGTACCCTCACTGGCCGACCCTGCACAGTGGAACCCGGTTCATAAGTACGGACACCAGGGGAGCACGCTGAAGACAGTCCTTATCTGATCCGGGTCAGTGTCCGTCTTAACAGTACCCCAGGAACAGTACCTAATACGCGGACTCTCAGGAAAAAAAAAACGTCAGGGACATATGTTTTATCGATCTAAAGACTAAAGCAGACATTTTTACGAGAAGAAACTTTAACAAGTTCATCCTTAAGAAACCTCAAGATCATTTATCAGTCTCTAGCCTGTGAACACGCAACATTTCAAGATAGTGGAAGCCTAAAACTATATTGAATCCATTACTTTACCTTGTGTCGAGTGACGCTTTTAGTTTGCAACTCATCCAGGTGAACTGAACATTAGAGAGACCGTTTGAAAGGTCATTCGCTGTTTGTGCTGTTTTCACTGGTTAAATATTTGTCACCTGGAGTCATAAACAGAGCGCAGATAACAAGTGTTCGTTAGGGCCGTAAAGTGAGGTTGACGTTGTACCTGATTCAATAAAAGTTCTTTTGGCCGTGGGGAATACAGCAAATCCTTGCAGTGAATTCTGTAAGCCCAAATGCCCAATGGCAAGAGAGAATTATATTGTTACAACGCAAGACACGTTATACCCATTTGCGAGCTAACTGCTACTAACCGTTAGCCGTAAATAGGATAAAAAAGAGTTAACCGTAAAAGAAATTGTTCCCTAGATTTGTTAATTTTAAGGAAGGTGATAAAATTCACTTATGGTTGCGTTTTTTTATTTCCCGGCTACTTTGACTCCGTGCGCACGTTACAGTGCGATAACCAACCGTAAAAGCCACTACCCCATTGAGACCCTCTTGATTGAATGTCTAGATTTCTCACAAATGGCGGAAACGAAATCAAAGAAAGACCCCTCGAAGTAGGACGCAATAGATCTTCACGCTCTCGAGTTCGGACCCGATTAATTACGAAGTGCGTCTACTACGAGTGAGCGAGTGACCTATTTGCATATCCCTGTCCCTGTACCTAACTAGTAGGTACAGTTCGAATTCCTACTCTAAAAGAAAGTAGGTGTTGTCACTGAAAAGCCCATCGAACCACAATACTTTACTAAAACAGGGAAAAAACAATTAGATGCACTTCTAGTCAATTCAGGAGACGTAAATAGTGATTTTTTCGGTGAGACCATCTTTTCCTCAGTAACGAACAAACCATGATTTAGTCAAGCAGCAAGCAGTTGTGTGGGCATCAACAAAACCCACTTCTTTCCTTCTCTTTCCCCGTGATTTTTTTTACTGGGCTTCATTTATGTGGGAAACGGTTCGAGAAATTAGCTTTAAGTATCATAGGAGTAGATGGAAGGAAGCGTAGGTTGGTGTTTGAACAAAATTTTCTTTGGAATTCTTGTATAAACTACTTATGGGTTTTTGGATTTTTTCTCCGGTCTCCTGACGAACTGAATCGTGTTCATTCTGACATGGTTTTTAAAGGTTTTTCCTCCTGCACAAAATAGATTAAAAAGTTAAAAGTTTTCTCTGACCGTTGTTAAAATTGACAAGCGGTACAAGGGACGTGGGCGGTTCAAGGGCGAATGGCTAATCAAAAAAGTTATAATTTATCTTTTGGCACTTATTTTCGCACGATTCGCCATTTCACGGCCACATTTGATTATTTTAGGCTCAGAAGTTGTTTTTCTTAAAGAACTTGGTACTTTGTTTAAGTGCGTGAGTTAATAGCCTGAGAAAACAGCCGACACTTCGTGACCCCACAACTGGTTTCCCCGCGAAATGACGTCTGAGAAACGAGCGCAGAAATTCCATACTGATGACGCATCATCAGGTCTGGGTAGTGCTTCTTCGTGTCGCATGGGAAAGTTGATTCACCCAATCAGAAGCACCACCCAGATCTGGGTATTGCCGCGTCATCAGTATGGAATTTCTGTGCTCGTTTCTCAGACGTCATTTTGCGGGGAAACCAGTGGTGCCGTCGCGAACTGTAGGCTGTTTTCTCAGGCTAGTGATTTACACTGTAATAAAGCAAAGGAAAAAGCGAGGACTAAAAGCAATAAAATATTACAGCGTCTTAAAAAAGATTTTTAACGGGGCTTTAATTGCAATCACCCCTGCTTCTTCACACCTGAGTAGTTTACATTTTTTTAAGCAAAACATTTTGGTTAACAAGTTAGCAAACGGCCGGATTATTTAACAGATTAACCATTTGGACAAATGTGTCTCAAACACGCTACATTACACTAGTTAGTAAGTCCTAATGAGAGTAGTAACAGCCCCTATGTCATAGTAAAAATCACAAATCCAAGTTGTAAGTAAAGTCATAAGCTTGTTAGCCTGCAAATACAGATGTATTTCCAGTCGTCACTTCTGAAGCGACGACTGGATCCAGGATATAAGCTTCTTTGAGTTGTAGGAGTCAAGACATTTCCATTTTCTTGTGACCTTAACTCACTCCATCACAATAAATTATTACAAACTTAGACTGGATTAATGGAGTTACAAGTAGAGGTGGAAGAATAAGTCAGTCACATAAGTGAATCTTCTCAAGGATTGATTGTTTGAGCATTGCACTCCAACTATATAGTTTTCACTAAATCATAAGCCATGGAATTGAAGGCAGAATCAAAATGCTGTTTTCACAAGTCCATAACAATCTATGCTTCCGTTTGACTACAACTCTGACTCATGCCATCACTAGTGAAAACAATCCTTAACAAACACACAAACGAACATTCAGAAATTATCACGACACAGTTCAAACTTAAGTATAAAATATTTTGTGGTCTTACGAGCCCATGACTGTAAATATCGAGAATCGCTGGCCAGGCTAAAAAAATCGAAAATTCTAATAATTTGTCAGAAAAACCCCTTTGGGGAACTATCTTCGAAAAAAATATTTTCAACTTTCAAGAATCTATAGTTTTCGAGAAAATGAGGAAAAACGAAAATAGCGGTTTTTACCTAATTAATTTTGCAAAAATAGTAGAAAAAATGACCTACTTTATCGCGTCTGTACCGAGGCAAAATGTAAAGCTATAAAACAAAAATATTTTTGTTTAAAAGAATTCTATCTTTTCTTTCTATCCATGGTATGTTTTAAACCATAAACATGATTTTGAATTTTTTACGGTTTTTTAAAAACTACCACCAAGCGTGCTTTTTAAAATTGCTAAAAAGGAGCAACTTCAGAGGCAAAAAACTCACCTTGGTATGTGTGATACGTAGCTAAAATGTATACTAGGAAAAAGTTCAGCTCTTATATTAAGAGAATATGAAATAAAAAATCTGGGTACTCCGGGTTCGCCTTTACAAAATAAAAAGTTTCGTGACCACCAGTGGCAAAATGTCACAAATTTGCATAAGTCAAATTTGTAGAGAAATGACGCCGCCTGATTTTTCTTTTTAGTTTCGGTACGTGGTATATTCGAAACGTAGGAGAAAGGATGAAAGCGCCTTTAAATGAAGCTAATATTAAGTAGAGGATCTGAAAAATTGATATCCCTGATAACAAATCGCTGTGAAGGTTGGTGACACAATGTGGCAAATTTGCATATAAAAGCATCTGTATAGTCCTATCGTACACAAGGACAGGTTTCAATACTGTTAGCATCACGCAATATTTGAGGCTTAAGAATAGCATAACCAAGAGAATAGCTAGTGTTAAATGTTTTTTTTAATTTGTATGTTAGCTCTTTTTAATTGGACATTATAAAAGTAAGGTTGCTCAGTAATTTTTGTTGGGTGTTGGAGTACTGTAAGAATTCTGCAATTGCGTGACCGTTGTCAAACTCAGCACAGTCAGACTTGATTTTTACCGGTACGTTAAAAAAAATGCGAGCTTATGAAGTAAGTAAAGAAATATTATTCATGTCTGATTACTTAACTTTACTTTATTCACCTGAATAAATTTCGCGGTGGTCTTTTCATGCCTGTCAGTCACGCACTAAAAGTTAGCATTTTCTTGTCAGAGCTGTTGAAATCTAATTTTTTTACTACGTATTACAAACAACAAAACGTCCCTTGGTTAATTTCTTTACTTTTTAACAAATAGAGGTATAATTAGGCAGCTACCAAAGGCCCTAGGAAAGAGCTAAGTGATCGTAGTTCATACGGTCCAGCGGTTTCTCTCCGCCGAAACGAATCCGAAACGATCCGGAACATCTTTCCCGCAAAAACTCTCTCTTTTAGGTCATCGCGGAGTTGTACCACCTGCCAAGAGGCGTTTTCCTTCAAATACAAAATGATATTTGTTGATTTCAAAATATAATGTAGCAATGCCTTAGTGTGTAAATCTGTACGCGAAACCCATGAACCGAAACAAGTTCCAACCGACGCCGCCGACGAACTGGAAAAGGAAACTACACGTAGTCGAACCTCCCGAAAACGACCACCCAAATGCGCAGACTTAGTGGTCGCTAACGGGAGGTGATCTCTTACGAGAATCGAACCACAGGAGGTTTCTTTGAGAAGAAAACTGAACACATCTACTCTAAGGAGGATAATTTATTGCATGCAATTTCCAAGTTACGATATGTGCTGTTCCATGTTGTTGTTGTTCCTACCACAAGAGATCAGAAAACTCGTCAGGTGGTCGCTTACAAGACTGTTAAAAACAATGCAAAATCATTAAACAGTCAGCCCCAATCAGTGGTGGCGGGTGCTGACAGGAGAGATTCCAGCTGGAAGACTTAACTGGGTGGGTTTTGGTGTTTTGGATATGTGGTCGCACGAGGAGTTTCAACTGTACTCCAACAGAGTAAATAACCTTTCACAACGATGCGACTAGGATTTGACCATGGAAGATAAGACTCCTTGTTCACCGCTTTTGAGCTACTCTAACCAACTCCCACCCATGTCAAGTGCTTGCAAATCGTAGCATCATCTTGAAAAGAGAAATATCAGAAAGGTCATCCTTGACGCCCCTTGCCTATCGTAGTTTGCGGCAACGAACCTATATCGACATAAGTACCATTTACTAACGGGCAGTAAGGTGACTCACAGTAAAAGCGTAACTTGACTACGTTTTTCAGTTTACAGCAGACTCGACTTTTGTTTAAAGAAATACCTGCCTTTTGCTCAGGAGTATTAACGTCAGTACCCGCAATGTCCCAGCTCGAGCCTTCACACCGGAACGTCCGATCGAATCACTGTTTAGTTACCCTTCTCTTCCTCTTCCCGAAGTCTAAGAAGATCGAAGGACCTCTGCTCTCAGGGTAGTTGATAGCGACCAAGGCGCTAAATAACATAGCGAGGTAAGTAAGTGGCATCGGCGGTTTTATTTACGCCTAACCGTTTCCCAAAGGAAAGAAGGAAAGAACTTCAGACAAAGGGAAAGAAGAGTTATGCGATAAAACTGCTCTTAAATTGATGTTTAGCTATGGCATATGCGAGGGGTGGGGGCTATTTAATTGGTGAATAACATGTGCCGTTACCAAAAAAACTTACGGAAAAACATTTTTCCTTGGTTTGGAATTTTGACCATGAAAATTTTAGCTCTAGCCATTTGTGATAGCAGGCAAAAAAAACAATCCAATATTTAGATATTTCCTCTTAGCAGCAGACCCTCTAATTACAGTGTCCTTCAGTTTGGACGGTATCTAATATTATATATCCACAGGAACGAAACATGACAACAGCTGATTACAGATTGATCAATGTGTGAGGCGGGGGTTCTGGGCTCCCTGTGACAGTTCTTGTTAAGAAGACCACGAATCAGTATATTTGCTGTTTTGGGCTAATTATCAGTCATTACTTACTGCCTTTACTGCCTTTACCCAGTCGAAAATGTTCCTGTAGAGTTACATGTGGGGTATGGAGAAGATATCATTTTATCAGGAAGCACTAGCCAAAAATATCTTTTTGGGTGATGAAGATGACCCAATTTTTCCAATTTTCAGTCCATGTCCATCCTGGCCATCAGTAGCAACAGAACGCGACAGGAAACAGTTTCAGTGCCTAAACATAGTCTTACCTAACAAAACTGGACCATAATTTTTGGAAGTAAATTGATGCGAAATGAAGACCATATTAGCTTTTTAAAATGAACTAGCGATTAGCTTGGCATAGCCCCTTTAACTCTTTTTGACGGCCAATTTAAGTAGAAGAAAACCCCGCCTTTTAACCAAACCCTCCTTTTTGGACCGGCTTTCAACTAGTTAGTAGCCTGCATAACAGGCGTTATTTTTTTCGTGTTTTTGCAGGAGAGCGAAGGCAAGCGCCAAGTGAGTGAGAAGCGCAGACAAGCGCGACGGGGAAGACGCAGAAAAAACAACGACCTGTCCACATAGCATTGTTTTTCTGCATTCCGCCCCTGACATACCCCTTAATGGCTCTCCTCACTCGCTTCGCGCTTGCATACGCTCCGGCTTCGGGCTTAATTGCCTTCGCTCGCCTGAAAAACGCACGCCTGTTATGCAGGCTAGCCAGTTAGATCGATATGGGAATGGCTGAAAAAGAGATTTGCAACACAAGACTGCTCAATTGGACGTACACTAATTTAGAAGCTTTTTTGGCGCATTCACAGAAGCCAAAATTTCGATGCCTCTTACGAACCTATATCGATCTTTCTCTCCCGCTCTCTTTTTTCCCTTTGCCTTTCTTCTTCTGTTGCTCCGGCACTTGATCGTCTTCCCACTGTCTTTGTTTTGCAAGGAATTTTGGCCGCTAACTTTTCAGGAAAGGGACATTTAATTCATCTGTAGAGAACAGAAGATGAATAGAAAAAAATCGGAAGTAGATTTTGTTACTCTAAATGTTGCTTTTTGTGTGTGTAACTCTGTCAAGATACATGAAGATAGGTAAAAATTTGCTAAATGAGGTACCAGTGGAAAAATCCATCCTTGTTGATTTTGATCAGTTTATAACCTTGGTGAATAAATGGAAAGCTAAATGGGTTCATGAAGGATATTCATGGTCAAAAAAACCCAAACGACCCCAGTGTCGGCAGTACTCCCTCTATCTGACTATCTGATTTACTTTTTCTATTGAGAGGACAATTGCAAGGATCCGTTAGGGTCCGTTCAATGAAGGTTTCAACTAATCGATGGCATAATTACGGGTCGGTCCACTTGGTGATCTTTGACCATCTTTGGGTGTTGGAAATCGTGTCTGGACTTAATAGTGTTGAACGCACGAACAGTGAAGAGGTAGAAAGAGGAGGTGGAAGAATTTCAGAAAAGAGAGAAAAGGGGGCAATGATTACTTTAATCTTGTCTTTACTTACGTTATTTTTAATGTGCGAGAAGTGGAAATTTCACCAAAATATAACTTTGAAAAAATACTGAGAAAAATAACTATTTCGGATTTTTCTTGATTGAAAACTTATAGGGTCTGATGTATAGTGTTATTAATGGCAAGTCCCTTAAATGCCTCGACGAATGAACTATCGGTACCATAAAACATGTGCCCACTCCAAGAAAGATGTATGACCGCGAAATTTATTCAGGTGATCATGAATAAAGTAAAGTTAAGTTATCAGACATGAATAATATTTCTTTACTTACTTCATAAGCTCGCATTTTTTTTAACGTACCGGTAAAAATCAAGTCTGACTGTGCTGAGTTTGACAACGGTCACGCAATTGCAGAATTCTTACAGTACTCCAACACCCAACAACAATTGCTGAGCAACCTTAATTTTATAATGTACAATTAAGAAGAGCTAACATACAAATTACAAAACATTTTTAAATGTTTTGTAATTTGTATGTTAAAACACTAGCTATTCTCTTGGTTATGCTATTCTTAAGCCTCAAATATTGCGTGATGCTAACAGTATTGAAACCTGTCCTTGTGTACGATAGGACTATGCAGATGCTTTTATATGCAAATTTACCACATTGTGTCACCAACCTTCACAGCGGTTTGTTATCAGGGATATCAATTTTTCAGATCCTCTACTTAATATTAGCTTCATTTAAAGGCGCTTTCATCCTTTCTCCTACGTTTCGAATATACCACGTACCGAACGGAAACTAAAAAGAAAAATCAGGCGGCACCATTTCTCTACAAATTTGACTTATTCAAATTTGTGACATTTTGCCACTGGTGGTCACGAAACTTTTTATTTTGTAAAGGCGAACCCGGAGTACCCAGATTTTTTATTTCATATTCTCTTAATATAAGAGCTGAACTTTTTCCTAGTATACATTTTAGCTACGTATCACACATACCAAGGTGAGTTTTTTGCCTCTGAAGTTGCTCCTTTTTTACCCATCTTAAAAAGTACGCTTGGTGGTAGTTTTTAAAAAACCGTAAAAAATTCAAAATCATGTTTATGGTTTAAAACATACCATGGATAGAAAGAAAAGATAGAATTCTTTTAAACAAAAATATTTCTGTGTTATAGCTTTGAATTTTGCCTCGGTACAGACGCGATAAAGTAGGTCATTTTTTCTACTATTTTTGCATAATTAATTAGGTAAAAACCGCTATTTTCGTTTTTCCTCATTTTCTCGAAAACTATAGATTCTTGAAAGTTGAAAATATTTTTTTCGAAGATAGTTCCCCAAAGGGGTTTTTCTGACAAATTATCAGAATTTTCGATTTTTTTAGCCTGGCCAGCGATTCTCGATATTTACAGTCATGGGCTCTTACAAACTTTAAGATTTTGCTTAACACTGAATATGCCAAATTTCACTGTCTTTCTTAAAAAAATCAGGTAAATGACCATCTTTTTTTTCATTATATAAGTCTTTTAGTCTATTCAAATACATCTAGGTTATTAAAATGCTTAGAGTACTGTAAACTAAGTTATAACTTTTGCTATTGCAAAATCACTGTCCTATTTACAAACTTAAGCTACACTGTATAAGGCTATAAACACTGTCTTTTAACGTATTCTAGAAAACAATGACCATAAAAAAGTGCTTATATCTTCCCCCAAAAAACCTGGGTAAAACTGAAAATATAGCCCTTTATTGTTAAGTGAAGTAATGGTCACTCATAAGAATAGGACAGTCGTTATATTCTACATCAAAGTCATATAATAACTCCACAAGTTGAGGTTCTGGTCTTGGCCCTCCAGAAAAGCCACAATCTTCCAGAGTCTTATGACGATCCATCTCTACTCTTTTTCCTTCTTTAGTAGTGCAGTATATAACAACTTTCCTGGCAGTACCACCAAATCTCTCATTGATAATAGACTCAATGGAATAAACTGGTATATGGGCATGAACAAATATCTGAAAATGTCCTGGGTAGGACTTTAACTGTGGAAGATTTGCAAATGTCACCAACTTGAGCTCCATGCTTATAAATCTGAACATATAAATTAAAATATAAGTCAGTATATTTCTGGATTGAAACATCAGCAATAATTATCAGACTTCAAAGCAACTTGCAACACATAAAAAAAGATGACAAAAATATATAGTTGTTTAAAAATGCAAGGGAAGCAACATTAGGGACTTTAAGATCCAACGATGCGATGGCGACAAGAACGTCACTTAAAAAGTGAATTTGAGTTTTTTCAGTCTTTATAACAATTATTCCTACCCACTTACTTTCTCATATTGTAGGCAAACCCTCCCGAAGCTGAATTTCAAGGGACCATACTCAAGCTCAGAAAGAGAAATAAAATTTCATCGTTGCTTGATTACGTCTTCCATAAAACGTGAAATTAGGCATTTTCACGTCGTAGTCGTGCAAAAACGGGAAAGAAATGTACAAAAAAGTGTGATGCACATGCGAAGTTTAAGTTTTGCTAATTGAACCTATTGTTTTTTTGGACGTTCTCGTTGTCGTCCGCGTTGTTGGATCTTAAAGTCCCTAATAAAGCAACTGATCCCTACAATACTGCTGCATTTGTAAGTTACTGGTGCACTTAAAAAGCTTAGAAATACAGACTTAATATAAATTGCAAGGTGATACAGTAAACTCTCTCCAATTTGGACACCTTTCAAACCAGCACAGGGGTGCATCTGTTTTAAAAAGAGCAGAATAAAAGGAGTAAAGAAAGGCAGGGACCAACTTTAGTTGTCTGTTTGAAGGAGGTAATGCTGTATTACAGGCATCCATATTGAGAGGGTTCACTCCACTGGAATTAACTTAACAATTAATTAATATTTACACAGTACAAAAAATAGCATACAGTGTATCTGAGGAAGGAAAACAGAAATCAATAGTCTTTTTTAAAGTTAATATATTCTATGTCCCAGGTATTTACTGCACCAGTACTGAACATCTTGCATAGAGAAAGCTGATCTCCATTTTGATGTGCAGTTTAATAACAGCTCACCTCGGATACTTTTCTTTGGGAGGTTTCCATAATCCCAGTTTACAACAGGGACACTGCTCCAATTCTTCTCTTTCAAATTTTAAAACAGGTAGGCCATCATCTTGCACACATTCTTCTTTCTTATAATACTTCAATCCCTTTGAGAATTCCAGGTAATCTAGCAATCCATTACTATCTCTGTCAAGTTTCTTGGCAAGCACATAAAGCTCAAGATTGTTAGCTGGTGCATTTAAGTCTCGCATTCCTGCATAAAACTCCTCATATGATAAGCTGCCATCCCCATCTACATCAAATCGGCGAAAAAGATCAATAGCCCTGGCATAGTTATCAAGCATCCATTTGTCCATGCGAGCTACAAAGGCAGCATGAAGATCATCAGCTGCTTCAAATGCCTCAGCTGCTTTCTCAAGTTTTTCCTGTCCCAAACAAAACACACTTTGAACAACAAAAAAGGTTTTTCCACTAAAATTAAGGTACATGTACTCAGAGCCCTAAGTAACTAAAAATGGGAAATTAATAGTTTGTCACACTCAGCGAGATGATACCTCTGGAAATAACTTGAAAATAAGACAAAGGATGAATACACAAACATGGGTTTACGAATGAAAAAGAGGATTTTGACATGTCATACTAAATATATAACTGCAAGGTCCTTGTCAGGATAGAAGGATAATCATTATGAAACCACATTTCCCCCTCCTCTAGCCTGAGATCATTCCCTCTCCCTATTATCCCTTTATGTCTCATGGGAAGAGGGCATGATACATTTCTTTGTTGGATCACATGTAAAAAAGCCAGAATCTGGACTTTTTTCTGATTGGATAGGAAACAATATGCATGATTTGCGCTGTTCCGATTGGCCAAAATGCCGCCATCTGTTAGTTGTTGTTGATTTCAGTCTGCATTTTTGCTTGCGTAATGAGCAGTGAATACACACGCGAGTTCGTTATGAAATTTCTGCCGGCTCAGTTTTCTTGAATTTGAAGAATGCCTAAATAGAAGTTTCATCCATTGAAATATTTTCCATCTCATAGTATACTAAAACAGTTGCAGTCAAAACTTCATCGATCATTTGAATGCAATTTGTTGCAGAAGCGACAAACAGGTTCACTTTTCAAATAATCAATTCATGAATGGAATCTTGACCTGGTTTGACTGTAATTCCTCCTTCAGAAATCATGCTGCGAATTATTCTGAGCGATCTTCGCTTTCACAACATCTTTCAGTTCGTGAAATATGGTGCTTCCGCCTAATTTTTTTTCACTGCTTTCGGCACAGAATGAAGTCAACAAGCTTTAACCAGTAAATTCTTTATTATTTGTAGCTGTTAAATAAAGGTACGGCAGCTCCAGCCAGCAGTATTTCATCACAAAAACAACACATTAAAAATTTTTTTTAGGAAGCGCCATCTCTGAACATGGACGTACTTAAAAATTTTCTTTTCCCTAAAATTGATTTCAAGAGACATTATTCGCGCCAAAATTTGATTCCCGTATGGTAAACGCTTATTGGCTAATAACATGACAGGTCAAGCAGACGTTAGATTATGTAAATTAGGAGGCGGTTGACTGCTTGTTAAATAAATGTATCAGGCGTTATTTTTTTTCCCTCTCGAGCCAAAGAAGCAAAGAAGCAAAAAAAATTAATAATAATAACGCCTGATCTCAGGTTACCCCTCCCCTAAAAGCTTACGCCTTTCCCGCGCACATCAACTGTTCAGAAGGACACATTCTTTGTGCGTTTCAACAGAGTCAGTCGCTGAGAAATTGCCCTAAATCAGCTGTACTCGGGGGTCTTGAAAACCAAGATATTCAAGAGAACTGCAGTGCCCCTTCTTTACCTTAGCAAGTTCATCTTTTGACTTCTTGGCTTTTTTTGCCCCTTTCTTTTTACCTCCAGATCTAGCATGAAAGAAAAGTAAACATTAAGAAACATGTTATACACAATGTACGTTGGAGTACGTAAGCTCAAATAAACTAACTCAGTGGATCAAAGTCATCCTTGACTCATTTTCGCATCGGCACGAACTAACACCAGTTTACTTACTTAGATTTTCCACTCTTCTTTTTCACTGGCATCTTCAAAATTCTGACCTTATTTTTAATCGGAAGCAAAAGGAAGTTCTCGAATAAGAAGTCCGGCGAAAATAAACAGGCACCCTTTTGAACGTGCACCATGACAACCAAAGAAAAATACCCGGATTAGCTCCCAAATCATACCACAGGTAACCCACGCCATGGCTGTCGGGGAATGAAATACACAATGCCAGGAGCCCATCAAATTTGATGGGCTCCCGACAATGCAATAAAAATAGACAATAAAAATACATGGAGGTTAAAATAGAATAAAATAAAATAAATAAAGGATAGACATTGAAAAGAAAACTTCAAGATAAACACATGCCAGTTTCCATGACGACATGCCGACTTTGCCAAACGTGATGGCGTGATGGCTTTTATATCGTTTAATTGTTATAAAAACAAAAAAGGGCAAAAGAAAAATGAACTCTCAAAACAAAACGACACCATCTCCTGGTCAAGACCGCTAGTAGGTGGTGGAAACGTTGGAAATGTCGCGATCATTGTCCACATGCTTAGGCAATACAAAAGTTAAACGCGTTCTATCATAAACAAGCCACGACAATTAAATATTATCTACCCCTCAGGGGCGGGGGGCCCGAGGCCCTCCCCTGTATACGCCACTGTTAACTCCGTCTGACAGGGATACAGGATAAGGAGAAAGATCCCTAGAAATAATTGTTTCATTACTCTGAAATTTCTTGGAATTAGATTTTTCGGGTACAAAATAAAGTTTTCTCAACTTTGCCTTGCATTCATTCAGTTTTAAAATTTACGGCAGTCCCAAAACAAAGACGAGAAATGCACTGACCGAGAACGACTGCGAAGACGCCTTAAATAATATACAATGAACCGAGAAAAACAACTGACAAATTTGCCTTGATGTGCTCAGACTTTCGAAAATGTATCACTGTTACGCAATTAAGACATTTTTCAAGTCATCAATTCCACTATCGTCACGAAAGCCCCATTTCCCCCGTTTTTCTCGATACTCGTGTTTTAATAGTTCATTCTTAATTTTGACGATTGAAAGCTTTCTTTCAACTTGTTCACCAGCGTGTCTCATGCAGAGGGATGAAAACGGCTTTGAAGCTATTTTCTTGTTCAGTTTAATAAGGTATTTTTTAAGTCGCCTCAAAAGACTTTGTGTCGGTGTTTTTCCTTACTGGTAAAGTACATGTTGCTGTTTTGAACACAATTGAGCCATTAACATACTGCTTTTCAAATAAGAAAAAAAATGGCACTTTAATGCATCTAGTACATTTCATTATTTTTACCGTTGTAAGTGTTTCATATAAAAACAAAATGATATTGATATTAATTGTTGGAAACTTTATTTTGTTATATCGTTGAGAAAATCTTTGATCTAGAATCTTAATCTTTAGGCAATGTTATAGGCTACCTTTTCCCTGTAATGCTAGTAATGTCATGTTGTCACTTCCTTTGCATTAATCATTTTTTTTCTGTACCACTGCTTGTGTGATTTTTTTTTCAGGGAAGTTTTCCTTGCAGGAATTTTTTGGGGAATTGTCACCCCACCTCCGGTTATTTCTAATGGCCCACCACGACTTGACAAAATAGTAGTCAAGAGCACAGTATCACCGCAACCTTGAAATTCGAAGAGTTAACCGATCGAACAGGGGTCAATAAGCAACATCTCTGAGGATCTGCGCAAAACTAGGACATATAAAACGTTTTGCGGGTTGACAACTTTGTTGACCAAACGTAACCGAGTGAGAAGGACAGGGAGAATTTTACAGCGACTAAAGGCCAATGCGGTTTAAACAATCGTTTTTAAACAGAAACGGATACGAGTAGACGAACCAAGATCCTTGAAGACAGCAAAAAAAATGTAGGCCACACAGTCTAACGACTAAAATCATATCGTAAATAGAAACTTGTTTATTTGGTGAACTACTCTACTTACATGTCCAAACTGATTTTTCTCTCAAATAATTCTGTAACAATGGTCCATTTCCGAGTTGATTTAAGCCTTCTGTTCGAAACCAGGGTATTTGCAAGAGGAATTTGTTAAAAAATACAGTTATCATTACGGGGCGACTACTCGAACCAGGGCACTTGGAAGAATATTATCCTATCACAACGGTTTTTCAAAAAAAGATTCTAAAGTTTTTTTGGAAACAGACGTCACAAATAACATTCATGAATTTGAGGGCTCTTTCCTCAGAGGTGAGGTTTTCAGCGGTTGCATAGTGAACGTTGAATTTTATTGGTCCATTTGCCAAAAAACTAGAGAATCTTTTGTTTTCAAAAACGTTGTGATTGGATAATCCTCTTCTAAGTGCTCCAGTTCTAGTAGTCGCACTGTAATTACAGTATTACTATTCTAACGTAGACATAACTCTTTTAAACATGAATGGTTTTAAATTGGTCTTTATTTGAAAGCTAGGGATTAATGGAATCGAATACGGGTTATTAGCTATCTACTGAAAATTTTGGAGATGGAATAGCTTTCCTTGGGAAGTAGTTCAAGTTCACGCAAAGTCCGGTTTGACTTGAGATTTCTCCCCATTTTACTTTGGCTCTGTACACTATACTAACACTATTTCTGATGATCTTGCAACCTACTTTATGGCCATTAATGTTGCACTAAACCATACTGTTAACGAAGCTGAACTAAATGCAACGTCACAGAATGTCAACTACAAAGTATAGGAAATATCAGTTTTGTAACATTATGCTAATATACATGTATCTTGGTCAATGGAAAGTTATTCGTAAAATAAATAATATACCAATTTAAAATGCAAAAATTGTAAAAATTTAGTAAGGTGCAAAAAATGATATTTACATCATCAAAAGAGCACTGAAAACTGTCGAAAAATGATGGCTTCTGTGAATGCTGTATAATGACCTTTCTGGAAACCACAATACGCGATGAAGATAATCAGTATTATAAGAAAATTTCATGATTACCCGGATGTGGTATAATGAGGTTTTTTAGGGTTAAATTTGTTATTGTTGGGTGTGGCAGGTGTGGATAAAGGAAGGGAAGGATGGGGAAAAGGGAGAGAAGATTGGGGAGAAAAGGTTGCTGACTCCCTCTCTTTTCTCTTCCTTTTTTCTCTCCCCGCTCCCTCGCCCTCTTTACATCTCCCACTCAGGCTTTTGTGGCTATTGTGGACAAGATATACACTTGGATTTTCCAAAGCTACAGTATGTTTGGTATCCAGAAAAACTCTTCCAGCATATCACATCACAAACATATTTTGCCCAAATACTAAAATTTTTTTATCCTCATGGGAAATTACACGTCTGTTAACATTCAGTTTATCACACAGATCACCAAACTATTGGCAAGTTGAGTCTTTTTGTGACCTGAATTAAAAGTAGATAAGAAGGCAAGTGTATCATTCTCTCTAGATTAAAAAAAAGCATATCATACATATTCATTTATGACTTAAAAGGCTAAAAGTAATTTCAACTAATGTGAACTATAACAATATTTACAGATAAGATTAGTTTTTATCATCTCCAACTCCAGGAATAAATGAGAGAAGCAAAATCATTACAAGAGTAACAACAACTAATCCTGCCACAATTTTAAACACTTCCCTTTGTGCATCAGTTGTCACTGTGGATCTTTTCTGTGGACTAGTTTTCTTAGCTGGTAATCCTTGACCTGCAGAATTCTTATGCTTTTCTTGTATGACCTCAACTGTTTTAGTAATTTTGGTATTTTCTTTTTCTTCTTTGACTTGTTGTCTGGCATATAGAGGACCTGTTGAGAGATGTCACAACTTGTCAAAGCAGCTTTCAAATGGAAAATTACCAGTCTATTGCACTGATAATCAGATTCTCTCTTACCCACATATTACCAGCTTTGATTTTGAATTTTTTTTTAAGCCAGAAGCGAAAAACATACCCATTCAAGCAACCAATGGCACATACTGTCCAATTATTCAGACAAGATGAGTACTGTCTTATTATACTGTCCTGTTAATGCTCAAATCATGGCAGCTGATAGCCAATCAGATTAGAAAGCTAGTGTCATGTATACAGTGGAACCTCTCCTTTGGAACACCTCTATTCAAGGGACAACTCCATTGAGGGGACATAAAATTTGGTCCAGGAAAAATGCTCACATAATCTTTGTATCTATTACCTCTATTGACGGGACACCTCTATTGAATGGACACCTTGGCATTCAAAATACGAGTAACCAAAAAGAAGATTGATATCTTTACACAATGTAAGTGTACTACACTAAAAACAATCATGAAGTCTTTCACATATTGAAATATTCCTTTGTTCAACTTATAATGTCGGTTAATTATTAACAAACCCCAGTTTTACGGACACCCATTAAATACAGACACCTCACTATCATGGAGAGTTTGCTTTGTCTCTGGGGAAAGAAAACCCTTACATTTTCTCTAAATTCAACCTGCTTAATACAAACACCTTGTTAATATGAAGTCTTTCTGTAGCACCTCAGTGTCCATATCAACAGGGTTTCACTGTAATACTAATGAGTTCTCTACGTAGTTAGTTCCATTTTTTGCCCATGGCAAAAGTACAAATGTCAAAACGTTCTTTCAAGTTTCCTGGTACCAGTAAATGCATTTCTTGAAGTCAGTATCTTGAAGTCATATACTGGTAGTTGAGATCCAAAAATCATGTACAGTCTAACCTCTCATAAGTTACACCCTTGGACGAGGTGTAGGTGTTGGTTATGGTAGGCAAGATAAACTGAAGCACTTACAAAGCACATAAACATTGAGATCGGTGTTGCAAGTTCCTTTTTTGGGTAGGTTTAAAATACAGTGATATTTCAGTGGTGAATTACCATGATCACCCCCTTTTGACTGTACTGGTAATATTATCAGGGTTGCCACTAAGATTTGAAGTTGCCAGGGCTAGGTGTACGCAATTAGTAGACAGGGAATTTAACACCTGGGAATTTTTTCCTTTTGTTTCCTTTGAAAGTTGCTGGGGGTCATGCTTATGAAATCCCTGGCCTTGGCCCTTAATGACAGCCCTGAGTAATTCTGAAGTTATGTTGTGATCGATTATTCATGACTTACCCTTTCTTTGATGAAGTATGATATAGTCAGATGTTGGTGTACCTTTTGGAGTCTTAAGTTTGGTATACTCCTCTGTAATTTTCTGGTTTGTCTGCAACACTTGGCTAGTTTGAGCCCTCTAAGGGATTAAATTAACGATAACAAAAAATTGAATAAGGCAATGTAAACTAAATCATCTTTGGACAAATCCAAGAGTTTTAAAGAAAACAAAAGGGTAGAGGAAACTTGTCTGGGTCTAATCCCAACCACAATAATAGTAAGGATATTTCATACAACAACCAAAACTAAAAGTTGGGAATTACCTAAGATTTCATAATCAATCATCAGAAATAATAATTTGGATTGCCCAAACCGACTGATAAAGGATTTTAATTGGAAACATCTCTTAATAGGAATTTCACTTATTTTTCACCTGCGTGCAAGTCAAAGAAAAGTTTTGAGTGTTTTAACTGTGGACTAATTCTGTTAATGACAATGATTTTGTTAATGAAATAGTTAAGCATGTTAATTTTCTTCAATATTGTATTAACTTAATCAATTTCTACCCTTGAATAAACACCCCCTTGATTAAGTGCAGCCCCCAAAAGCAAATTATCAGTGAACACCGCCCTTGAATAAATACCACACCCAACCAGATAAATGCGGCATTTATTTGAGGATTATAAGAAAAAACTTGGTGCAACTTTGTAATCTACACCATCAAGACAAATATAATTCTCTCCTGGCAAAAAAAGTGAGACATTGGAACTCTGACATGTTTCTGTTGAACACAATATTTACAATTATAAAATAACTAAGACAGTGCACGTGCTCTGATTGGCCGAGAGGCGTGTTTGCATGAGAGTATGTAAACATGGTTGTGACATCAAGATGTTTTGCTTTTCGTGCACTAATCACGCGAGCACGAATTTGAAAAAGGTTTTTTTGTTGAAAACCTCGACAAGTTTACTTTATTCACACATTTCCTCGTCGGCTGAAACTTGGAAAATCTTTAGAAACATGCTGTGTCAATTTTTTTTCGCTTGAGCTGACATTTTAAGCGAGAAAAAAAAACGTATTTTGGAAAGCATCTTCTTTGCAAAACAAGGACTGATTACGCGTACAAGCTTCGTGTACAAGACTTCGTGACTGGTAAGAATTTGTCTTTTAATCAGCACTCTAAACAAGAGAGTTTTGCTTTTTTTCTCGGGGAAGTTATTTTATGAAAGCAATAGAAAACTTTTTTCCTGTGTTTGCATATCCTGACATAAACATTTGAGGGGTTGGGAGAATTCTCGACAGTTATGCAAACCCTTAACTTCGTCTCGGGTTTGCATAACTGTCTTGAATTCTCCCAACCCCTCTCGTGTTTATATCAGGCTATGCAAACATGGAAAACGTTTTCTATTGCTTAACTGGTTCATCATAACTGTTATCCATGATTAAAGAAATGTGATTTTGAAATACTAATAAATATTTCCCTCAAATGAATGCTGCCCTTGAATAAACATTGCATCAAAAATGCTTAAAACTTAATTATTGCTGTAGCAATAAATCAAATAAAATGGTACACCTGAAAAAAGTTGGAACATTTAAAGGAGTAGGTGATTGAAATGACTGGAAGTGAATGGGACAACGAATGCCAAAACACAAGGACCATGATAAAAAGTACCTTTGGTGTTCTGGCTTTTCTACCAGGTGACGGAGACCTTGGAGAAGCAAACTTTTTAATCAGCTCTTGGCAACCTTGTAAATTTTTTACAGGTTCCCATGAATCTTCGCTTTGGTCATAACCCTTCCATCTCACTAAATACTCCACTTTACCATGTCTGGTTCTCCTTCCCAGAAGAGTTTCAACCTACAAATAAAAAGAAATCAGACTTCTACATAGAAAACGCTCAACTCTTGGTGGTTTCGTGGAAAAATAAGTACTAGACCACATACTTGTAGTTCAAGTAGCTCAGGTGCTAAATTTCAGCAGCCCAACAATGTGGCACCTGTTTTATTGGCTACTGCACGCATATAAATTGTAGCAAAGGTTCTCAAGGTTACAATGTTCAAGAACTTGAGCTTTCCCTTCATTAAGAATATTTTGCATTATTTACGCTTGTTTTCATTAAGAAATCTGGAATTAAAATTTTATGATTTTTTAAGTTATGAGTAAGAAACTTAAACTTAAGCTTACATTGATCAACAGTCTCGATTGAGTTTGCATTGAAAGGCCGGTATTTATCCGCTGGTAAACTTATTTAAAAAGTTAAGATCCTTGCATAATGATATACTAGTCTTTGGTCCATTTATCTGACCTTTCCTGCTGCAATAGATGTGATGAAGAATGATTAAAAATCATTTTTCATGCAAATAATCGACCAATCATGAAAAAATAAGCTCAGGCTTATGAGGTCGATGTGTGCGACTGTCTCTGCTTCACTCTCGCACATTAAAAACTACTGACACACTACTGCTCTTCTCACGTCCCGATTTCTAACAGCTAGATAACTTTAAAGAAGCAACTCTGTTATTTAAGGTCTTTTTTTTCATTCTTTACCTCAAACAGTTCTCCTTCTGAAGTTGAAAGTGGAGAAGAAGCCATCTTTGTTTAGTTAAACAGCGCGCGCCAAAAACGATTGCATCACGTGATTAGATTGGTCCTGTGATCGACACTTTATGATGATTTACACGAAGCGGTGCAAGGCTTTGAACGCCTGATTGTTTTCTGCATTGCCGCGCGCTCTGCCAGTAGCTCATTCAAAAAAATGAAGAACGGAGTTTGTGTTTTTGTCGAAACGTGATCGTTAGTTATGGAGGTTGAGTTGAATGCAAGATCAAAACGCCATTGGGAAGATTCCTTAGATGGTGAGACTGTGGAAACTGCGCAAGTTAAATTCAAACGGTTGTTAGGTAAGGACGTCTTTGACGCACCCGATACTGATCTGCATGCATCTACGCATCCTTTCCAGAACTCATCAGCTCGATCGTCACGACTATCCTTAATATTCAGTTGATTACTTCTTCCAGGCAGTAATAGAGGAACTCATTTAACAAAATTGTTTGATTATTATGTCTAGAAAGGAATCAGGGATTCAAGCATGCAAGTCTTAACTCGATGGATGAAATAAAAAATATAATTTTTAAGCTGGTTGATGACAACCGAAGTTTTGAAGGAATAATAAGAGAGGTGGGTAGTGATGACCCTGTTGGCCCACTGAACAAAGAGTTCCTTCTTTTTAGGGGCTGATGGCTGAAAAATTGTAGCGGGGGATGACAGTCTTTGCCCTGGAGGTTGGAATTGAGAATGTGACCCCTAGTAATTTGACAAGATAGACGTTTGTTTCTCATCTCGGCAGAATTTTGAAAAAAGAACACTTTGAAGCTAATTGCCTTCAAATTAAGTAAATTCTTGCAGCAGTAAATTCTAAGCAAACTCTCACCTGCACTCATCCACCAGGCTCCAGTTGTTCAAAAGCTGGATAGTGGTATCCACCGGATAAGTTGACTATCCAGTGGATAAATAGTAGGGAAACCAATTGGGCTATTCAGTGGATAGAGATTTATCCATCAGGCCCCGGTTGTTCAAACGTTGGTTAGCGCTATCCACCGGATAAATCACTATCCAGCGGATAGCGTAATTAATTTCCGTAATACTTATCCGCTGGATAGTTATTTATCCGCGGATAGCGCTAACCAACGTTTGAACAACCGGGGCCAGATAATGCTATCCATCTTTTGTTAAACAATTGGGGCTAGACTTTTACCAGTCTTCTGTGGATATTAAAGTTGACATAAAAAGAAGTACATCAGCGCTGTCAAAAAGTTTTTGATTAGCTGGCTGATAATGGATAGTAGGCGGCTTTGGAACACACACCAAAGGCATAAGTTCTTGATGGCTGAGGCATCTAGGGACATTTTGAAATTTAGAGTCTCAGAAATTCCATTTCCAGGGGTTTTCAAGAGGTATTTTCCACCGCGGATGCCATGTTGTTTTGTCAGAATACATGCAAGACTGGGAACAATGCGGTCGAAATGTCCCAGGCATTCCACAACATCGCACGGTTCAAGTGTTTCACAGATCTAAACCTATTTAAATATGCATTCAATATCATTCAAAACTCGGAAACGGATGCTTTACAAATTTTCTTCAATGGTGCTTTTTTTTGTTAGTAGTTATGGTACAAGGAGATGAAAGTAGCCAGCTACGGATGGCTAACTAGCTGGCGGGTTTGGCCAGCTACTGGCCCATATTGACAGCCCTGGTCCATGTCTTCTTAATACAAAAAATTTAACATGTGAGAAAGCAATTTTTTTAAAGACAATGGTCAGCAGTCTTATGGATAAAATATCAAGAGGTATACTGAAAAAATGATGTATAATATGCAGGGAATAGCTTAAAAGTTATCCAGAATGATTAAGATTTTTTTTATCTGCCTTTGGGTCTTAATTTTTTTCAGAATGAACAGGACGTGGGGTGAAGTGGCCTGTCTGACATCCCATTGTCACATAATAATTTATATATTATAAATTAAATGTTGAGTAACTTAACCCATTTGCTCCTGGACATTTTGCCGAAAAACGCGTTTTGAAGCTAGTCGAGTGGTTTTCTGGTCACTGTCATGCTATAAAGAGCTAAAACTTACCACAAACCCGTTCACAGGTCGCACACGTCACAGCCTTCTGATCCAGATGAAAAATATCAGCTTGCGTAGTTCGGGCATGCGCAAAAAGTAAAATCTCGAGATAGTTTTTGGGTATAAAAGTGACACAGCAGTCTTGACTTTTACTTTTCACTTTCTCTCCTTCCCTCTTTTTTCGCTTTTCTTGCCTCATTTTTTTTTCTCTTCCTGGGCATTTAGTAGGCTTCATTTCGGTGGGAAGAGTTTTTAGCAAAGCTTTTAGGATCTTAGGATTAGATGAAAGGAAAGGTAGGTGGGCAATGGAACAAGATTTTCATGGAGATTTACAGGTCAATCTTACATGTTTTTTGCCATTTTCTCCAGTGTCCTTGACTGAATTGTGCTCATTCTGGTATGGTTTGAAAGATCTCTTTACTCTGCACAAGTTAGCTGACAAAGTTGTCCTTGATCGTTAAAACTGATAACGCCACAAGGGGTAGAAAGGACGTGGATCCGCTTGGGCGGTTACGGGCGGTTCAGGGGCAAATGGGTTAAGTCGTAAAAAATATCTGTATGTTGATACTTGCTCTTTCAATATATGTTATCACCAACTGTACATTTCATCAATAATATTTGTAGAGCGAAGATATCTCTAATATAGGAACATGTGACTCCTGGCATCGAGAACCATCAAAGTTAGAATCATTTTCTGTGCTTACTGGTGAGTTTTTTTGATTAGGGGCGGAGGGAAGGGGGGTGAGGTAATACTGCCTGGATGAGAATTGTAGCTGAGATAGCAGTTTCTGAGGGTTATCTGACATACCCAGACTGAATTGGTTTTTCTAGAAGACAGCTGAATTGCTCTTATTATGCTGAAAGGACAAAGGCAAATAGTAGAAAATGTCCCTGACTAAACTGTAAAGGAACCAATTTGATTCAAATCATCTTGGCATGTAGTTGACCTGTTTTACAGATCAGTCATCAGTAGGAATACACCGCTAGTGATCAAACAGGGAGGGAAGAAAATGTTGACAAGTTGATTTAAATGGTTTGATTTAACTAAGGTATAGTCAAATTATACAGCAGGTATTATGGAGCAAGGCTGAGAGCAGGGGGTGCTTATCTAAAAGAGCACTTGTGAGAATATGCTAGGGGGGTATGCAGAGGTATGCTCTTCTGGCAAATAATAACATTTTCATTATGGTGTTATGTTGCCTCTGTGACTTGTTCGTCTAGTTGTCTCATCTTGGCTGTTTGAGTCTCAGTCATTAACAGCTCAAACTTACAATGTAGCACTTCTCAAACAAGAGAATTTGTCTGATCATTTTGCCCCCTTTTCTTTGCCAAAGTCTGTTGTCAGGGTCCTTTTTCATGTTGCATTCTTTGTTCTTTGAAATATCATACCTTTGCTTAACCACAATTCCAAATATTTGATTTGTAATTATGGCAATAAGTGGTATCAATGGAAGAGTATACCAAAAAGCAGTGATTTAATATCAATTGAACTCTGGTAGAAACAGCTTCACTTGAAATAAACTGATGCAAACCGTAAGGTTTGTAAGCTGTAAGACACAGCTCTCAAAAGTATGAAAAAAAGGGCAAAGTATGAAAAAGGGGCAAAGTAAAGCTATACACAGAAGAAAAGGTTGAGGTCAGAAGATTAAGACATACATAGTTTTTAATTGCTGTTTAATCCTGTCTGTTTTTTCAGCGGACAGTTGTGTCGACTTGCTGAAATGCCAGGCAACAAAGGCATCATGCCCTTTGGACCTTTTGGCAGCAGAGAGCATGGCAAAAAGACTGATAAGTGTTTGCAAGCCTGCCTCACAACAGCTGTTGGCAGGATGTCAACTGGTAATTATTTCTGAACTATAAAGAAAACAGTAAAGGATTGTGAAAATAAGGATGTATGAATTTCCATCATTCTTTTTTTTCTTTTTCTTTTCAAGCAAGTAAAATGCCACAGCCATCTCAGGACTGTGTGTGAGTTGTTTATGCAGACGTTTCAATACAATGAAGGCTTTAACAAAGAATTGTACAGTTATTTCCTTTTATCGCCGCTATAGAGCCAACCAGGGGCACCCTCAAAGTGATTACCATTTCAAGTGCTATTATGGAGAATGTTCCAAGAATGGTGATTGTTTTTTTGGTGAATTGACGAGAATTATAGAAAAAGAACCATAAAACATTTACGTTCAGTTGTGTTGAGGGAAAACAGAGTGACACACTTGACTTATCAATGTCTACACTGACCACTGAATCCTTGTGATGTCCAATTTCTGTGTTAAACATTGTTACTACTGTTTCAGTCATAATTTAACTTAAATCACAAAGTACCTTGATCAGGTGATTATAACATCCTGAACTTGTTATTTTTCCCTCATTAGACCCCAGGTTTATTTCTAGAGACAATTCTATTAAAAACTATAGTGCGAGCAGTGGTTTCTCCTGGCCAGATGCTGTGCTTCAAAGCATTTGGCTTGGAGAAACCACGGCTCGAAGGGTAATTAAAAACTGAATATATTGTTTCACTTAATTGCTATAATATGTAACTTATAATTACTTGTTGTCAGACATTTAGTGGTCATGATGAAAGTTACAGATTAGGCACTAAAATAAGTTAAATGTAAAGAAAGGAATGAAATAAAACAAAAAAAAAAAGAAAAAGCTTCTGTGTTTTTTTGCATGTGATAAAACTGTGGATAAAGTCTGGATCTGGAAATAATGTCTGTTTGTTTATTGTAGGACTCTGTGCTCAGTGTTGTAAAAGTGATAAAGCAGATGCTGGCCGAGCAGTGTTTCAACAGAGTTTATTTTGCCAAGCATTTGACTAGTAAGGTACTAATGTACTAGTCCTTAATATTATTCTCTTAGCTTAAAAAATAGCTGCCTTGAGTCAAGTGGTAGGTCTAAAGACTAGGCCATAGGTTAGCACATACCACTATGCTGAAAGAGACTAGGAAGATTGACCTGTGCTCAATATCACCTGTATTTCAGAACTGCCCTTAGTCAAAAGAGTTGTAAATTGAAACTAATACTTGAGCTATACTTCATGAATTACCTTGTTTTAAAAGTTGTTAATCATATTTTGTAGGGTCCTTGTCTACCCCTGGAAGTTGTCTGGTTGCTACACAAGGACTGTATAGTTTCCTTTGACACATATTTAGCATGGTAAGGTATTTTTCAATGTATATTTTTGTACTGTGGTAATCAGGAAAATCTCAATGTCACCTGAACCTGAATTGAAGTACTTCATTCATTAGGTTAAGTGAACTTATCAACCATAACTCACCTTTTTAACTTACTACATTGTTTTTTACTTTTTTCTAAGCTGTTTGCAGTGTGATGAAACTGTGGAAGTGGTTTCTCATGGACTTTTGTCTCTCTGTACAAATATAACCAACAAGGAAAAGCAAGGAAGTATTTTGTCAGGTTAATCCTCTAAAGAGCTGACACTATATGTGTTTCATCTATTTTTAATGAAGTTATTGATCAAAGAATTTTTTCAATATCAAATTCTTGTTTAAAACCACTATTATTTAAACTAAAAGGATCAGTAAATGTCTTTAAACTATTATATGGCATCGATCCTCATTATAATTATAGTACATATCACAAGCTTTTAATGGATTATGTATTTAAGAATGGAACCTCTTGTAAAATTAATGGATTGGAACTTGCACACTGACAAGACCTACAGTCAATGTAAATATGTAATATTTTTAATGACATTTTTGTGAGTTTTGTGATAGCATTTTAAAACCTTTACTTTCTTTCAGTTCTTTTAGGAAGATTGATTTCATTTTCATTTCTTGAAAACAAGACAAAGGAAGGACCAATTGCAAACAATAGATTAGAAAAGGTGACAAACTTGTGTTTAATTATTGGCTTCTTTTCTGTTTTCTAACTTAACCAGACTTATGTATTTAGATTTCCCAGGACATCATGGATATTGTAGTAGAGAAAAGTGATTTTCTGCTTTGCAGAAAAATGGACTGTCCTCCACAAGACGAAAGTAAAGAAAGGTTTGTTATGAGCAGTTGATGTGACATTATGTCTATAAACTTATGGCTATGGGTATAGAAAAGTCAGAGTGCCCATTCAGCAATCCCATGATTCCTTGGGTACTGTTGTGCCAATCTACTCACTGGATTTTTAAAGAACTACAATCTGAAACAAAAGTAGTAGGAAGAGTTGTTTTTACTGAACATAATTTCCTGGCATTTCATCCAGCAGTGCTTGATGTGGAATTCAGTAGCTTTTTCGTGTCCTGAATGTCTCCCTTGACCCCTTTTCAAAGTTGGGAAACTAAACAAGAAAAATAACTCAAACTGTTCAGTCTTTTTACAACATTAAACCAGAAGTGGGGCTGGTGAAGAGAAGTCAATACGCGGTTAAAAATTGTTATCCTTCCCAACAGTTTTGTCTCTGATTGTAGAGGAGCACTATAGTTAACCAAAATTTGGTTATCTATACATCCAAGAAATTTTGGTTCTCACAAAATCGTCTGTTGTCAGTATATGTATGTCTACCAGGGTATCTGCTGACCAGTGTCACATGACTGTATCATGGGTTCAGGTTTACAACTCTTTACGGTGATGTACTTTTTTTTATCCTCTTACCATGCAGTTATTAGTTTTCAATTGATCACAGGCCCAGGTCCATTTTCTGAGGAGGAATTCAGTTTGCTTTCTGCTTACTTGTACATCCAAATTTGAATGACTTGAGAAATACATTTCTTAAAAGATCACTCAAGAGCTTCACTGTTGGCCTTGGCTAAATTTATATATTAGGATTTTCGCATGGTTCATACCTGATGTAAGGTATGAGACTGCACCGTTGTATCAACACCATACAATGTTATTAAATGATAATCTTTATTCTACTAGTTTGAGGACTGTAGACAGCTAAGATTCATGTGAACGGTGATCAGTGTGATTGGGAGTAGATAACAGGGCCATTTGCATTACACCACTAAGGCTGATTTAAGGTTGCCAACAAGGGTTACCCCACAGCTATAATTCTTGTTTTCTCTTTGTAGATTTTGTGTGTTAGAAATAGTGAGAAGATTAAATGATATACCATGGCCAGCCATAAGAAAGTTCTTTTCAAGGCAGCTCAATTTGTTCTTTATGCAACCGCCAGATGCTGGTAAGAAGGTTAAATAACAAGCAAACAAACCAAACCAGAAAGGATTGGCAGAAACAATGTTTTCCCTGTCAGCAAACTTTGTTTTTGTTTAATTTGTTGTATTATGTCAAATAGCAGGTGTAGTACAGGTCTATTGCATGATCTCCTCATTACTTTATAGCGGACCTCGCGCATGTGCAAAGCGTGCGCAGCAGAGCAAGAAAATTTGGTTATGCATCTAAGAAATTTTAGTTGAGAAAATCGTCTGTACGACGTACATCCACCCCTTCATGTAAGTCAGGTGAAAGTTTGCATTTCAAGCACTCAGGCATTTTGGTGCTAAATCACATAGCTGCCCGGCCGGACTAGCAACAACAACAAAGCCGATTCTTTCTTTTGACTTAGGGTGCGTTCGATTGGGAAATCCGGATTTCAGTGTTCTCCTTATCAGGCGGTAACTGGTAAAATTTACCGCCTGAAGTAATACCTCTTACCGCATACAGTTTTACTAAAATTTAAGAAGAAGTGTTAAATATACGCAAGTGAGTTGTGATCCGATCCGATTCTCACAAGTAAATGAATGAATATATGGAAAATTACTTAAGTATACACAGCTTTTTTTTTGTGGGCCACGAGTTTTGGAAAGAGCGCATTGAAGACGGAGTAAAATTATTGGAATCAAACATTTTAAATTGTTGTATAAAGAAAACAACGGCCAATTTGCTTAAAATAAAGGGAATGACCTTTCAGAGAACTTAGCTCCAAAATTTCACAGCAAGGGCCTAGCCATGTCCCTCACTCTGCTACCCCCCCCCCCCAAATTAAAATGTGCCTCTGGCACATATCCTGTGCCTTACCGGCCATGAATCGTCCTTTACCTGCTGAGCTAAAATTTAGGGAGAACACTGGGATTTAGATTTTCAAAATCTAAATCCGGATTTCCCAATCGAACGCGAAATCCGAAAACGGATCTCATCTCCGAGAAATCCGTCCTCAGGGTGGATTTCAATTAAGAAATCCAAATCCGGATTTCATGGATTTCTTTTTTACCGTTCGATTGGGAAATCCGAAAAAGGAGTTGCAAAACTATTCTCGTGAACAGTGGTCTTCTTTTTTTTAAACCGCTGTTCTTAAGGACAGTTTTTCAAATCCTTTTTCGGATTTCCCAATCGAACGGTAAAAATGAAAATCCAAAAACAGATTTCTCAGCGTTGAAATCCGTTTTCGGATTTCGCGTTCGATCGCAAATCCGAAATCCGGATTTTGAAATCTAAATCCAGATTTCCCAATCGAACGCACCCACTTAATTTAAAAGTCTACGTTAACGTGGATAACAGAGAAAGTGCTAGAGCAAGAGATAGAAAACAAAGCAGACCAATTTTGTTGGAAGAAAAACATGTGAAATTTATAGCGACGGTGAGAAAATTATGAGAAATGCTAGTGGCCACAAAGGTGAAAATGAGCGTCAGCAAAAAAAGTGAACACGGGAACACATAACATTAACTCGATAAAACATGTAACTACAGTGTAGGAAGTTTCTGGAAGTTTCATGTTTTAGTTATCCAAAACAACAGCAAAGAAATGTACAAAAAAAGTGTGCTCCAGTTTTCATTCCCATCGCTGCTTAGCATTACACGATTTTATACTTTCTTTGAGTAAACTTCAGAAATTAATGAGAGCTTCACTTTTAGCCCTGGTTAAATCTGTACATTAGTCACAAACAAGGCTGTTGAAGTGCAAACACTTGCACAAAAAGCTTCAGACTCCAAATGTTTTTTAACTTAAGGAGAGAGGCAATATTTGCGATAGACTAGAGTGTTTTGCTTGTAAACCGCAGACATCTTTTGAGTTAGTAGATTGAATATAGGTTTTCAGGCCAAAAAAAAAGGTTGTCTTGAGTCTCCTATTTTTTATTCGAACTGTTTAACCCTGATAAAAAGACCGTTGATACTGTACTTACTTTTAAATGTTTTTATTTTGGTGTTATTCGTTTTGTTGTAGACACTCTTAAGCTTGACTGTCGTGTTTTTTGTAAACAAAAGGATTTTAAGTTCTCAACGCTTATTCAAACTGCAAGGACAGTGATTGAACAGGTAAATCGTCCAGAAGTATCTTTTACACTGTATTGTAATTGATCTTATTATTTTAAACTTTTATTGAAGAGCATCCATCTAAATCTCTGCTTAAACATTAATTCTATATAGCAAGACAGTGTGATGAAACAAGTACTGTTTTAAAATTGACCTCACATGTAACTTGCGTTGTTTTTTATTTCAGTTTCTTTTAATCTTTGATCCTATGACTCTCATTGAGTGTCTGAAGAATGCCGTTTTCAAGGACCAGGTGTGTGTGCTTAACATAAATGAAAATTGTCAAAAAGGATACTCTTACTTTCAGTTAGGAAAAAATAAATTTTGAAGAAAAGTCAGGAAAAATTTAAGTTTTACTGATTTAATACCATTTATTACGTTTAAAAGATGCTTTTAAGTTCACTGTGAAACTAAAGGTTTTTGAAATTTTTGGTTTTGATTGTCATTTTTGTAGCCTTAAAGATATCTGTGTTAAGTAAATTTAAAAGTTTTGGAACCAAAACCATTACTTGGTTACGATCTCTTAATTATCCCGTGTCATTTCTAGATACCGACTGCATCTACTGTCATTAAACCTTGATGAGCTTTATCTTGAGACTTTGAGATCAACTCTTCTTTTTTTCCCGTAGGTTAACGTACCATGCGTCCTTTCATTTCTCTCATCGTTTGTTGTTCTTGTAAAGGAGGCTGCATCCATGATTGAAGGTAGTAACCAGAAACGTTTGTGCCTCTCTCATTACCTAATTTGGCAAAACACTAGTTTACCACACCTCTGAATTCTTGCAGGACGTTTTTATGTTTGTTGTTTGTTGTTTTAACTTGAATTAACCTTGAAATGTTTTGAACAAGCTACAGCAGGAGTTGCAACCTTCTCTTTTTTTTGGGCTGTACTGCCAGAACTTAAAGTATTTCCCAGTGACAGTCAGTAAATGTAACTTTTGTTGATTCCTAAGGTTACGTCAATGATTTGTTGAACGAGTCATTGAATAACAATGACAGTCATTCTCTTCTTATTGCCTTCGTGATGGTCAGACAAATGTCGTTAGAAGGTGGACATGTCTTTAAGCCTTACGTCATGTGGTTTCAGGTAAGACTTGTTGCGATAAGTACATTATGTTTGTTATGTACTCTTTATGCTAACGTCCAAACAACTCCCCTAAAATCAGTAAATTGTTGCTTCATCTTAAGGGTATAGTTTTTTACTGATTTTGTTAGTTATTATGTCCAAACGGATGGCAAATTACTGTATAACGTTATCTGGACATTGGGAGAAATGGCACAATTTAACATTCGGTTTCCTATTGCTAAATTCTTGTTGCCGTATTCGAGGGCAACTTTTCTCAAAATTAACTTTATTGGATCAGTTGTTGAATATAATAAGAATGATAATTAAAAGATATGAAAAGTGGAGTTATGACCTTTCATGTATGTTAACGTGTGAAAAATTTATCTCAGTTGTTTACACGACTTAGTAAAAGAGGAACTGAAATTTCGTATATTCACTTTCATATCTTCATCTCCAACGGGTGTATTACAAGCTTAAAAAGTTGTCTGCTGTGGCCCAGTTGTTTTGTTAGGTTAGTTGCCCTGGTATCGCAGTATCATGGGTTTGCGTTATCTCCAGCTTAGATGTTTTACTTGGTAAATGACAATGGTAGTAGTAATAGCACTCGAAGTTGTTCAATGTGCCGTCGCTATTTTTTGTGCTTGCCTTAAAAATGTTTTTCACCACACAAGAAATATATAACTAATCGCACATTAATACAGTACAAAACAACATAACTTGAAAGTATGAGTAAACATACGTAACATACCTGAAAACGCTGAAATGTAACTGGTGCATTTAACAGCCCAAAAGGGATTTGCTGACCAAAGAACCTTGTATCATTAGTAGCTTCCTACCTGGCTTCACTGTTTATGTCATGATATTTGTTTTAGGGTTACTTTGGTGATCAAGGAAACTTAAAGTTGAATATTAAGAAAAGTGTGCAGTTTTTCATAAAGTTTCTCTCTGAGCTTGTGCCATATGAGCCTGCTGAATATTTGAAGGTATTTTTATCATATGGTTAGGGTATTGTGGATATGTCGCGTAAAACGTGTTGAAACCAGTTTTATTTTTTTCCCGCATATTATTGATATGGACATGTGACAACGAGTGAAAACCTCTTCGCCTTTTCGAAATACAGACAACTAATCGTGTACACTGATTTAATTGAAGAATGTTAGTTTGTTGTTTGAGTCAAATAAGTGAAGCGTAGAAACTGCCATCATGGAGCTTTGACATGCCGTAAATCCTCTGTCAAGCCTCCCTGGAGATTATTTATTTCAAACACTTTTAAGCGGGGGACGGCGGGGGGCTTAATAGAGACTGGGGGCTTATTCAATTTTGCAAAAAATATAGTATCGGTTCTTCATAATAACGAGAATGCAAGGTGGAAAGGCTCAAGTACAGGAAGTTGGAGGACATGCAGCTGAGGTTAAAAAACAGATCCGGACTTCCAGCTGGTGAATAAACCATCCTGTATTAGTCCACACGAAGTTATACAGTCGCAATAGACTCCTGATAGTCATGATTGATTAATACAGTCTATCATTTATCGGTGAATAATAATAAGGGGCAGGGGGGGAGGCTAAAAAGAGAGGGGGGCTTATTAACCTTCTTCCACTGAAAAGGGAGAGCCTATTTGAGAGGGGGGGCCGGGGGACTTAATAGAGGATTTACGGTATTTTTTGGTAAGAATCTTGAGCAAGTAATAGAGCTAGGACACCAAAAGAATGAAATGATAAAGTTTAAATAAAACGATTTGCATGATAAAAAGTGGAAACGAAAGTACTGTAAAAACGTTACTTACACGTTAATGTTGTTGAGTTGTCTGTGTCTGCGAAATAAACTATAACTGAAATAAACAAAAAAACATTGACATAAAAACATCACACGGCCTACAACGTAATCCCAAAAAATAATTTATGTTCTCTTCACCAATCATAGGTTCACATTATCAAAGCTCCTCAAGTACCAAGCAAATTACGCGAACTCGTTACTGATTATGCGTCCTTGGCAAAGACTAGACTGATGGACCTTAAGGTAATGTTGAAATTAAAAGAAGGCCTCGGTATTGTTATACTTTAAAGGGACTGCAATCGGCGACTAGATTGAGACAATGTCGTCAAATATTTTTACATCGGAAACAAAACAGTCTGGACCCCCCCCCCCTTCATACTCCCCACGTACATTACCTCAGTATTGGAGGAACTGCATTGGCCCTCCAGCTAATGCGCTTTTTTATATAAGCAGAGCCAGGTCAATAACTTGCTGGCAGCAAAAATGATATGTTGTTAGGAGATAATCCGTGACTGTTAGTAGTCTTGTGCAAGAAGGAAAGTCTGTATTTTTTGGTTTACCTAATCTGTTTGTGATTGCTATTTTGATCAGGAGCCTGTGGAACTCGTGAGAATGTATGGAGACGGTTCTGCTGGGACGGAGGCAAAAAGTGAACATGCAAAGGTTTGCATTAAAGAACAAGAAGAGCACTCATGAAAAACGCCAATAGTGGAAATAAAATGTGCTCCTGTCAATTTAATTGAGTCATTTTTTATTTCATACCAGTACTGTATAAAGGTTAATGAACATTTGTTTGTCATAGCAACTTGAGCAGGCTTCTTCAGATGTCGATAAAGTCCTTGACGCTTATGAAAAATCCGGCAAAGTACCAAGCACTGTAATGGAAGCAAGGTGAATGACTTGAACTTAAGTTATGTACTTGCACGTAAGTAATGTTTGGTAAAGCTCTACTATTGAATATTAAAAAATGTTTTGGAATCCGTTGGCTTTGATACTTAAGGTACTTTTTGTGACATACATTATGGTTATAATTTCACTAATCATTGCGTGTATGCAATTTATTCATTTTCCTTTTTTTCATTCATTCCAGTATATTCAGGAAACCTTATTTTATAGGGAGATTTCTGCCTGCGTTGCTAACTCCAAGAAAGGTTTGCCGTCTTTATTGCTTTGCTGTTTCTCCTAATCACTGAGTTTTTAAATGTACTGTGTAGAATAAGGAGAAGAGTGTTTCATGAGGACATTTGAACACGGAAAGAAAGATCAGCACAAGGACAGAAAGATTATCGCATAATTGTTGAAACACCTTTTCGCGGTAATTGTTGGCTTTTCAGTTTTCAAATCTTTGCAGGAAAATATGAAATGACGGTAACGTTCTTTAAATTTTACGTGAAAACGGTTCAGGTATCTTACGTAGTTGTCTTTCTCTGTATGTGGTAATTTTGTGGTAATTTTCCAGAAAAAAAACATTTAAAAGAGAACGTTTAGCCTTGTCCAAACATATTGCTAAGCTGGTATCTTGTTTTGTTGTACTATTGAGGTATGATGCTCCGCGTTAATTTTTAGATCCCTGATGAACCTGACACAAGATCTCAGCTCATTGATGTTCTAAGCAAGTAAGACTTTTGTTCCAGATGCTTCCTTGATTCTTATCGGCTTGTGCCGTTTGCTCAATTGGATAAGCGCTGGTCTGTTGAGCGGTAGGTTACGGATTCAAACCCTGGCAGGACCAACACCCAAGATCTTAAACTAACTGATGAGAATATGCTGGCTTTTTCTTGTCATGTATAAATAGTTAGACATATAAGGCCAAAAAAACCCTAGGCCCTGTCTCAACTCTCTTTCACTGTCAAAGTATATGCACTGCTCTTTTCAAAGAGTAGGGTACGTAGACCCCGGTAGTGTGGTCATCTCTAACCGTATGCGCGGTGTCTTTATGTGTGTTTCGCTGTACCAGGTCCATATTAACTTTTAAGCTGCTGAAAATATAAACTGCTTTATCCAATTGAAATGATGATGATGCACTTGATGCTTTTCATGGATGTCTAAGATTGCTAATTACTCTTCAGTAATTAAGGCTTGGCTTCAATAGCCTGAACAAAGTTTGGAACGTCTTAGACAGTCAAGACTATCAGGGCGATAATCCGCGGGAAACTGGGCCTTAGAGAGAGGGAGTGATTGTAATGATAATGTTACGGTGGCTTGATTCAATCGGTTGTGCGCGAGTCGTAAGTTACTCTGCTCCTCATGCTGGTAACACAGAGGAGTGCTGGCGAATTGTTCAGAACCCGTTCAGCATGCAAGTCTGAAAAAAAGTGGTATACCAATCTTAGGAGAGTAGCGCTATTTCCAGTCTTCTGAACTTCTTGAAGTGTAAAAAGTGAATAGTTTGGATACAAAAGACAATCATTATTTTTCAGAAGGACAGCTTCAAACATAAACCAACCCACTCAGCATAGACGCTTTTTTCAAATATCGACTCTGTTATTGTCCTCCACGAAATCTAACGCCGTTGTATTTAAAATTGCCCTGTTTTCCATTCCTTACAAGGATAATTAAATTTGCTAATAAAAAGTTTTCTACGTTTCACAGAGCTGGTAAAATCCCTAAAAACATGCTTACCGCGTATCAATCAGCGTGTAAGAAGACCACGGAACAGATTGAAGGTAGAGCCTGCTTTATAAGCCGTTCGTACTACACCTTAAGAGGAGGGGGATGTGTTTATGTGGTGTTTGGGCAGATGAAGACAATATGTTCTAACTTTATTGACGGGAATTGAGTATCATGGGATACGTGCGTTAAAACATCTCCAAGCTAGAGGGATTTTTTACCGTAAATATATTAAGTCTATAGCTGCTGGGAGAGACCATTTCTGACAGCCTCTGAAATCAATGCAGTTTCAGGATACAGGTCCTGAAACGGACCTCACACTGTTTGTTCTGAACTCATCCGCTAACACAGTCATCACAATCCACAAAATGAAAAGTAAGAACCACATTGAACAACATCAAGAGGGAAAGTATCATTCAGTAAATCATAACAAAAAAAACGACTAATTTGCACAGGATAACAAACAACACCACATCAAAATTTAATGGCTTGTGATGTTTCACTCTGTTGTGACATTAAAGGAGTTCATTCAAACGTTTTGAACTTTCAGATAACTTCGTGTAAAACTTACTTTTAAATTTGTCTTTCTTTTTTGCGGAAAGTGAGTGTGTTGGATGATGAAGGTACACTGAGTGGAATGGAAAAACTTATTAGCTGCTTGGAGAAGCTTACCAGACTCATCGTGGAATCATTGCAGTTTTCCGACTTATCAAAACTAACAGGTATCATTTGCTCCGTGGCCTAAAGTATGCCTATAATTTAGACTTACTTTTATGAGGACGAAAGGTCCACTTTAACTGTACTTTCACAGTTAATAAAGTTAAATGGTTATCAAGTCCGTCAGACTCTTTTGTTATGTCCTTTTGTTAGCTTTTTTTGCACAACGTTCAATAGCATTTTATCTATATTTATATGCCTCATTGTCGAACAGATTTTCGAAAATCAAGGGGCTAAGTTTTTCAACTCGCTAAGTCGTGAAATTCAAAACAGTGAAAATACCAGTTTGTTTGGCAAAGGACTTAAAAAATTCCTTCTTTCTTGGTCATTTATACTCTTTGTTGAGGTACATACTTTTCGTTTTCGTTTTCTTTCTTTTTCGTTACTTTTACTAAGAGAAAATAATGCATTTTTCATTCAGTAACTTAACTCACTTGGTGTTACCTTATAGTGTCAGGAAGCCTATAGTGTATAACCACTTTGAACATTTGTAAAATGATTTATTTCGAGTGTCTGTTATCTTTAATAGATTATAAATTTCTTTCCCACCAGTAAAAACGTCCTATTAATTTAGTCAGTCAAAATTTCTGAAGAAAAAAAGGACTGTGTACCGTCAGGAGCTTCCAACCTAAACTGCAGCACTGTAATTTTTATCTTTGATGTTTGCCGCCTTTTATAACCAGTCTCCTCTAGTAACTATGGTTCTATTGATGGCTGCGATTTTAGAGCCCATCGCTCTCAACGTGCCTGCAATTAGCGAAAAACGTATTGCTACAAAACACGGTTCCTGCTTTGGAGGCATTTAGGAGAAGTGATACAGTTATCATTCTCACCAAATTGTCCCCATAAGCTGTCTAAAAAAGGTGCTCGTCCAATCAAGAATAGGGACCTTAAGGTGATGTTACACAGGACGATTTGCAACGACGATTTTTAGCGCTGGACAGCGTTGCAATGTTGGAACAATGTTGTAACCATTTGAAACAATGTCGCAACTATGCTGCAACTCTGTGTTGCGCTAAAAATTCGTCGTTGCCAAATGCTCGTGTAACATCACCTTCAAGCAACGACAACGACGACGAACAACAAAAACGTCAATAACAATTGGTTTTATGAGCAAAACAACTGCTCTCACGCTTTTTAGTACATTTCTTGGACGTCCACTGCACGACTACGACGTGAAAACTCTCAATGCGACGGTTTATGGATGACGTGGACATACTACGACAATTTTCTCCTTCACTATTTGAACATGGATAAAGCCCTTGAGAATTCAACTCCAGGAAAATTCGCCTATATTTGACGAATTGAGCGGTTCAAAATAGACCCAAAGTCATTTTTTTGTGATGTTTCACTGCTGTCGTCGTCTTCGTTGCTTAAGGTGATTCCCTGGTTTTGCACTGCGCATCTCTTACTGCGCATAATAAGATGGCCTCCGTAAAAAAGAGCATGTGAAGTAGCATTATTAAAATGAAGTTGACCGAAGAGAAACGCTATTGCAATTTTTGCTTGCGGTTGTTTCTTGCCGAGGTGAGCAGTACGCGTGTTGCTGAGTTCGACTTCCTCGCGGAGAACCTCGATAGTGGATGTTTAATTTGTGCTTATTCACTTTGATTTTCATTTAAACGCTTTCTTTATCACGTTGTGTCCTAAATGTGATATCTCGATGTTAATTCTGTAAAAACGGATTTTTTGATACTTTCTTCCCCCTCTTGGATACATTCTATTCTGAAACTCGCTCCAGTCCTCTCTCAAAAATCAAGGAAAATGCATTTGGCGCGCACTTTGCAGCTCTACAGCACGAGCTCTACCCCATTTTTAATTTTGATAAGGACAGTACGGTGACCCCATTTAGTTCGTTTATTAACGTCTTAATTTTACTTTGCGTTATTTTGATTATACAATGTCCGACAGTGCTCACATGGTGGGTGGCTCCTCCTCGTTCTGCAATTGGTGAGAAAAAAACCAATTGGCACAAATCTATTGTTTGCACACGTTTTTATATATTTTTAGCAACTAAGATAATTTGCAGTCTGTCTACTTTGAATTCCTAAATTGTACGGATTGAGCTATCACGTGTCGAATAGCGCGCGTCCAATTTAATTCTAATTTGGAGCGTAAAGTAAAAACAAGGGCATTAAAAGGCATTTTTCTAGTACGTAAGTGGATAAACAATACAATAAAGTCAAATTCTGTGCGATACCACATGCATCATTGAAAAAATCTTTCCTTTTTGTCTAGTTTTGGGCTGCGCGCGGTTTTTGTTAGCCGTATTTGTCAGCATTGTGACGTCAAGACGAGCACGGTGACCCCCACTTTTTATTACCTTTTTATCATCTTCTTGACTTGTTACATCAGTGTACCAAGTTTTATCTACAATCTATGTTAGGTTCTTTTACTAGGGAGTCACCTTAAGGTCTCTAATATTAAGGGATCTTAAGATCGACAAACTCTCCTGGAGTTGAATTTCTATTAAGTACCATATCCAAGTTAAGAAAGAGAAAGAAAATTTCGTTTTCGCTTGTTTGCGTCCTCCATAAAAGGTGCAGTGGCGGGAAAGAATTGTACAAAAAGTTTACTGCACATGAAAAGTTGTTGTTTTGCTAATCTGTTTGACGTTCTCGTTGCCCTTGTCGTGGCCGTCGTCAGGCTCTTAAGGTTGTTAGATAGATAACAAACAACGAAGAGAAAGCTGAGCTTTATCCACCTTAATGCAAATGTGCCTAAAGAAGTACCAGTCTTCTTTACAGGTATACCCGCTTGGAGAGAGCAAAGAAGATACTATTTGTCTACGACTTGTTTTATATTTGCTGTAGGGAGAATTTCATCCCAGTTGTCAATTATCTCTGCAACCATCCAGTCAATGACAAAGGCATCAGATGAAATGTTAATAACCAATCAACTTGTTGAGGTGGACATCGTTAGTCTGGACAGAGGCAGCTGTACGCAGGTTTGGTCTTCATTCCAATGAAATGATTAATTTTTCTTGTCCATGTAACAGTAAAAAAATTAATTTGGGTTCGTTGTCGGTGTGAAAACAAAACAACAAAAAGAAGACGTTATACGAAATGAGCCAGGAAAATATAATAGCTACCAAGAAAACTAAAATGAACCTGGGGCGATTTCTATTCGACCAAAACTCCAAAAGCTTTGCAAGTGGCGCAAACAATGTTTCCAAAAAGTTCGAGAACTGTTAAATGTCTGAAATGCGATCTACTCAACCGAAAAATTCTAGAAATTCCATGAGCAAAGTTGAATTGAAAGAAAACGTCCGGAAAGAAGCTCTTCGAAAATTTGGGTATACCTCGCGAGGTTGTCATCTTTTTTCTAAATCACGGATAATGCTGCTCCATTCAGACTCTGATCGTTGCCAGAAATTCCGTCTGGAAGTTTTGGTTGAATAGAAAGTGCCCCTCAACAAAGAAAAACTGCGCTTTTTACACCCCGGTAACCCATAATTTGCTTTGTTTATTTAACCAAGACTGTAGATGCTTTACTAGACGCATTTTACCGCACATGCGACGAAGTAAAGAAGTGCTCATTAGACTCTCTGGATAATATGAATCGGTAAGTTTTTACAACATTTATATTACTAAAGTCAATTGTTTGATTATCACTTCTACTCCAAGCGTGCCTCTCCATCAAGAGATTTTCCCTAGAAGGCATTTGGCACCTTGCGGTTTCAATTTAGTGACCGAATTTACCACAATTGTAAAAATCAGAATGTGTACTAGAAACGTATCACACAGCTTCAAGTCAGTTCTTTGCAAAATGCACGGCCGAAGGTTACATTCGTGTTTTTTGTTCTTTACGCAGAGGATATATGGACACTTCCAACAACTGGGTAGTGTGATTTCATTGTTTAATACATGAAATTTTCTTCCTCTAACGTGAAAAAGCATGGTGGACCTTCAGTCTAATAGCTGGGACCCTAATTCCTCTTCTGTGTTTTTGTGTTGTTTGAAACAGATATCACTGGGTTCGTGATTTTGTGGCCATGGTCGTATGTACAACGTCACTTCACAAAAGCCTGTATTGTCAGTTATGGCGAAGAACCTGCTTGCAGGTTTGTTGTTGTAAATTGTAACAAATTTATACTTTCTTTCTCTTTCACTGTTCTTTAGAAAGATGTATCTCACATAGTTACCGTGAGTCAACAATATTTCTACGTTTAACAAGAATAGAGTGGCCAAGTTCCCTGTGCACCTACCCCGTTACAGATTGCGCATTTTTAGTGGCTAGAATTGAAGTTTGTAGCTCTTAACTTTTTTAGCAATTTACTCACCGAAGTAAGAGAGTGCCTATTTTTATTACAAAAATATCGAGAGGGCTAAAGCTAAAACTGCAAATTCCAGTCATGCAAATTTTGGTGGAACTTCAGTTTATGTGTGCTGCTTAGGGTCGGGAAACTGCCTGAAGTCAACGCTTGTAACCTTTGTCAGACCTTCCAAACCTTCCCGCAGGGTCTGGAAGAGGGGGTCCTGATCCCGCATACCCGCCCCTTTTTCGCGAGAATCCCGCATCCGCCACGTATTCAGTTTCCCGAATACCGCTTTTCTTTCTCATTCTTTTTCTGATTTCTACAAAAGCTAATAAATGTAAGATGTAGGTTGATCCTTTCGATTGATATTGTGAATTTACGCGTGTTTTTAAAGGTTTCCGGCATTCCCGACAGACACGCAAACATAAATCCCGCATCCCGTGCCCAATTTTTGGCGAGTCCCGCTTCCCGAGGAACAGTCAAATCCCGGATCCCGTCAATATATTTATCGTTTTCCCGATTCCCGCACCGTATTTTGGTCAAATCCCGAATCGTGAAAATACCCTTCCAGACCCTGTTCCCGCAGCAGCCTGGGTTCGAAAAAAAGTTCTGTCTCTTCGTCTGGGGCAAGTAGATTTCCTTTGTGAGAGGTCTTTCAACCAATAAACGAGAGATAAATTTGCCATTAGGTATCTTATATCCTAAAATTTAATTAAAGTCTTAGTAATAAAATCCTCTTTCTTTCAAGCAGGGTGCAACATCAAGTAACCAAGACGTACAAGGCCTGGCAGTGTTTCTTTGCTACTTATGTATTAACCAGACTAACGTGCTTCCAGTACTTCTGAGAGGAAACCTCCATACCGCGGAAAAGAAATTTCCAGATGTTTGTACGGTAATAAACGGGAGAAATTGGTAGCAGATAGAGCGAGATAGACTCCATACACACATATATGTTTTCAGTAACACCTTACGAAGCCACACTTGGTGCCAGGTCACGGTGCCCGGATACGGAACTCATTGGGCACTAATTTTCAAGTACCCGCGCCCAAATTCAGGCACCGTAACGGTACCCGAGTCCCTGTACTCTGGCATTAATAGTGGTCACTGGATCCCTGTGTGCATACCTTTTTTATTGGTACCGGGGCAATTCACTGCTTTCTAACTCCCTGCTGAGCTCAAGTTTCAAAATGGCGTTTGAAAGGGCGAATTGGAGTAACTATGTACACAGTTACATATCGGGTACTCCAGGTGTGAATATGGCACTGTTTTGTCACTAGTGTCAGTACCCAGACACCAGTTCTCAGCAACCAAGAGTGGACAGTCCCTATAATTAATAATTTCCTTTGTTTCACAGATTTGCTGCTTTCTTGATGTCCTGTGTGATCATATTCCACTGTGTACGAGCCGTTGGATGGAGTTTTTTCTGAGGTATTTTTCAAAATTTCGATTGTGATGCATTAATTCGCCACATACACTAACCTCGCAAAAATACTTTACTCCCTTCCTAGATTTTCATGCACATATATGGACCATGTTCTTGATGCATTCAGTGGGAGTTTCACCGAATTAAAGACCGATGTTGGACGTAAGTCTGGTAATGTTTGATTACAATTTAGGGGAACCGACCACAGAGGGGCGAAACATGAAGGCTTTACATAACTCAGTTGAATTATGAATGCTTTTGCTAACTGGTGTGGTCCTACATACACGATCGTAAGTGTGTAATAGTATTACAGCAGTACCTCAGCAGATACGTTCCTTCTTTTCCCAGTGCATACTGCTTACCTGTCGCCAGCTATGCTTAGAAAGGTAAGATTTATTCGTATTTTTTCTCGCTTGACGTTTTGCATAGATCTATGCGCTGAAGTCAGTGCTTCTTAGCTTGGTCAAGCGCCAGCTCGGACAATGTAGATTCTCTCTCGCCAGTCAATTTGTTCTAGCATTGCCCTTCAGAGTTTTCCGACAGTGGCGAACACGGTGTCTTCAAGAAACGTGTTCGTAGGTCTCCCTCTCCTAGTTTGGCCTAGACACTAGGCCAGGAGCATTCTCGGAGACCCAGGGGCAGCTAGTCGGGACGATAGAATGTTCGTGATGAAAGGTTACTGTAAGATCGAGAAGAGCTAATATATTTCTGCCTCAGCTAATGCGATTTCCGACTCTGTTCTTAAAAACCCGGCTTGTTCAATTCCATTGTGTACTAATTTTTTTTGTTTCAGACGTTTTATCTTTTACATCGGCTTAATGTTTGCGGAGATACATTCCTCTTCAAGCCAACTCTGCCAGAAGGTATTTGTCTTAACGGAATTACAGTGTATCGTTCTTGTCACGATGTAGTTCCTTGAGATGTAGATCAAGACGTTTTAATTACTTACTGCAATTCGTCTGCGAACACTGCGTTGCGCTGCTTACTGACGTCACAGCGGCCCACAGAATCTGTGTGTGTAGCCGATTGTTATTTTATAGTAAATATACTGGATTTACCTTTTGCTTCACCTATAGCGAGTTCGCCGTTTACTGTTCCTTCTGTCATAAGGAACAATAAATGGCGAACTCAAAATCGTTCAAAATCGCTCAAAAAACCGCTTTTCAAGCAAAAGGACGACAGCATATGGCAGGTAAGGTAATTCAACGTTTATTTAACATTGATTTATATACATACTTTGCGATATATCGCTCTAGGTAAGGCAAGCGATAAATCCTTTACTACAAAAGAACAGTCGGTTACACACACAGATTGTGTGGGCCCCCTGTGATTAAACCTTCGCGATCAAAAGTTACCGTGCAGAAACAATTGTCGGAATCACCCAACAGGAAATTGTGAAGCATGATAATGAGCAACATGGAACATTTGGCAGTGGCTTTCATAAATTTAGGCTTGGTTTGTTTATCGACATGAGAGTGATAACACATTTGGGCGTTACGTTTGAAGTTAGAGTATTCCAGCAGTTAAATTAATACCTCTGCAGTTGTGTTTAAAACGATTTGCATGTGGGTTTAAATTAAGTGTAAAATGTGCGGATACGTTACAAAATATTCTTTGAAATATGCGATTAAGGTTCTTAGTGAATCAATACTCCCTCGAGAAGTCAGCGTAAAAGGTCGCAAAATTTACCATCCGTCATTAGTGGGATCATGACAGTCACGTTTGAAAACGTTTTCGGAGGAAACATTGAAAAGTGACTGTGGGCTGGTTATCATGATGAATCTCTCTCTCAAAAAACCCGTGAAGCCTACTCGGTCTAATTTTTTCTTCGTCTTGTGTATTCACAAAGCTATAGATGTGGTTGTGTGTGTTGAATTGTTTATTTTTTTTAAGATCTGGTTTGTATGGTGAAAAAGTTGATCTCTGTACAACAGTTCCAACAGTTGAAGGAAAAAGAGGAAAAGGTACATACCGCGCTATTAGCATTACAGAAAGATTGTAACTCTATCGCACTAGTTAGTTCCCAGTGTAGTGTTGACGGAATAGACTTTCCTGGGCCCCCATCAACGTGTTGTTATCAACAGACTTGACATTGACAATGGACCTGCTGTGCGGCAAGAAATTAGATTTGCCTCTTAACTTTTAGTGATTTAATATGATTTATACTCGAGTTGGAGCTTAACAGAGAGAGTTAGAGAACTTTTTCCCGCTTTTTTTGTAGTACGGTAACTGAACAGAGTGCTACTTAAAACGAGTCAACCAGTCAAAATAACTATGACATCGTGTATTTAAAAAATACTTGACCATTTTTAACCCAGTAAAAAAATGTGCCGAGTTTTGAACCATCGCACACTTTGACGATTTTCCTGTGCATTTTATTCATGAGACAAAGGCCATTTTCTGCGACATTTATGTGTCCATGCATTCGCATAAAGGGTATATTTTATGCACGCTATACTACTTGTCGATTCCAGTTTAGGGGTAACCTTGCGTTTGTTATTTAGTTACTGGTGTTGAAATTCGCACCTATTTTCTCTGGGCATATCTCAATTTATGCATCGTGTTAGTAATAATGATGTAGTAAATTATATCCTCTACTGGTTGTCATTTTCAGCTGACTTTTTCCGAGTGGTGTCGATGGGAACTGGGTGTATCCGCCAGGGAAGATTTCTTATCAGATAATGACAGGTCTGTGTTTATACTACAAAACTTTGATTTACTAACAACCTGGGCGTATATGGGGTCCTCTCTCTAGTTAGGTAACTGATGTATTGCTTCTGGAAAGTGAATCGTAAACGGTGTTGACCAAGCTCTTTAAATTCAGATGTAGAAGTGTTAGCAGTGACCACAGTGAAGTAAACGTGGAATCCGTCTCAGATCTTGGCCTAGAACAGGGCTCCATTTAAACTAGCTCTGCTAAATTGGATGCCCCTGGATAAATAAAATAAATAAATATTGAATAATAGGACAAAAAACTGAAGAGGAACGAATCCATAAGATAGCAATTGTTTTCATTACGTTAGGTAGACAAATTTCGACAGGTGTCGCACAGGATAAAAGGGCCTAAATGTTCTCAAAAGCGTCGATTAAATACGTTAATTTGACTTCCTCTGTTATGACCAAATTAAAACCCTTGTTATTTCTTTCCCACCTTACCCTTGTGCGTTTGTTTTTTTCTTTTTGTTATTGACAGGCGTATTTATCATCAGTTCAGAGTTTTGGACCACTTCCTTCCCCTGGGTACCCTAGATGGTGGTTGTAATGGCTGCGCCAGTAAAGCATGCTCCGTTATCTTCCATGCTCTGCTAAACGCTGAGAGCAGGTAACCAAGTATATTTTCCTTAGGGAATATTCAATAAGTTCAACTTGTCAGACTATTTACCAATAAGTGGTTAAGGTTGAGTATGATGGCAGAACCCTCCTCCTGTCTTCACCCTGATTGACCCTACAGCTATTAACTGTGGCTTCCGTGCTTTGGTGGTGTATGCAACTATATCAGTGCAGTTGACTAATTTGCTCAGTACATAATACAACTTTTACTTTTCTCTTTTTGAAGGTCTCTTCAAGAACAGAAACCTCTTGACATCAGCCGAAATGACATGATCAACCTGATACAGGTTATACTGTGGCACTTAAATGGAAGATAGGAGAAGCCTGCCTGTTCTAGAGTTCGCCCTTCCTCCTTTCTTAACATCATTATATCGCTCATTAGCAACGTCCAAATTCTACCAAGTCCATTAATCGTCGTCAAGAGCCTCATCAATGAAGCACTCTTTGGTTAAATGTTCATGAGACTGTTGATTAGTCATAGGGTGCTTATTGGAGAGCGGCGTTATAACAAAAATTGAAGTTTTAAAGGGGTGTTAATTAGATATGGAGTGTTAGCTAGCTTGTTTACGGAATTGAATGGATCGAATGTTTATTTCAGGAACTTGTTACCATGTTGCCTCAGCTGAGTAATGATGATGCTGGTCAAGAAACAGAAGCTGAGAGTTCGTGTGATCCATGGCTTTTACAACAGTTTCATTCTAGAATGTCACAGGTATCACACACCACCCTTGGAAATAACTCTGTTTAAAATGCGTGTTTGTGCCGGGGTGTGATTTTGTTCAGGAGAAGGCTTGTCGAGTTGATTACTTTTAGTTCCCTGGCAAACTTTTTTGCTAATTAAACATTCAAGCAGATTTCAAAGATTGCTTCCAAGAAACAAATTTGAACGTCGATTCGTTTCCACATGGCTCGTTCTCAATTCTGATTGGATACCCTTAAGTCTCTGTTATAAACCCCACCGTTTAAAAGCCGATAAATTTGTAAACAGAAATCTTATTTCAGCTATAAGTTCCCCTTAAGTCGTCAACAGCTTGTGTCGAGACGATTTTTGACAATGTAGTTGACAAATAGTAACATTAGTTTTGTATGGTGTATTTTTAATAGGTTCAATTTAACGTTGAACAGAGCAAGGCTAAAACAACAGAGAGTTGCGATCTACTGCCAGCGTCAAAGACTGCTTCTTTTATAAAGTAAGATATGTTTTGACCATTTCCCTTAATTTTTAAGCCAAGCATTCTACAAGGTTAAAAGTTGTTGGCGTTATTGTTGTTGTTTGTGTTTGTTTATTACGCGCTTTTACTCTCTCGACCTGAGATTAATCATAAAACTATGCAACTTGCCCGCCCATAATTCATGGGGGATTTGGTTATTCAGTGACCTCCCTATAGAGAGTCGACAAATACCACCGAAGAGCGGTAGGGACCAACTCTAGGTGTCCGTTCTAGGGAAGCGTCCGTCTTAGAAGTGTCTCAGAGAGAGTCTACTTTAATACATGCAATGTAAAAAAAACTCGTACTGTTTTTGTTTAATTACAGATTGGCTATGCGTCTACCCCCGTATTTGCTGTTTACTAATAAACTGGACAGCGACCCTAACGCACATTCAATCACTCGTGTTGCAGATTTTATTTATTCATACCTGGTAAGTGTAACTGGACATACCTCTCTGTTTACCATTATATTTATTAATTTATTTGTTCATTTATATCTCGCTTAGCATATAAGCTAATTAGAACAGACTCTTGTAAAAAATAAAAATAAAATAATACACGAAAATCCTACCAAAATTGTTGGCCACCCACGTTATATCGTGTTTTCAAGTCATGACAGTGGTTCTTCATACCTCTGTGACAATACCCTGGGCTGGTGCATTAACATATTTTCCTCTTCTTTTATCTCTATCGTAGAGACCTTACTTGAGTGACGGAGGATGTCTTCCTTTTGACATAACAACTTACATTTTAAAGGTACATGTTAGAGCCATTTGGATATAAACTTAATAAACTTAGAACAAGTGAGCACGATCAAAACAATCGAGAGTAACTGGAATGTTGCGAGTTAACTGGTTTAGCGAACTAAACACGCATGGCTTTTGGTTGGTTTGGCGACCATACAGAGCCAATGGGCGGTTTTCGGGATAACTTAAAGGGCGCTTGCCATTTGTCAAAACTGGCTGACCAGACCATGCAATCTTAAGGAGATTCCACTATCAATCAGGATTATCTAGCCAGATCAGCTTATTCTAACAGTCTGCTCGGCAGTCAATTCTGGCTTTTGAAACTGCCCTTAGTGACTAATTGGCATTCTGATTTTAATTTTTTGGCGGATGAAATAAATTGCGCTGGAAAAACCATGGAACTAAGAAATGTCCAATCTGAATCCCGATGAGACTTAAACCAATGAGATTTCAGATGCTGATTGGGTGATTTGCGCGGCTACTAAGCTATGGAGAAACCTACTGGGAGATGGGTTATTTACCACGTTCATGAGTGACAATAACCTCTAAACCTAGAAGATCTTTATGCTTCGTCACTGGTCCTGTGGGTAAGGATCGCTTGACGAGGGCCTAACAACATCTGCGTTGCAGTGTTGACGTTTGATTTCATAACGAAAGGGGATCGCTGTAAATATTATAGTAGGGCTGAAACTATCATTATTGGAGTCAGTTGTCAACAATTCCTTTTTTTTTGGAATGCCCAACGAGCAATAGCTGCTGTTTAAGTATCAAGAAGGAATACACTTCAGCATGTATGTCAATGAAAATTACTGAACTGCCCTTCCCTTGCTCCTGCTTGGTATGTTTGTTCTTTTCTTAATATGACCATGCCCTCTCTCACTACTGCTAACAGAATTCTATTGTTTCAATTCCACCACCACCACCAAATGGTACATAATATGAAGCAAAAGTCAATGTCGGATGTCGTTTCCGTTTTCTTTACAGCCAGCGGTTTTATTTGATGAATTTTGATATTCACTTTTTCCTTTTATTCTTTTAGGCTTTGCTAACTTACACCAGAACATCTCCAAGTAAATCAATAACTGCTGGCTCTGAGCTTTTCTCCAGATTTTTCAAGGAGTGTCCCTTGTTCTTTGTTTCTACTCAAGTAAGTCTTTTCTTTCGCGATAGTGGCGAGCAGCCGTGTCTCTTGAATGAGGCCTGGGTTTGATTTGTCTCGTGTTCATAAGCCAATCAGATCTCAATCTCGATACATGTTTTAAGTACATAACACTTGCGTCGAGATTAACATGCTCAAAGAGCAAGAAATATTTTGCATTCTTGATTTGCTTGATTTTCTTCTAACAATACTTATATTTTTCTCTGGATAGCATTACTGGAAACAGCTCAGACCTTTGGCGGCAAGCCATCGTAACTATACATGCGCCGTTCTACAACAGGCCGGGTCGTTTTTGAACTGGAAAAACAGGTTTGTCTGACCCAAAATGGGCAATACATAACAAAAGGCTCCAACGTGAAACAGATTGAGTCGATTTTACTTGAACGAGTGGAAATTGGAGGTAGACTAAAAAGTGTGAATCCTGTTAGTTTCAGGCAAAACCTTCTTTGAATACCATCTTCCGACTTGGAATTGAAAATTATATTACCTTTCATTTGAATGTTATATTGTAGGAATTTAGCGTCAGTCGTGAAAGTTACAACCACGCTGTATATCAGTATAAGGGTTTATAGAATAATATATGAATAATATATTTGCGAGACGGCACACCCTTGTAGCTATTTAAAAAGAAACTTTATGGCCAATACAAGTACATGATTGCTCGTTAGAATTACATCTTCGGACTTTAGAGCTAAACCTACATGACTTAAGATGGCTTATATACGGTGTAGTGATAAAACTTAAACTTCTTATCGGGTTTTCCGTAGAGTTGAGACAGCCCAAAATGCGTCCCTGAGTGAACTAGAGGGTTTTGATGTTTATGTACTGGCATCAGCTATCGCAGTGTATCTTCGTGGCGCAAACAGGTAGGACAACTCACTATCGTGTGATAGTTACATAGTGCTATTTTGAAGGCGTTTGGCATATGTTTCCAACCAGGCTATGGTTGCTTAAAAGAAATGTGGCTCGTGCGGTAATAAAGGTAAAGAGTCCTTACTTTATGTCGGTAGCTCAAAATAGTCATTATTTGACTAACAAACCCGAGGCCGACAGTGAGCTGATTTTACCCCCTTCTCTCCATCAGTGCTCCGTTTTACGGGTATTGAAAGATATTTACCAAGCCACACGGAAAAGAAAGAAGTCGAAACAAGGATTTGAGGTCACACCAGGGAATGGCCGTGCACTAACCAACCGTGCCAATCCTTGTCCCTGTTATAGTCTTCTTCTGTTAAGTGGTCGTTCTTTACTAGTGTTTCAGTTTTGTAGGCCTCTCTGCCCAAGATCTCCTGGAACCAGGCTCCGCAGTAGGGGAAAGGGGCGAAAAAAGATTGAAGCGAAGCGAGCCGAGCGGTACACAAGGCGCACTTCGCTTGCAGATTTTTGCTGTTTCACCCCGTTTTTTGCCTTCCCCTCCCCCACCACTATTGAGCCTGGTCCCCGGCTAGGCCCAAGAAGGTGTTAGTTTTCTGTTGAGAGGACTACCAGAAATACCCCTTATCAACTCTCTCATGCCGTTTATTGGACTGGTGTTTAAAACTGGTCCAAAAGAACTTTGTTCGCATGTTTTAACCTTTGATGATAATTGTTTTAGTAGAGTCATGATGAACCTTATTGTAGAGGAAATGAAAGCGCCCACAGAGTTTACGAGAAAGGTGAGGCCATCCTTCAAGGTCTAGTTACGTGGTGATACATTTGATTAGCGGTTAACTGGCAATAAAGTGCACCATCATTAGCAGTGTTAACGAATTAATAACCGGGTAAAACTGATACATTGCAGCTGGCTGGCTGTTTATTCGACTGCATCGTGGCAGAATTCTCACAGATGTTGCTTCATGGAAACGAGGTTGGTAATAAAGAGATGCCTAAGAATTCAGAAAGAAAAACAAGTCCCCACCCTCCCCACCCGGGTTTATTATATTTTCTCAGGGAGGCTTATGATTGGACATTTATTCTGGTCAGCAATTTGTTTTACGCAGATGATCATTTTGATTACCGTTAAATACTGTGAATTTCATGAACTGCAACACTATAAGGGTGCTGTTTACAGGGAGGGAGGAAGATCCTAGAAGGTGGATCATCCTAGCGCCACATGTTCTCTGTGATCAGTTTACATGCAAAGGGTTGTACTTGTCCCTAGTAGAATCTTCCTACGGCTGAGTGGTAGGAAGTTCCTGGTCCAAGGAACATCCTCGCACCATGTAAACTGCCTTCGCTTGGAAGATCCTAGTACTAGGGACAAACCAGAAAAAGATGGTGGCGGGTCGTTTAGTGGGTAATCATGGCAATAAACGCCGACCATTTCGTTTGGCGTTACGACGAGCTGATAATCTTTAATTCGTTCTGTACTTATAACCAAATGGACCGAAATTTCTGTATGTAAACCCAACGGAAAGTTGTGCCGCCTTTTAGGATTTTCGTGGTGCTGGTGATGATCTTCCTTCCTCCTTCTAAACAGCCCCTAACAAACTAACGAGAGGATCCACAACACAGAGAAACATCCCAGAAATACTCTACTTTATTATCCTTATCGTAGTCTATACTGAAGCTCATAAGGCAGCTCAAAGTTTATAGAAATCTAACTTTACGTCCGGGCTTGTCTCTTACAGTTCTGATAAATTATAATATGGTTTTTTAAGCATTTTATGCCAATTCCCAAATATAGTCCCCAGAGGTGTCCCGTACGAGTCTTTTTTTTTGTTTCGAATTTGGAAGGCTTACAAGCGAAAGGGCGCTAACATGTAAACGTAATCTTATAACAATTACGTACGTCAATTTGGCGATTCTGGTGGTAGCCTAACAAGTGATGATTTTTACAGATAGAAGAGAATGCTGTACTGAGGGACTTTGCCTGGGTAAGACTTAATAAATCCGGCTCCGGTTTACTTCAAACATCAAATGTTAAGAGGTTTAAGAGTGATCATCACCTTTTGTTTTTGTAGCAACTACTGAGATGTTTTCCAAGAACATTACTGGTGTTTAAGATTGGTCAGTAAAATGTTTGTTTTCAATATATGGAGTGTTTTCACATGACGTCACGGCAATTGAAAACAATGAAACGGTATTTTGGTACCCTCCAATCCTTTGTACATGCCCTTTCTTTTGTTCCTTTTTAGATTGGCTGGGCTTTATTCGCATAAATTGAAAGACGTTTCTGTTTTTTACAGTTGTTTTTTTATTGGCTGGGCATGTTTCTGTTTTTTGTTGTTAGCATCGCATGTGGCACAGGCTACCCCTCCCACTGAAATTAAGGGTGGTTTCTGTGACTAGAGACAACGTTTTTCCCTTTGCTCCATACCCTTAAGTGGATGCCCATTGGAGATAGTTCGTTATGAGGAGGCAACGCAAGGTGATGAAATCTCCAAAGATTACATTCACTGGGTTGTATTCCACAAAGTAGGAATACAATATTTCGTTTTTTATCTTGTCTTGTCTTTCCTTTTTTAGATGAAAATTGTGAATTCAAGGACGACGTTATGCGCCTCAGGTTTGTTATTTACGCACATCTGCGACTATCGTTAATTATTAGCGTCCCTGGAGCGTTGCGTGATGACCCTAACACCTGCGAAGGAGGCAAGCTGAGGCTGGGCGAGGTTGCTGCTACCCATTTGCAAATAGTTGTTTCTGGTCAATACTCTTTTACTTTGTTATTTGAATTGTACTTTCTTTTAGGTCTTTAATACTGAAAGAACACTTGATCAAATTGTACCCCGCTGTCTTCTTCAGGTTTGTTTTGGTTTGTTATTAAATGATCCGCAAAAAGGTTTACTATTATGATTGAAATATAGCGCAGCAAACGTTTTAACAGCCTTGGAACGCAGTTATATGCAGTCAGTTATATGTGAGCTGAGTTTTGAGTGTGTCACAGTGAATTTCCTACGGATGAAACCTCCTTGTATTAAGACCCCTATAAAACGAAACGGTGAAACAAATGAAACTCTTGGTCCCAGTTATTCTGTTTTAAAATGAATGAAACAGAACCAGTCCCTTGCCAATGAATATGAGTATCTTGTGAGGTGGCCGCTGGTCTGGTGACGAGAGCGCTGAAGATGTTGGTTCGAGTGTTGCTAAGAAGTTTCAGTGTCACTCAACCCAGGTTTATATTGGATAATCTCAACATAATTCAAAGATAACATTCCATAATAGCTACTCTCGTAGGCTCGTATTTCAGGTATTTGCCTCCTTTGACACTACTGAATGCGCCTGTACCAAGCGTTAACCAATTATATTGCACTATAGAATACGGTAGATTAACTTCACGTTGTTCAGCTTTTCTCATTCCTAACTTAATTGTCGCCATCATTTAATAAGGGTTAAAAATTTCCCTTCCATTTGTAAGCGATAAAAGTAAACAGTTACAGTCATTTACTGTGAGTGTTTCATTGTTGTAACTATTTCTCTCTCTATTCTTTTCAGTTTCTTTACCAACTTTTCCCGTGAGGCATTATGCGAGGTACAGTACATTCAAAAGATATCTTCATTACTCTTAGGCTGCGTTCGATTGTGAAATCTGGATTTGGATGTTGAAATCCGGATTTCGCATTTAGCAGTCAAACGCGAAGTCCGAAAGTGGATTTCAACTTCGAGAAATCCGTAACCGAGGTGGATTTCATTTAAGAAAAGCGAATCAGGATTTCATGGATTTCCTTCTTTACAAAAAGGATTTGCAAAAGTGTTCTCGTGAACAGTGCTTCTTTCTGCTAATTATGTATGCGCGTGCGAGACCGCTGTTCTTGAGAACGGTTTTTCAAATCCTTTTATGGGTTTCCAAAAAAAAAAAGAAAAAGGAAAGAAAGGAAATCTCCGAAAACGCTGACGTGGCAACCGCGGCAGTGTTAGCTCAGTCGGTAGAGCGTGTTGACTGTAGGGCGGGAGGTCGCGGGTTCGATTCTTGGGGCCGGACCAATACTCAGGGTCTTAAAATAACAGAGAAATGAAGGTACTCCCTTTGCGCTGCAACAGGCTAGACCTTCGCGTGGCTCGGATGACCACGTAAAATGGCGGTCCCGTCTCCAGTTGGAGACGTAAAATATAGTGTCCCCAATTAGTACTTTCGTGCTAAATACATTGACACTCAAATAAAAGTGCATTTTTTTTTTTCATAGCTTCACTAACCCCTCAAATTGTAGATGGTAAAAACCTATTTAGTCTGCAGGTTTAAGCAGGACGCGTAGTTAAATCGTGTGTTTGAACTACAATGTCTTCTAAAGTTTGATTTCCACTAACCGCATTGTTACAACTGCTTCGTCTTAGATGACGAAGATGAGAGGCTTTCTTGAAGTGACCTTGAGCATGTACAATTCCTTTGTTTTCCTTCGGAAAGAGTGTCTGGAAGGAGTGGCAAATAAGACGGCTGTATGTTCAGTAAGTAAATACACCACGTAGACAGGCACGGAAGACGCTGATAGTATGTAAAATTCATTCACTGATATGTTTTGTGCACGTCCTGCATACATGGATGCGCGATGCTCAAGGGCCGGGGCTTGTGTTCTTTCAAATCGCCTTTATTTAGCTTCTCTCAATTTGTCGAACGTAGGTAATTTTTCAGCGCTCTATCTAACTTCAAAGTGAGAAAGGAAATTTTTTCGCCGTGTTTTCACGTCCTCCATAACTTCACATCCAGACGTTTCACTTCGTAGTCGTGCAGTGGACGTCTAAAAATTGTACATAAAATTGTGATGCACGTGCAGAGCAGTTGTTTTGCTCAGAAAATCAGTTGTTCATGTTGTTGTTTTGACGTTCTTGCTGCCGTCTTCGTTCTGTTTGCTTGAGGTCATGTTCATACTACGCCGGACAACTTTTGCGCCGGCACGAAAACCTTAGCGGATAGGGCTTCTGTTCACAGATAATAACGGTGATTTGCCGTTGTTAGACCGTGCGTCTGAGTGGCTGCTGCTGCCAGCACCAACCAACTATCACCAGGTTAGCAGAAGGTTTTCTCCATGTTTCAAATGTGACTTCTCATTGTACTTATACCGTAGGCTATAGGTACAGTAAAGTGTTTTCTTGAAAACACGCGCGCGTCAATAAGCGGGAAGACATGCTTTACTTGCGCAGTATACCATCCACTCAAAAACTTTTCTTTTATCAAAAGTCAATTTTGATTTTCAGTAAGCTGTGTGAAGTACAAAATTCAAGTAATCGGTATAAAAACATAGCGCAAAAAGTTCGCAAGTTTCACCAGTCGCCTATTACTATAACACTGTTATGTTTGCTTGATTGCTCAGCCTCTTCACTTGGACTTCTGTCGTCAAGTTTCCGTGTTTGTTCGTGACTGTGTTTTATCTTCATCAGGAGAACAACTCAGGAGCTTAACAAAGGTGGGTTTGAGGTTAAATAGAATCCCTACCACACTCGTCTTCGGTTAATCCTAACTTCGCCGTTTTCCTGAAATTAAGGCCAATTCTGTTTGATTTGCTTCATTTTAGGGCATTCATCGCAGTCAATTTAGTCGATTCACTCAAGTTGCCGTCTCTTCTTGATTGATATCTGATAGTACGGCAGGATCTCTCTGCGCATTTTACATGAATAATTATAGTAAAAATCAGCATCATAGTGACAAAGTTTAAATTGTTGTTGTTATTATTAATTGTTGCAGGATGTTATCAGCCCCTGTACCTCGGAACTGCGTCAGTTTTTACAAAGCCAGCTTTCAAAAGTTCAAGAAAGATAGAACTGACCTCAAGAACAGTCAAGAAACAGCGCTGTTTAAGTACATGTATGTTCAGTAGCCTGGTTACAAAGAATAGTCTTCGTTTCTCTCAGTACATGGAGTGAGGAATTGTACGGACTATACGAGCGTACGACAATCCCTAACAGAAAATTAAACCCGGCCGGACACACCTTTATTTACCATTGTGCAATATGCTGAATTATTGTAAGTGAAATTTCGAGAGTAGCATCTGTAAATAGGTTTGTACAGTTCAGTTCGTATTGTTGATTAAAGAATTGTTATTTCATTGTATTTGCAATGAGACTCGAGTGGCAGAACAGTAGACCATTTCCGAGTTTCCCCGAGCCTCTGTTTCAAAGTGAGGTGCAAGTTTCTTTGCTCTTATAGAGATTCTCTGTCCGACAATTTGGGTACATCACCTCCCAAGAATGCAAAAAGTCCACTTTTGATTGACGCGTGTCGCTCAAAAACGACTCTGCTTAAGATCCCTATAAATATTTTTATTTTCATGCAAATAAAACTCATTTTCACAAGAAAGGTTTGCACTTTGCTTCGTTTTAAAGTGAGTTTTTTTTTTTTTAACTCAGACAAAGCCTGTTATCGTTATTGATTATAGTGAGTACTCAAACTGGTTTTCACTAGCAACGCAACCTTCTCGCAACGATCTGTTGGCCTTGGTTTATTTCACCCTGAAAACGGCAAACGCAATATGATCGATTAAGGTCTGTGAACACGGAACGCGGCATAGGGGGGTGGCATAATAAGGGACAATAGGGAAGGCTAAATATAATGCCTGACCAATTAAATCACTAGTTCCAGCTTCTCTTGTGCTAGAGTGCGTCCCGCCGATTTGGCACAAATCTGATTCAAGCTTTCGCTAATGATTTTTCCTGCAGGGTTTATTAGAAGAGTACTAGGGTTTTAAAAGAGACAGCTGAGCATATAAAGTTGTCTGAACGGAGCGGGTTACATCCAACGAAAATAAATTAACATTTACATAGCCTCTGGATTGCCTCCAAGTATGGAATCCGAGGACATAATCAGGGCCGGCGGAGCGGTTTTTAAAGTATGGGGACCGGTGATCACCTCTTTGGAAGAAGGAGGGGTGGGTGGGGGGGATTGGCCGTTCTCTCTTTGTGGCTGTTTAGAACTGTCAGATTACTGAACCTTTTTTGAGTCATTGTTGAGCGGAGACATGTTTATGAATTTCAAGCGGATGAAAAGGACCTTTCTCCTGCTGCGCCTGATTGCACATGAAGGATTCACCAGTAAAAGTTTGCAGATCCTGATCTTCTGAGGTTCCTGTAACTCCTTCATTTTGTCTGGTATGCCATCGAAACATCTATCAACTTTAAATTTCCAGTTGTGCTTTTAAGAAAAGCCCAACTGGAATTAAAATGCCTCATGCAGAGACCACATCATCAGCCGGTATAATTCGTTTTAAGAAACCCTAGTTCCGAGGAGTACTCTTCAAAAATAAATTGAGAACCTTCGTCAAAAAGGACTCCATTCCGCATCGTTGCATATGCTACATAGCCTTGCTGGTTTGAAAACGCAGAGGTCCAGGACTAAGTGCAGTTTTGTAAAGACAGGCGATTTGAGGCTTACTACGCATCAGATATAGGATCGAAACCGACCAATAATAAATTTAGATGCCGGACGATTCTTATTCCAGCAAAGATACTTTTTATATGAAAATGTATATGTACAGTGGAACCTCTATAACGAAGTCCTTGGTATAACGACCTATTTTTTTAACTCCAGTAATAGTAAAATATATAGCAATATGAAAAAGAATCTCGATATAAGCTAACGAACCTCGTTAAAAAGAACATATTTTGACAGTTCCTTGGCTCTTCGTTATATCGAGGTTCCACTGTACTTAATTTTTTTTTATTGTCAAAAACTGGGGGGGGGGGGGAAGCATTTCCAGCCCCTCCCCCTGCGCGGTCCCTGGACATATGACTCTGATGCTTGAACGCGGCTTGAACTTGTATCTACGTTGCTAGTGGAAGGCAGGCTGTGAGAACACTTAACGGTCTAAAACTCTAAAGAATGTCGCGTCAATGTCGATGAGCTTATGAAACATCTCTACTTTTCTTCCTGGTTTTAACAAACGACACTTTGGTGGAACAGTTTTATAGCCTGCCTAGAAGGCGGCTTTCTTTGTTTTTTTTCGTAAAGTAAGGGATCAAACGAGAAACGAACGAGAGAAGGCAGAAAGAAGGCAGGGGCTCACTACCCTTTTCCACTCACCCCCTCTTTAAGACCTCTTTGCAGCTGTCTTTGGACACCCTTGACCGGCACTTAGCTTAATGTCCGTGTTACAGGGTGTCCATCTCGACAGAGCAGGGTTTAACTCTGGGTTCTGTTTTAAATGAAGTGTATGTCTTCTATAGAGGCGAAAGTTAACTGTATTATGGTATCCCCGTGAATTTAGTGTTTTATTGTCGTTACTTCAATTTCAACACTTGAATAATGTTCTTATGTTAAAAAGTGATGCTAAACAGAGGAACTTTCGTCTGGATGCCATTTTCTGTCCGTCGTTATGCTGGGCGAACTACCCAAAGCAGAGATTGCGCCCCTTACGCTACAGTGAAGGTGCGTCATAAGACCGATAGTATTTTCTTCGAAAATCTTAAACACAAATTAGTCACGAACCAGTACCAAACAGATGCTTTAAAGAACGAATTCAACAAGTGTTGAACTTATGGTTCTTTTTTTCTGTGAGTTCAAGTTTCCTTTCTGAACTTCATCCAATTCAGAAAGAGCTCAAAATTTTTTAAAACTAAGATATTGTTAACAACAAGAACAAAGCCCGTATAACACCTTGGAGTTTCAAAGAGCGATTTTCCATCAGTACCTACTAACTTCTACTCCGCAGTCAAAGAAGGCCAAAGACTAGAGTGCCGGGGGAGTGGGGGGGAATACTCAACAAAGTTTTATACGGAAAGGCTCCGCCTCGAGGTCCAGCCCCCTACCGTTTTATATGCAAATTTTGGCTCAAAAAGTCCCCCCTTTCGTATACCGAATACTTTTATTGACAAATGATACCCCTTTCACATACCTAGTTTAGAACTTTGTTTCGAACTGCTGTGTATGCTCTTTCTTTAAAATGTGTTTAACCCACAACCCCAGAACGACTTTTTCAAAGCCATAAAATGCATGTGTTAGCCCTTTTGGGCCTTTTTACAGACTGAAATGACAGCTTTCCCTACCCTTTCAGAAACCTCAACTAGTATAGTGAAATCTGTACCCTTTCATAAATCTGAAACCTTCAGGCGGCCTCTTCCCGTAGGTCATTATAGGGAGTACACCTCCGGTGCAAAGTGACATACAGTCGAACCCCTATGCGCGACCACCTCTCGTAAGCGACTGCCAATCCAAAACACCAAAATTTTTCCCAGCCAAAGCCTTACAGTTGGAACCTCTAGTAAACGACCACCTCATGTCAGCGACCGCGACCACTTTGGGCCTGACGGGTTAATGATTTTCCATTCTTGTTTTACCTCTTGTAAGCGACCACTTGACGCATTCTCTGATCTCTATGTTCACTGTGCGCACTATGCTGTTAAGAATATAGGAAGAACTTTAGTGAGAACATGGAACTACACATGGCATAACTTAGACATTGCCCAGGGGGTACTCGATATATCCGTGGGTGGGGATGTGGGGCGCGGCCCCTCATACCCTGACTCTGTTTAAGACAAAAATCGCTAATTTTCCTACCCTGTTTAAGTAGACAGAATTCCGATTTTTGATACCTTGTTTAAGACATTTAACCTGAAACCACACCCTGTGTAAGACAATAATAAATATCGAAACTCTTTCTTATTCAATCCGTTGGCAATCACAAAACTATTTACAGCTTGATCAACAGTCACGAAGGCTGTTTATCGTCCAAGAAAAGATACCCGGTTTAAGACAAAAATTGATAAAATCGATACCTTATTAAGACAAAAAATGATAAAATCGATACCCTGTTTAAGACAAAAATCCCGAAAAACATACCCTGGCTGGCCGCACGTCCCTATTAAGCCCTTATAAGGGAGTACCCCCCACCCGGGGACATTGTATGCAATGTGTTTGGACCTCTTCTCAGAAGAGACCCCTGTGGTTCGATTCTTGTAAGCGACCACTCACTCAGTCTTTGCATTTTGGGTGGTCGCTAACGGGAGGTTCGACTGTACTGTCTGAGTACCAGATCTTCGCATCCCATGTCGTTTACTCTCTTGTTGTAAAACGGATTGAAATGAATTGCCTTGACATTATTGCAGTAAATCCGACTACTGAATTACCAGGGCGATCTCTGATTACATTGTTTAGTACATGTACTTGTTTTATTTTCTTTGTTAACAAAATGATGGATTTTTTAAGTATCTCATGAAAATGAGAAAGGTCTTACTGCTTCAAATATAGTGTACCAATACGTTTAAGGTGGCTCGACTGGACTTTTTGGGGGGGATACCTCCCAAGTTTGAGCATTAACTACGTCGCCATGAGTAAAGATATGGAAAAAAGGTCTCCAAAACTGTATCATATAAAGATGAAAAATTCTTATGATTTGGGTTTTATTGCAATCGGAGTCGCCATGGCAACGTAAAGACGCCATTACGTTTTTATTTATCTTTGTGTTTCTCTGTACCAAGAGTTTTTTTAAGAAATCGCTTAAGGGAGTTTGTACCTGGTATAATTGCCTCAATTATGGCAAAGTTTGAACAATTATATGAGAGCGTTTTCGAAATATTTTGAAACGAAGTTTTAAGCATTATAAAAACAGTGAAATAGCATGCTATCCACACAATTAGCTAATTTTTTAAGAAAACGATAAGCTTTGGAAACGCGGATTCATCTCATAGCGGTTTGATTCCATTGAAAACTGTGTACATAAAAAGAGGGGAATTGCTCTGGACGATCGCGAGGAAGAAGAATTTTATTAACTTGCATTCAGCTGCTTTTGTTACAGTTTTTGCACGTAATTTGGTCCACGCCTACAAATTTCGCATTTTTCAAAAAACCGCTCGATAAATTTTTTATAAATTTGACAATCTCGAGCTCAATCGTCAATAAATATACCCTGCCAGTTTCAAGGACATTGAAAACATGGAAGGCTTTTAAATAGGTCCTCAAATATGACCAATTTTCCCCCCAGATTTTGTGTTTACAAGTGAGAGTCCTTATTATTCACTGGCATTGTTTTCAAGAATCATATGCATGTGCAAAAATTTAGCAAAAAATAAATAAATTTACATCAAAAAGAACTCTCGATTACTTTCGGAAGAAATATCCGGAATATGCTGATAATTGGCTTGTGTCACAGACAGCAGAGACAGCCGAGACGGTGAACGTCACGGCTCATCTTGTAGGATGTAACACTTAATTATCTTACTCGGGTTATAACATCACAGCAACTCTTACAAAGAGTTACTGTGATGTTAGAATATATCACTAATTTCTTTACCCAGTTATTAGCATATTCCAGAGATTTAACCGAGGGTCCTTTTTGATGCAAATTCTATCTTTTTGCTAAACGTGCACGTGCATATGAAACTTGAAAACAATGCCAGTGAATAATGTGGACGCTCACTGGTAAACACAAAATCTGGGGGGAAAATTGGTTATATTTGAGGCCCTATTTAAAAGCCTTCCCTGTTTTCAATGTTCTTGAAACTCGCAGGGTATATTTATTGACGATTGATCTCGTGATTTTCCGATTTATAAAAAAATTTATCGAGCGGTTTTTTGGAAAATGCGAAATTTGTAGGAGTGGACCGAATTACGTGCAAAAACTGTAACAAAAGCAGCTGAATGCAAGTTAATAAAATTCTTCTCACTCGCGATCGCCCAGAGCAATTCCCCTCTGTGTTTGTACGCAGTTTTCAATGGAATCAAATTACTAATTCCCCTCTGTGTTTGTATGCAGTTTTCAATGGAATCAAATTACTATGAGATGAATCCGCTTTTCCAAAGCTTATCGTTTTCTTTAAAAATTAGCTAATTGTGTGGATAGCATGCTATTTCACTGTTTATATGATGCTTAAAACTTCGTTTCAAAATATTTCGAAAACGCTCACATAGAATTTGTTCAAACTTTGCCATAACTGAGGCAATTATACCAGGTACAAACTCCCTTAAGCGATTTCTTAAAAAAACTCCTGATGCAGAGAAACGCAAAGATAAATAAAAACCAAATGGCGTCGTTAAGTTGCCATGGCGACTCCGATTGCAATAAATCATAAGAAATTTTCATCTTTATGTAATACAGTTGTGAAAACCTTTTTCCCGTATCTTTACTCTTGGCCACGTAATTAATGCTCAAACTCGGGAGGTATCCCCCCAAAAAAATCCAGTCGAGCCACCTTAATATAGATAATTGCCTCGTGTTTTAATAGCGGAAAGTCCGGTGTGTCGGTTCTGTTATTTTAAAGCAGTACTATTTTAGTCTCGTTTGTTTTCGTTTCTTTTTTGTTTGCTTAATTGTTTTTGGACAAATACCTTTCAACTCAAGGCTAGCTGATTCTAATACAAAATGGACGACATCCGGACTCGATCAGGCTAGCAGGTGCACCAGGGAAGTGCCCGCGCGCCTCCTGACATCTAGTCTAGTAGGGTTGTCGAGAAAAGGCATGAACTACGTGTACATTTAAGATCACTTTTGTAGAACATCTACCTTGACGGTTTTAGAAATCACGTTCGTATATTAGCGCAATGGAAATAAGACATCAGATAAAATTTTGTGAAAGTTCATAATCGATTGAGAAAACGAATGTCACAGCCTGTCACACACGTCTGTGACTTTGCCTCGGTTTCGTGGACAATACACTTCCTGTCTCGCAGAGGCGCCAATTCAATTCATGGAACTTATTACTTATTCAAAGGAAGAGTTGGAGGTCGAGAATTTTCTTTGCATTTCATTGAATTGAAAATTATCGGATATCAAGCGAGTGTAAAATATCCGTGAGTCACGCCGCCGTCTGCATAATTGTTTTCCGTCACTGTGCTAGTGTAAGCACCTAAAGCGCGTCTTTCATAAGGAAATGGACGCTCCGTTTGTTTTGTCTCCTTTTGACATATCGCTCAGCTGTGCTTTAGGCGAGTTGATTTGAACGCATTGTTGGAGAAAAGACCTCAAGTTGAAAAGAATATTACAAAAAGAACTTTCCACATATAAGTGTGGATTCTTGCTTAATACTTGCTATTTGAAAGTGGATGAAGTATTGAATTTAGGACAATATTTCGGCAATTCAAAGATCAAAGATGTCGAGTAACACCACTTCCAGCGCAACCGGTGAAGAGAAAACTTCAGCTGCTGTCGATGATGTCGAATCGTCTTCAATTACCGCTCTGTCACATCAGATGTCAGATTCCTCTTCGCAACCTTCGAGTTCTCAAGGTATGATAATATTACATTATTCTTTTACTGGTAAGACAAAGGCAATTTATTTTGGCCATTTTCTCTTTGGCACGTTAAAATTTCGAGGCTTGTCTTGTTATGTTACTGCATAATTAACTCAGTCTTTGTACTAAAGGCTGTTTGTCTCAGGTTTTGTTGAACTGAAAGGCAGTGTTTCGTCTACCTGAGATATTGAATTACCTTTTTCATGTATTCCCTTACATAAGATGTATTAAATCTATTTTAGTTTTGTTTAATTTTTGGCTCAGATTTGCTATGACACGAGGGAAGCTTTTGCGGCTATTATTCAACACGGTTGAAGAGTTTTACTTGTCACGTTTTCTTTTGGTAGTCACAAATGTCGTTTTTCCGAATCAAAGAAGCTAATGTACATCACATTTAAAGGCTGCTTCATTAAGAAAGGTTCTTTCCTCTTTTTTTGCCGTTGATTGCCGTCTTTGAGGTTTATCGTGATTTGTCATGGAATGAATTCGTGTAGTGACTGCGAAGATCGCATGACAAGAAATTATATTTAATTTGCATAAGTTCGGTTCATGTCGATAACAATTTGCCAACGCTCACGAAAAAGAAAAAGTTTGACTCGATTGCCGTTTCGAAATGTTTAATTGATAAAAAGTAGAAAATAGGCATCAATTTAGTGCTGTGACCGCCATATCTATACATTAGATATTTAGGTTCCGTCGCGTTAACTCAATCAAGCTACGACTATAGTAGGCATGCATAATGAATATTTCCACGAATGTTACTGCCTTCGTCACTGCAAAATGTTTTTTCGATAGGAATGAATTTTCAAAAGGTGGGAATTGCACCCAAGGCTTAACTTTCACCTTGTCTGTTTTTCTTTATCACTCATTTGAAATAAGGTTGAATAAATTTATTTAATAAATTTATTTGTTGTTTAAAATTAGTCATTCTTTTAATGCAACAATGATTATGGTGACACCTTGGTTGTCTCCTGTTCCTTCACATCACCTGCATCCAGAACTCCTCCTGCCTCGGATCCATGTACTAACCAGTCAGGCTCAGAGGGACTGTGCAATCCACTCTGTACTTCGGCTTGGGAATTTAGCAAGTTTCCTGCATAATATTATCTTCCTCTCCCTCCCAAGAGCTTGAAGACTGGATGCAGCGAGCAATCCTGAAATGGTCCACATGAACAAATCGTACTTGGCTCCCACAGCAAACTAGGAAAGTGCGTGGACCTTTCACAATGAGTGATCGGCCAATTATGAACCAAGACGACTTCTTGCAACTTGAACTCTCGGAGCTTCACTCGTCCTTCATCATGGCGCTTTCTCTACTGCTCTGTTGAGGATGGGTTTCAGTGATGTGAAACAGTTCCTAATCTGTTGTCCCAAAAACAGTTCAATGGAAGATTGCCCAGTGACAGTGGCTAAGGTGTGCTATGATTCAAAATAAATAGTTGACCAGCTCGTGTTCCAGACTGAGGGTATTTGTTTTGCCATCTAGCAAAAAACCGCCCTGGTGGTCTGGACAGAAAGTTCACCAGCTCCATTAGATGCATTGTGGTGGGGTGGAACCTGGGTAAACCTGACTCCATTCTGCCTCAAGAATTAAGAGAACTCTTCAGATGCCAGCTGTGGCCTGTTGTCTGAAACCATGTCTTCTGGTGTTCCATAGTAAGCAAACAATGTACGCTAAACCTCAATGGTTTTCAAGCTGGTCAAGGAACTCATGGGAATTACCTCCAACCACTTGGAATAGGCATCAATAACAATCAAGAAATTCAACTTGCCCTTCTCAGAGAAATCAATGTGGATATGCTGCCATGGCTTAGCAGGCCATTTCCAAGGGTGAAATGGTGCCCTTGAAGGGGACTTGCCCAAGGCAGCACAAACATGACATTGCTGAACCCTCTCAACAATAGCAGCATCCAATCCTGGACACCAAAAATAACCCCTGACCAGCAACTTCATGTGGCAGATTCCATGATCCTCTTGGTGCAAGTTATCCTACAGACGAACACAATACCTCTCAGGAATAACCACATGTAAACCCTACAATACACATCCTTAGTCAACAGAAAGTTCTTGCTTTATTGAAAAGTAAGGCTGCAACACTGGATCATCTAATGCTTGAGGCCATCCATGCAAAGTGAAGTCGTACACACAAGCTAAAATGGGTCTTTTCTAGTTGTAGCCATGATATATTGGGCTGTAACTGGAGGGTCCTCCAGGCAACTGATGAAATATACTTCTTCCTTGTCCTCTTGTTCTTCTAAAGACACCCGTACAAGTCTTGACAAAGCATCAGCATTCGCATGTTCAGCAGACTTCCTATACTTAATCTCATACTGATAAGCTGCTAAAATCAAACGCCACCTTTGCATCCTTGCTGTGGCCAGTGGGGTACACCAGTCTTTGGCCCAAGAATCATGACTAGCAGCTGATGATCCGTAAGCAATGTGAACCTCTGACCAGAGGGGCGGGGAGAGATGACATCTGGGACTGAGTAACAATGTCCTCACAACTTGCAAAGCAGTCACCGTGTGTGGTGGTCAGCGGATGATTGCAGTGTATTTTTCACAATGTAAATATTTCAGAGGCGAGAAGGGAACCTGCAGAGGAAATAACTGGAAACATAATATCATGCCTCCTTGTTTTTCTTGCATATTGCATTTGTCCTTTGGTATTGAAATTGCAAAACGGAAGTGACACTCATGTGCAACCATGTAAATTCTTAACTGACAACAACGCTCTGTGGACTATCGATCGAGTTTGTAGGTATTTTGTTGGGTGAGGAGAATATCATAGAAGTTATGATGCTGTTAAAAATTACTGGAGAAAATGTTAAATTTATGGGGAATTTAAAAGTCTATTCAAGAGAGCTTTGTAAACGTGAGCTTACATGCCTAATATTAAACAGATTCACATTTCATAACAGTGGTAACATTTCACTTCGTCTATTACCATCATTCAACACCTTAAATTCAAAGTTAAAATTTAAGCAACCCTAGTATACAAATTACATCTATTGCTGAAAGCTCTGTACCTTGAAGTGACCTTAACTTTCCTTAGGTTTGCAACAAAACACTACTTGATATCTTAACTCTCTGGCGGTTGTTTCAGCTATATGGAACTCTATGTTGCATATTCTAAACTCTGCGGAGGAAGACTGTTTAAAGGAAAAAGCAAAACTCCCACTATGTCTGAAAAGCAAAAAAGGCATTGAGCATTACGTTTGAAAAGCAATAAAGTTGCAAATTACCAAGATATAATAGTGAGAAACAATCCCCCCTTTGACCTCCATGGTTTTGCTCCTTCTCAAACGTGTTGATCTTTGGTTTATGATGTAATGCACAAATCCATTATGTTTTCATTAAAAGAGAATGTATTGGAAGTAGCTTCCCCCTGCCTCCGACCATACAGATACAAATGGAACTTTTTCACTCCAAACACAGTGAATAAAGCCTCTTTCTCTATTTGGAAATAGTTTCGCTCACTAGCTGTGAGAGTTTGAGAGGCAAAAGTGATAGGCTTTTCCTTGCCTTTCTCCATAACATGGGAGAACCTGATGCTGTGTTCTTGTAAGTGCCTGAAAACCTCGTCTAGGATTGCCAAATGTTGCTCAGGGGAAACCCCTGAAATCAGGATGTCATCCAAACAGCAAACTGTGAACTTAACCCCCTGCAAAAGCTGATCCATAATCCTTTTTAAAAAAGCTGGTGTACTGGAGACTCCAAATGACAGCCATTTGTAACCGGTACAAACCCTTGTGTGTGTTGATTGTTTGGTACTTCAGTAAATCCTCAACCATCTCAACCTGCTGATAGGTGTGAGGTAAATGAATCTTGGTAAATACTTGTACCCCAGCTAACGTTGCAAGCAAATCTTCTGTATTAGGTAAAGGGTACTGGATGACATCAGCACATTTGTTTACTGTCATCTTGTAGCTGCCACACACTTTCAGTGAACCATCTTTCTTGGGGACCAACACCACTGGGCAGCCCAGTCACTTTGACTCACTTTGTAAATAATCCCTTCATCCTCCAGTCTCTGTAGCTCCTGCTCAACCTTTTCTTTAAGAGCATATGGAATGGGTCTTGCTTTCAGGAAGATGAGCTGTGCACCAGCCTTCATGGACCTGAATGGATCCGAGGCTTTATACAGCTTGATGTTTCGATACCCCCTCTCAGGGCTTCGTACTTAGCACGGATATCCTCCACAGCAGGCACTTGAGACACCTTGAAGGTGGTGGACCAATATATTTTCAGTTTCTCAAGCCAGTTCTCCCCAAGCAACACAGCTTTTCTCCTTGAGCCACCAACAGAGATAGTTGGATTTCCTGGGTCTGATACTGCACAGTAGCTTGAAGTTTTCCCAACAAAGGTAACGACTTACCAGAATATGTTTTCAAGTGGAACTACATTGGCTGCAATTTGAGATGCCTAAACAACTTCTTGTGCTCCACCTCAGAGATGATGGATACCACTCATCCCGTGTCGATTTCCATGCTGACTTGCTTACCCTCCAACAATAACTGAACTTGAAACCCTCATCCACCTTGTCCTTTAGACTTGAGAGTTTACAATCCCAGTCCAGGCTGCTCTTCAGTATTACTCATGGGTGAACCGTAGATTGCACCATCTCTTTCTTATCGCACATCTTAGCAAGGTGACCCTTAGTGTGACACTTGCAACATTAAACCGACCTAGCCCTGGACCCTGATGGAGAATGCTTTCCACCACAACAAAAACAAGTCATGGCTTCCTCATTTCAAATGCCCTGGACTGGTATTTTTGCTGACCTTATTGACCATATTGTCCACCAGCACACTGGCGTCTCGAAAATCCTCTTTGTTGGCTAAATCCATGGATTGTGTGGTTTCAAACATTTTCTTAAACGTAAACTGTCTCTCTCTGCCAACAACTTTGTCTGAATTTGCACGCTTTTCAATCCGAAATGAGGCCGCGTAATGAGGTCCCCTAACGCGTCTTCCAAAAAAGTTCTAAACTCACACCTCAACGCCAGTTGCTTCAACTCACCTACAAACTGAGGGACCGTTTCACTCTCATGCTGGTTCGGACTATGGCATTTAAAACGTTTGGTGATCAAAACAGTTTAGGCGAGTAAGGTGAAATCATAAGCTCTTTCTTCATTTCAATGAAAGACTTACCTTTCAGACATCCATGGGCTAACAAATTCTGCAGCACACCATATGCATCTTATCTAACTAACGCTAGAAACGCTTGGACATAATTCGCTGCAAAATACAATTCCACTCGCTCGATATAACTTGCAATATCTTCTTTACTGCCTACCTACTCTCCAACTTGAAGTACAAGCACTATCCTTGTCACCGAAAATGTAATATTTAGGTCTCAAGCGACAGGACAAACAAACCATGTATGTGAATCATTCTTTTAATGCAACTGTGGATGTGCAAAACCTGCCCTATAAAAATTAATATAAGAGTTCTGGAACCCAATAATATATTACAAAAGGAATACTTAGCACATCAAGGAAATTTATGTCACGAGTTTAAAGGAAGTGTAGAAAGTGTCACCAATTCGATGAATGGCTGCGGTTTTGTTTATGAACTCAGTTGCATTACACATTGTTGAAGTGGTGGCATGACATGTATTTTACATAACTAGGGAACACAGAGCAGTCATTCCTCTTTAATGTAGCTGTTCACTTCAGTCTTTCACACCAGCCATTTAAAAATTTTGTTCAATTATTTGAGCTCATCTATTAGAAAACTTCTTTAAGCCATCCAGCTGTTTGGCCACTTCATTTTGAAAGGCTTGGCTACCTGTTTCTCTCCCATTCACTTGCTGTGCATGCCATTTCAAACAGATACCTTAAGGAATGTTTTCGTGTGAACGGTTACAAAAGTTTTAAACAGATTTGAAATTTCTACAAGTAACCATTTTGCAAATCCAGTGAAATATAGATTTTATCATTCTACTCAATGATAACAATTTCTGCAGAAAATGTTCTTCAGTGCGCAGAGTCCATGGTATCATCAACACCCTCAGATGACAGTCAAGGGAACTCACAGCCAGTGTCCACGGATGGTACAAATGTGAACAAAGCTGACACAACAGGTGTGTGTGATCCTGAGCTTAGAACCGCATTCTGCTTTTTCAAACAGAGACCCAACTGAGACCAGCAAAAGTGTGTGTCTTACAGAGTTTGTGATATATTAACAGAGATGTAGCTAAGGAAAAGCTAAGCAGGCTTTTTTTATCAGTCAAGCTGCACCGTCAAAATTACCCCAAGTTTTTGATTTTCAGAGCAATTTGAGCCAGTGGTTAAGGGTCTTTTTCAGCTGGTGAAATTAGCTGGCAGCTGGCTCTTAGGGACATCCAACCTGTATTAAGTTAAGGTTACTGTATACCTTCAGGCACGTCTCATGTGCAAGTGGTAAAGTGCATTCTGGTTAAGCTGAAGATACCTAAAATCCTATTTCAAATTAAAGTTTATTGAACTGGCAATATTATTAGACAAACCAACAATCCTTTATAACACATGCATTTTCAATTTTTAATGATTTTTTAATGTGAGTGTCTGGACCAGCTTTTGAAAGCTTAAAATCAAGGGGAATTTGTTTCATTGACCTAGGATTTTGAGGAATGTTTATTTAATGTGTATGCATGCAACCAAACCTGTTAAGGAATTTTTTTGTTTCGTAAAACGTTTTTATTGAGAGACATTTTTGTGTGATTCCATTTTTTTAGCCTTTTTTTCCAAGTTGTTCTGTAAATTTTCATTGGAATCAAAAATTGCAAAATCCCACTCAGCATGTTTTTATTAACACTTCAACTTTGAAATACTAGAACAAATCCTTTTTTGTGAAAAACAAAAATCATTTCAAGTTTTAGCTTCAGCTTGTCCTTGCACTTTTATCTTTACCCTTTCTGGCTGTATAACTCCTCATCTTAAAAAAGTTGCAGAAACTCTGTGTTCAGCCACCTTGTTGCTCAGAGGTGAATCAGCGGTGGATATCCTGAGTATGAATAGCCATCACTAAAGTACACTCAAAAAACACTATCCACTGTTTTAGTATTTACTAATTAAAAATAATGAATAAAATATATAAAACCAATTGGTGTCTCCGGCTCTCTGTGCAATCCAAGCACATTCTGCCCACTCAATGTGAGAAATGAAATATTCTTGCGGTGTTAAGATCTGATTTAGTTCAGACCTCACAGGGCTTTATAGGGCATTAATTATATCAAAAGTGGATTCAGACACTTTCGTTGAGAATCTTAAAAAACTGAAATTTGCACGTTTTTAAAAAATTGTTGGTTTATTAAGATAACCAGGGCAATAAGCTTGGGTATTTCTTGATGTTGTGGAAACTTTTGTAGTTTCGCTTTTGTGTTGTGTTTTGGGTATTGTTCAGTGTCTTTTTGATCTTTTGTATCATGTCATTTGGTGATCGTCTACAGCCATCTACAACACAACCAAGAAACTGTCATAAGCTTTAATTAATTTAATATAGTTATAGTTATAGTTAAAGTTAGGTATGTTCAGTTTAACCAGAATGCGCATTGTCGCCTACATGCAAGACACCCCTGAAGGTATCTGCTAAACCTTAAAGAACAGCTGTAGTTAAGTCTAGGTCATGGCCAAAGAATGACCAAGATCAGTTTTCTCCTGTGGATATCAATATACAAAGTCAAAAGAAAAGGTCATAAGAATTGATAAAAATGATCAGCAAAGAGAAAATGCTTTGATCCTTTATGGAGTTCGGTCTGGAGATGTTGGGGCTGAAACAGTGGTTCAGTGTTTAGTAATGCGACGAACTCTAGATCCAGTGGCTGCATGGACTTTGAGCTTTGGCTGTGCCATTGCATTGTTTCCTAATTATATAATGCTTGCAACTTTAGCCTTTTACCAAGTGTAGGGTAAGGGTGCAGGGTGTTTAGCCAGTAATAGTATCTTAATTAGGGGCCAGTTTCAGTAAATGTCAGACATAACTGCTGTCATCTATGCATGAAACTTGATACAGGTTGAGATAGAGCAGTAAAAACACTGATCTCTGTCTGTCAGTTGTCAATGCTTGGATTACATCACCTTAAACCCACTTGTGGTAGTGAACAGTGATTAACCTGGAGGCGTCTGCTGAGGATCACTGCTGTTATGTGCAGAGCAATGATAAGACATTTTGAAGGTACTGTTTATGACAACTTGTTTTGCCCATCAATATATTGGTGTTTTAATTTGTTTTTAGAAGTGCCCACAAGCAGTGGAAAGCAAGAGAGGACAGAGTCAGAAACCACCCCCATAACAGTAGGGCCCTGCACACCAGACAAACCCCATGTGCCAGCTTCAAATGGTCTTCATTACTCTCCTGGATTCTTAGCTACCAGTAATCTTTCTCAGTTAGCAGAACTTGCAGCTAATAAGTCAGCCATGAATCAGACAGCGCCAAACAGTGTACAAACACCTACTGCTCAGCCTCATCTGCTTGGAAACCAAAGTAGATTTGTTATTCCCACTCAAGGAATCACCCCTGGTATGTTTGGAGCATACCAAACCTCACCCATTGTGCAATATCATGGCTTTACCCCATCTCCTGCTACCCAGGTCCCATCGCCGTTTGTCAAGGGCTCTATCATTCAGCTGACAAGTGGAGAGTTAAAGAGAGTTGAAGATCTTACAACAGACGATTTTGTTCACAGCACAAAGCTCTATCCAGATCACAAATTGGATACCAGCACTGTAGTGAAAATAGAGGATGGTACAGATGCAGGATGTACACATATAACCTTCACCATCAACAGTTCAAAAAAACAGGTACTGTAATATACAAGTTAACAAGCAAGTTCCAGCTTGTATAGGCTTATCACTTTGATGTATTGAGAGTGTTGTCTAGTAGAGTCTCCTTCCAAAGGAGAGACTTGGGGTTGGGAGACTTATTACTCTGTTACATATTGCTGGGTGAGGATGTCGCTTAACTATGGTATCACTGTTGTTGAATTTGAATATGTCACTGTAGGCTGAAATGTCCTCCCAAGTATCCAGAACTTTTCATTGAGCAAATCAATTGTAGATGCTTAAACATTGTCAGTGGCAGACTACACTGTCAATTTTGATGTGGCCCAGTATTCAATTTTAATTACCTTTTTTCGGTAAAATATGCACAATTTCCTTAAGTTTCTGTCTTTTATTACTGTTATATTAAGTCACCCAGTTTAATGCTTGTATGTGTTACAGGTGAAATTTGATTTCAGGTTAAAATGTTTTTAACCGAAAATGATTCTGGTGCTAGGAGACAAAGGAAATTAAGAGTCAAGCTTGGTACCATTGAAAGGCCTCCATAGGAGAGGCTGACGTGTCGTGGCTTAACGCTGGTGGCCCTCGTCGTGAGCTTTAAAATGTTGGGTAGGGCAAATGTTTCTAGTTGAAATAAGATGCCATTGCAAGAAGAGATCACTATTTTGTAATTTCTTTTGGCAGGTAACTCTAAACTGTCCTGTGGAGCACCCATTCTTTGTGTATGGCCAAGGTTGGACGTCCAGTAGACCAGACCAGTCCCTTGCTAAGTATAATCTGAGCTGTCAGCCTCTCAAGGTTGGTGATGTGTGCATATTTCTTTCTCCTTCTGCAGTTGGTGTTCTTCCAAGTGTTCCATCAACCCAAGCTACTCCAGCTGCACAGTCTGGCACTTTGTCAGTTCCAGTAAAGGGAGCCATATCTGTCAGTAGCACAAGTCAAACACCAAGTTCTGTTACAGTGTCCTATGCACAAACTCTTGCTGGAATGGCAGCTTTACCAGGCAACATGCAAGGTGTTGTTGTAACATCCTCTCTACCAGCTGGCATTCCTGCAATATATCCAGGAACATTTCCACCACCTCAGGGAAAAGTGGGAAGTACCCAAAGTGGTGCTGAACGATCGGCAACAACTCAGCCCATAGTGGTCTACACAGCTGATGGCAAACCCTCAGATCCCCAGCATCCCCCAGGAGTAGTGTCTGGGGGATTCCCATTAGCTGGTGGTGCTTACTACCAACCCCTCCCAGGAACTCTTATGACATCAGTGCCTCCTGGCCAAACATTTGTACAGGGCACAGTTGTGCCACAAGGCTCTGTAGGAAATGGTTTGCTTGTTGCTGCAGTTGGTTTTGTCCCTGGTAGACAACCTCCATTTGTTCAGTCTGGAATGTTGTACAATCCATCTCCGGTGGAAGTTGTGCCAAAGGCAGCTGGTGACGGAAAGGCTGAGGAATATCCACAAAAGCCTGGAAGAACAGACACACGAGCAGAACTTTCACAGCCGGATGCTAAGCGAGCAAAAGCTGCTGACACAGAAGTAAAATAGAGTTTATTTATAAATGAGCTCTTGAACATGAAATAACTTTTACTAAAAGAGATATATAGTTATAATATTATTAATAAGGAAGCTCTTCCTTTAACTTGTATTTATTTCAGATCAGACTAACTTGAAAAGTTGTCTTACATCGTTTGTTGAGACGTAAGCTCCCACTATCAGCTTTAATTTCAGAGAAACACAATTTGTATTTAATATTGTTTTGCTCCTTTTCACATGTGATCCGCCTTTTTATTGAGTGATTTAATTTAAGTAAAAATGGCACATCTAGTTTAAAGTGTATATTTTATAACAAAGAGTTTGTAGTTATTATATAGCTTACTTTAAGGATAAGAAATATACATGTAGGAAAAAAATATTATTTGTTGCATTACAAGGTTGTTAATTGGATATTTAAAAAGTTGGTAAAGTAGCATTGTTTCCTCATACGTATGTCTGCAAGCGGTTTTCAGTCAAGAAACACTGTCAGTGTTGGTTTTGTGAAAGAATTTAACATCTAATATTAGCCTTTTCAGCGTTGTTGCAATTACTTTGAAAACAAGGTATAGTGTGTTGCTTTTGGTATGAAAATAGATTATTCTTCTCACTTGAATAAAACTCATTTCCATGGGAAAGGTTCTCCTTTTTTTGGAACTCAAAAAAGCCTAGCTTGTGGAATTCATTTCTTGCGTAAATTAGACCAAAATTGAAGCAGTAAATGTTTAGACAAGAAATCAGTGACAACCTTCTCAGACAAACTAATTAGCTTCCTCTTAATATAAATTTTTGTACTCCTAATACAATTAACTGAGATTGATTCTATCTGGAGATTTAGACATTTTTCATCCCAAAGTTACGTATTATGGCATGAGAACAAAGCTGAAAAACCTTTTGGCATTGGGAGTTATAGCAATATGGTAATCATTTGTTACTAAAATTGAGGAATGAGCCACAGTGACCTGATTTTTCTTGTATTTCTCTTAAAAAATTTAGTATACTTGTCCTCAGAGCTGCAAATTAATATAAGCCTTGCAGATTATTTAAGCTTAATTCAGGTCATTGTAGTTCGTTTTATGGGGGCACACTGAAGCTCATTGTTTCTATGAAAGGGCAGAGTGAGGTTCAATTCAGCCACAAAAGCAGTGGAAGTTAAAAAAAACCCTTAAATACTGATCGAGCTAGACAACATTAAATTCCCACCACTAATAATTATTATTGATAACCCCTATGCCAATGGAGAAACACAATTAAAATTCAATATTTTGTTGGAAAAAGTATGTTTTAGTTTTCAGTAAAAAAAATCATTAATTTCATCCATTTATTTCTTGATCACATGTACTGGCTAACGCAATTACGTATCAGTAGTACACACAATGCATCCATACGTTAGTTGTCTTAATGTCGGAATAACACCTAGTGGCCATATTTGATTTGGTAGCAAATGATTACTACAAGGTGAGTGGGCAAGAAACCTATTTTGTTATGAACAGTCTAAGGCAAGTATTAAACTAAGAGAGATATTATTTTAATATCCACATTAACAAGCTTTACCGTTGTGACCGCTAAAACTTTAGCCTGTGTGAGTTGCAAGCTTTTCCGTATTGTTGGATTTAACATGTATAAAAATACTACTGTCGTATTCAACCAAATAAGGGATGGATGTCAATGTCTCTTACCAATATGTGTAGAGATAAATGTACAATACTTTAAAATTATTTATTTAATACAACTTCAACTTGAGCAAGAACGATGTCTGATACGTGACACAAGCTTCAACAATAGTTTAGAAACTTCAGTACTACTTGTTTGTTTGCAGTTATCAGGTTACCTTTGTTATTGCAGCTGTTATTTTAAGAATAAATATCAAAGTTGATAAAAGGTGAATGAACATGTTGATTTTGGGAAATCAGGATTGTGCATTATGCCCAATGGACTGGGTGGCAGGGTCTCTATGCTAATATAATCATGAAAATAATTGAACAACACACCCTAAGCGTCAACCCTTACCCGTTTATATACCACTTTTGACAGACACAGTATCCGTTTCGTAAACCTTCCATTGAAAAATGAATCCACTTCAACTTATCTAGTTATAATAAGAAAAATCACTAAGAAAAAGGTACTTGTTTGGGGAAAGCCTCCCCATATATAGGCCGTTATAGAAGTGCCCCCCCTTTGATACACCCACAATAACATACTGTGGATGTGGTTTATTTAAAAATGGCATACATGCCAACTCTCCCGGATACGACACCAATCTCCCTGTCTCCCGTACGGGTCACCATATCTTCCAGATAAAATCATCTTTTGAGATTTTCTGTGCCTTAGTTTGAGATTTAGCCAATTTTTAGCTCGAAACATGAATTTTTCTTATTCGTAGTACTGTTTGTGGGGCATTTCTGGCATCAAAACGATGATCGCAGCTCTGAGTATGAAAATCTATGATGCTCGTTAATTTATGAAAAAAGGATTCATTGTTGTCCAAAGGCACAAATGCTGCAAGTTGCGAAGAGCCACTGAGCACTAAATGGTAGTAAGAGCTTAGCTCTTAAGCCTCTGTAAAAATCACATAAGATAGGTAATACAATCATAAGTGGAAAGGTACAGACCATTTTTTGTTTTTGCTTGTCTCCCCTTTGTGCTTCCATAAGTACAAACACGTGTATATATGTAAGCTGGACTTGCATTAATCCATTCACCCCCCCTGAAGTTTTGCTCAATAGCAAGTAGTTTTTTCCTGGTAATTACTGCCCCCCACCACCACCCCCCCCCAAAAAACAAAACAAACAAACAAACAAACTGCTTAAAACACTGTTAATAGCCCACGTTCGATATATTGAACATGACTCCAAGGCTCTGTGGTCATTTTTCTATATTTGGGTTGGTTTTCTTTGTGCTCAAGTCTCTTCTGGGGATTGCGAAACAATGGGGTCGTAATAAAGTGGAAATTTTGACCCTAAAGCCTCGGAGTCATGTTATTTTAATACATCGAACGTTTGCTATTAGTTGAACACTTCTATTCCTGATGTAGCCTGTGTACAGGTTATTCTCAAGGTCGAACTATTCCACTACTCTCCGTCTTCCACCTTTTCTCTTGTCATCTCATCGGGATTTTTATGCCCCTTTCCCTCCATAATGGACAACCTGTTCACACGCTATACCAGATGCTTAATATCAGCTTCTAAAGCAGGCAAAATGCAATGCGCAAAAGACCCACGGTTTTTTTCAAGTTTTGAAAAAGACCTGTAGGTGGAAATCCATTGAAACTGCTGAAAAAAGGGTATTAAATTAACAGAAGTATCCTTTATTCAACTTCAATTTTAACAGGAAACATTAGGCTGGCTTGCAGATAGCCCAGAGCTAATCGTAGCAAGTCAGACTGTACAGAGATAACTTTCGTACACATTTTAAAAATACAGAAGATTTGCATTAACATAAAATTTTGTGCAACTTGTGTACGCTAGACTTCATGTTATTAACTAATTAAGAAAGAAAACAAACTAAGGGAATCAGGTCAAGCAAAATGAATATGCGAAGAGGAAACCAACAAACTGAACTGAAATATTTATTGGAACAGAACTCGAGTTTACATTAAATTAGGGGTGCTTAGAAAACGAACACCCTCGAAGACGAAGCTCTCGAAAACGAAGACCGAAGCACCCCCAAATCTCGAAAACGAAACAATCAAGACTCGAAACTTGTCTGCCCTTTAAAAACACTAGACAGTTCCTTGTGAAGTCACCAATGCTAATACAGCAGGAATCAAGCACGATAACGAGTAGCGAGTAGAATGCAGTTCAAAACTATTCAAGTAGAACTGCGAGGTGTTGCAAATGCATTTCCGCCGCCCTGACAAAATTTTAAAAAGTGACGACTTCTGTTTTGGACGTGATCCAGACTCGTACCCAGTCGCTATTTAATTGTTTTTTGGGATGAGAGAAGATTGGGGATTAGGTTGAGGCGCGCGCGGGGTGTCATGGGAAGGGAAGAAGGAAAAATAGCTAGCTGGACGTGATCAAAGTGTATTACTGGCTACCGTTTCCACTAGGCCAAATACTAGCTGAACATATTCTTTCTAGGTTTTTTTTTTACAAAACTAGGTAAACATCTGTTTTCTAACTACGTTTTCACTGTGAAACTCTACCCGGAAATTTCAGCCAGTGATCAAGCGATTCAAATTGCAATAGCGCGCCGCTTTCGAAAATGGCGGAAGAGAAAGCGCTTTTTTAGTCCCAGGCTATTACCCGAGAACAAAGTGTCATAGATACCCAATACGTCGTCATAAACATGTATGTGTACCAAAAAAATGCTTATTAAGATAAGATGAGTCAAGTATCTCGAGACTACAGGACTTCCTATCTAGAAACGTTCAGTTAAGCAGGACAGTGGCAGGCTTAAAATAAAACCTGGGTATGGATTTGTGGACCTTTAGGGGTACGGACGCATCCGTTGCCTCCACCTGGTTCGGCCGCTTGCGCCATGCAAGACTTAAAGTTGTAGTTCTTCAACCTACAGTGGTTGCGTTGGGTGCTTCGTTTTCGAGATTTGGGTGTTTCGTTTTCGAAACTACCGAAAACGAAGACCCCCTTGAAATCACTTTGAAGCTAGTAACTACTTCTAGACACTGGAGGAGTGTACGAAACATCACGATCTTTCCGTTACCTTTCAGCCCAACGAAGGTAAGAGAAAGTTAGAGAGGCAAGAAGCCCGCAGCGAAGAGGCGCAAAGATGTTAAGGCTTGGGGGGAGAAGTGAGGACCTTGCACATAATTCTCGCTTGGCTAAATTGGAACGGAAACAACTTCTACGCAGGCTATAAATGATTTGGTGGGAGGTCTTCTTTTTCTAGTTCTAGAAAACGAAGACCCTCGTCAAAATTTTGGATTGAAAACCGTGTTGTTTCTTAGACTCTCCTAGTGTCTGTAGAAGTCTAGAAGTAGTTATTAGCAGTTTCGAGCCGTTTCGAAGGATTTTAAGGGGGGTCTTCGTTTTCTGGACACCCCTAAATTAGCAACTTTTGCAAAGTGTAGGAATTCTAGGGGTAGAAAGGTATTGCACGCTCCCTTGCTTGAGCAAAGTAGGGCACGTTTTTCGAAGATTAAGGAGGGTTTTAGATGCATTGCCCTAAGATATTAAACCATACATTATACAGGGTTCCAGTTGGAACAATCTGCTGTAACTTCGCAATGAAGACCAACAGTTTTACTTATGAAATGTTGTGAGGGAACAAATATGGTTTTTCCAAGAGAGATTTTCATCAATTAATAATCCAAGGTATTTACTGCAGTTCTCTTGTTCAAGGTTAACAATTTTATGTTTTTCATTATTAAAAATATTTATCTGTGGTTGATAGTTGAACTTTTTATGGACGAACAAAGTTAGATTTTTTTTGTCGAGCGTAAGTTTGTTTGAGGTTGGCCAATTAAAAAGACTTTGCAATTCTGTATTTACAATTGACTCCAGTGTCTTAAAGACGTTAGTATCATCTGCAAGGAGGAAAAACTCAAGTTTTTATTGACATATAGTAAAAAGAAGAGTGGCCCTAAAACAGAGCCTTGTGGTACACCGCAATTAATTGTAAGAATTAATTTCACAAGTGTTTGTGTACGATTAGTTAAATAAAAGAAGAACCACTGATTAACAATCTCTCGAAAGCCATAATAATTAAGTTTATCAAGTAACAGTTAATGAATGAGGCTGAGTATCTGAAGATCGAGGAGGGTGTTATCCGTCGAGGCCGTAGGCCGAGGCGGATAACACCCTCCGAGATGTCCATAATTCTTCATATGATACGAAAGCCGAATTCAATAACTGTTTTATTATTCATTCAAAATAATTTCTAGTTTAAAAGCATAGCTAAAACATGCTTACCTCCATCGATCCATCGATGTTCAGTTCATCTTCGATAGTGTACGTTTAGGTTTGTCCAGCTCCGCAAATATTCTCCAAATGGCAGATGTCGCCCTTCGAGTTGTCTTCTTGCTGTTCTTGCCATGTTTTTAGCTATTTTTTCGACTAGTTCTTACCATTGAAACGAGTGAAATGTCCACCAAAACAACTCAACCTCGTTCCCAGGTCTTCTCGGTTAACAGGGCCTTAACCTGCGAAAACGCTGCATTTTTGACGTCATTTCCTCGTTAAAGTCAAAATTCTTCCAAATTTGCTCATCAGTATCTGGTTATGGTGGATTAAACGTGTGCTTTTAGCCAATCAGAATCGGGGAAATACTTTGAATGAATAATAATAAATATTTTATGGTCCACAGTATCAAAGACTTTCTTAAGATCAATGAACCCTCAACAGGAAAAAAGTTTTTTGTTTTTTGTCCATATTGGTACGGATAGATTCAACCATATCAAGTATGACATGTTCAGAGGAATGTGCTCGGCAAAACCGTATTGGGATGAAGATTGTCAGATGTGTTTGTCAATGAAACCTTTCGCTCTGTTGTACATAATTTTTTCAAAAATACTGTTGAAGTTTGACAATAATGAAATTAGTCTGTAATTGAAGGCATCAGTCTCATCATCAGCTTTGAAAATTGGTATAATTTAAGACATTTTCAGTTTGGAGGGATAGTCACCTAAACTGACAGATGTCACTGGTTGAGAATATTTGCAAGGATAGGAGATATTATGTCACAAGGGTGTTTAAGAAGCTGTGAAGGACAAGATATACAGGTCATGTGATTTATTTTAACTTTATGTGAAGCAACAGGATTAAAGAAATATAGATGTTGCCCAGTATTCGAACGGTACCAGTATCCGGCCACTTAAAACAAAAACTCAATTTTTGAGGCGCCTTTTCAGTTCTCGGTAAACGAAGTATTTCGAGTGAAAGCTGAACATTTCAGCTTTAAGACGAAAGTTTTGGCGAAACAGTCGCAGAAGACGCCGTTCTGTTCAGGTGTTTATGGCGCAGTAAAATTAGTGCTGCTCAGAGAAGGGTAGGTAATATGCGATATTTTCAAAGAAACTGTTTTATATTTAAAGTGAAGATACTTAAAGAAGTCAGGTTCTCAGAAAGTTTATTAATTCTTCTTGGAATTTGATATGTTTGGAATAACGGAGGCCAGAAACATTCACTAAGTATTGCTGTCAGGTGCCCAGTATCCGGCCAGTTTTTTTCTTTGCTGTACAGAATCGATTAATTAGCTGCGTACATTATCCGGATAAGATTTATTTCATATCTATAACTATAATTAAAGCTTAGGATATATGATATAATCGTAGAATGTAATTCTACTCAACTTCTTATAGAAATTTTCTTCACTCATTCAGAGGCGACTTGATTTCGGATGCACAGCTTGTTTCATCGCGTGACTGCACTTTCTATAAGCGACAAAGTTAAACCGGGAATTCTTATACCTTCCCCAGTTGTGACTGCTAGAATGGGGTTGCAACGGTCTGAAAAATGTCTGTAAGGGATTGAGAGATGCAAAAGAAGGAGGAATTAGTGCTAGAAAAGCAGGCCAAATGTGGGAACTGAGCATGAAGAAATCAACACTGCAGGTCAGACTAAATAAGAGAGTGACCTTTGACCGTCAGATTGAGGTCCCTTCGCCAGTCTTTTTTTGAAAAGTAAAAATGAAGGAAAAAACCTGTTTGCAGATAGGCTAATTTAGCTTGCAAACCGCGGCTTTGGCTTGTCCATGGATGCGTTCCTTAAATCAGTGAAAGAGTTCCTAGACAAGGAAGTATGAACTATACCATTTAACAGCCGCTCGCGTTCCCCACCAGCCACCATACGCCAGTTATTTGTTATGTTTTATTTCACGATGCTAGGTTCCCAGATCGATTTATATATTTTTGGAATCGATTGCCAGAGTACTTTACAAGTGCAAGGGAAGCTTATAAGTCGCTTGTCTGCCGAAATTTATGTACACTTACGTTGTTGTTGTTGTGGGCCGATACTGGGCCAGCTGTCCGGATACTGGGCAACATAGGAGCTCTGCAAAAATATTAATTTCGCGATGGAAACCAAGGTAAAAAAGTTAAACTGTTAATACTAACCCTACTGTTGTAGTAAGAACCATATGTAATGTCAAATTTTAATAATTTTATTCAAAGAGTTTATTCAGGAGAGATGCATGCTATAACTTATAAAAGGAAAGCTTTTTGTTAATAACTTTTACAACCAGAAAATGTACAACATATAATAGATCTCGGGCACAACAAGGTAGCCCACACCCAGCCATGAAGGTCACACATTAACATGAGAGTAATCATCCATGCTCAACTTTTACACTTGTGTGCGACATTTTCATATAACACCTCTAATCCATTTAATCACATAAAGCTGGTTAATAAAATTGTCCATGCCCTAGTGAAAACTACACGACAGTGAAAATCCACCTTGACCAGGTGCAGATATTTTTAAGTTTCTTTATATATCTAAACATGACGACAACATGATCATGCCACGAACTTAGAAGTTACCATATTACAATCATAGACTCTAATTTCAGCCAGAGATACTAATTAGATACTAATTTCAGATACTAGATACTAATTTCAGCCAGAGATTTCCTAGCCCCACTTGGATCTACATGCAAGACTGAATAACCTCACACGTCAATTCCAGCACACACCGCCTGAACAACATGCTCTTTACAATATAATAAATTTACCGGTACAGTAAAATTCAAATTTCTTAGTATAATCTTCTTTGGTAGAGGATTGTATTGGTGGCCATCTAGAATTTCAGAAAATAATACTAATAAAGAAAAACTCTTCCTTTCATCTACACATTTGAAACAGTACAGGTTATGTAGCGACTATACATGCCAGCTAGCATACCCTAATTCCTAGCAAAAAGCAAAACATGCATAATAATAATCATAATAATAAATAACAACAATAATATCTGAATAAAATCACCACAATTACGTAGCAATGACAGAGCAGTTTTCAACTGAGCTTAAAAAGAATTAACTTGTTTGGTCAGTCAACTGGGTAACATTGAAACAAAGCATAGTCATCCAAAAAACTCAAGGCAATTGAGAAGATCTGAACAACTGCTTTAAAGAATTTGTATAGACTTAGTTTTATCTAGGTGAATGCAATTGCCACTCATCAGAAGTGTTTCCTTATGATCATCCTGATTGCATTGCCAGGCCATATTTTGACATAATTTGAGCAGTCGAGACAATTCAGATGACTATATGGAAAGTAGGGTTTAGAAATACTGTTGGGAGCCTAGCTCTGAACCTACAAAATCCGGTATACCCATGGCACATTATGCTTTGTGAAAAAAACTACGATTTCCCAGTTGCCCATAAGCAATTAGCAAGTCATCATGCAGGGGTCACCTGCCTTTTTTCTACATAATAAAGACCACAGTGATAAACATAGACAAGCAAGTCATAGCTGGTGTTGATTTCATTACTTTTCATGCTTAGATAAATATAACATTAGTGTACTAAAAAGTTCAAGATACCCTGTGAGAAGTGGTTTCTTCAGACTGGACACTATGTAATGAAGAAAAACCACCACGCATGACCACTTGCTTCTTGGATCAAGCCGCCGTCCAGCGCCGTGGATAAATAAAATAACTTTGAACAGGTAAAACTCGTTTTAAAACAAGTGAAGGCTCTTGTGCATTTGCCTGCTGTGAATTTGAGCTGTTTTAGTCTTTTTCGTGGATATTCCTAGACAATTACTTTGTCAAATGTAGGCAAACTAAACTGGAGTTTAATATTCCTACAGACATGTCCAAGTTCAGAAAGAGAAATAAACTTTGGTCACCTCATAGTCATGCAAAAAAAGAGTGATGCAAATGCAAAGTTGTTGTTTTGCTTACTAAATCTATTGCTTTTTGACGTTCTCATTGCTGTCACATTGTTGGATCTCAAAAACGCTAATTTTTCCTGCGAATCAAGTGATGTCATTTGATGTTTTTGATGCAGGCGTCACGTGGATGCACATGCTCGATGGAAAAGCAAACAGTCACTTGCAGTAGTTTCTCTCCTTCTGTAGTGTAGCATCCAGCCTGGTGAAACCACTGTTCACAGGGTATCAAAAAGAGTAAATCATCGTTATAGTTATAGTCAAAAGTACCCAATTCAAAACTGCTTCGAACAATGTCAACATTCTATGAAAAGACATTGTTGAGCTGCATAGTAACACGAATGAAGGTAGTTCTTCTTGGAAGCTCCTTCAGTTTCTCAGCTCCAACATATGTACATGTTGAACGCACTCCACCAAGGATATCTTTCACAGTGTCATGAACATCACCACGATATGGCACCTCAACAGTCTTGCCTTCTGAAGACCTGGAAATAAGTATACAAGTTTAATTGAGTCGTACTGAAATCTACTTGCAGGAAGTCAATAAAGTAAGACAATGTTGTCAGCTAATTAAGAAATTTAAACTGGCCAAACCAAGGCTCAAAATAACGGACAGCAGGTCGCCGGTCATGATGACCGGCCAAATATTTTTCAGCCCGGACAAACCCCGATTTTGGCCGGTCAAATTAATGAATATTATAATTTTTTTTTGCCCATGGAATATCAAATTACGCTGGCAGTAGATCGTTGTACGGCATTGTCGTTCAGGTTTTAGCCTGTGCCAGGCTCTCAGATAATATAGTGAGGACGTATTAAATTTTTTCGCATTTCCTTTTACTGAACGACTTTTCACCACTATCTCGGAACCTGGAACACGCTATTCAGGTTTTTGCCGGCAAGTTGGTGAAAAATTCATTCACACGTTGTTGGGTTCCTTTCCGCGATTTTCGCCCGTTTTCATGTCCGTTTATATATACCTTGAGTTTCATCGTACGGCGGTGTCGGAAGTCTCCAAGGTTCGTCCTATATCTGCATATCGGTCAAACTTGATTCTTTTCGTTGCCCGGCACGTGATTGAAAGTCTCCTCCACAAAGAAGAATTTCGTCGCTAAATATTTCCGGCAAAGAAGTTGATTTGGCGAGAAATTTGTTCCACAAACAGCGTATTCGTCATCAGAAGTCAATAAATATACAGCAAAGCTTTCGTTTGGGTCGTCGCGCAACACTTTATCGCAAACGGCTTATCAAGAAGGAGGATTTTAAGCGCCGAGATAGGCGACGTTCGTTCTCGATTAGCTTAGTTTTTATCACACAATTCTGGAATCGAGTCCTCAAACGAGATCACGTTCGACATAAAGAAATTATTATAATTAATCGATGCGCTGAAATTTATTCCCGGAGAAGCAGTACAGGACGAGCGATTGATCAGCCCGAATTCCGTCGAAGGTGATTTTCACAATCCTCTTACAAGTAGATGTGAAACGTTTGATGGACAAAAACTGTCAGTCACCCTTTAGTTTTCTAAAAAATAACGGATTATCGTTAGCGTATGTTTTCCCAATACTGATCACAGCAAAGCAGAACGTTTTTCGTTAAAGGGTTTAGTGCAAAGCAGCAAAAAAAGCCAAAGATAGCAGCGAATTACAGCGTTATAGAGCAAAACGCATTAAGCGACAACTATATGGAAAATATTATAAAATGTTCGCATCCAAAAATGACCGGTCAAAATGACCGGCCAGACGAGAGTTTGACCGGTCAAGCCCACGATCAGGCCGGACATTGTCCGTTGACCGGCCGTTATTTTGAGCCCTGCAAACAATGATAATCAAAAACTATGCTTTCATCAAAAGTGTATCAAACTGTAATCAACTTGCATTTGTAATCTCTTCAACTAAAACTTTTTATTAAAATGAGGCACTCTTCAGACAACAGAAGCAGATAAAATACAAATTATATCCTTAAGCAAAAGTGAGCTATTACGTTAAATGCTTTAGGGAACAAAACAAACCTGTAATTAGCTACTCCCCCAGCATGCCTTTTCATGGCTGTTGTTGAACTCATGCCATAAAATATCTTGTATTTTTTCCCATCTCGCTCTATTAACTCCCCACCTGTACAAGTTAATAAAGAAGTACATGTTAATAAAAGTTGTGCATTGATTAACTCCCCCCGGTCAATATTTATGTAGCCAGTATATGCGAACAGTGCTACACTAACCTTCAGATTGTTTTGAATACCTAACAAAATCTCTACTTAAATCAAGGCACCCTGAAAATTCCAACCCCACAAAAATCCTTTGATCATCCCTGTCACTTTCACTCCAAGCTACCCTCTCAGGGGATTAAACGCAATGTACAATATCCCTATATTGTAACAATATTCTCACTGCCAAAACACATAACAGGTGGCCATAGTAACTGTCTGTTGTAATCTTACCAGATTGATCATGACCAGCAAACATTCCTCCCATCATCACAAAGTCAGCACCAGCACCTTAAGAATAAAATCATTTCAATTTATGCCCAGCCTCTTTTTTATCCGTTTGAGTGAGGATAAAAAGAGATTTGCCTGAAGCAGGGGTTTCATTAAGGGTTTGAAAAGGAGGGCAACTGGGTTTGACACACAGGCAAAGAATTGGAAAGGCACTTTGGGTCTTCCCCAATAGGAAGGGCCAGGGGTGCTCCCCTCGACAATTTTGAGATTCTAGAGTTTCCTGCATTCTGAAGCTGCAGACAATGCCTTTCAACTAACAAAAAAGATAAATTTTCTAAACAATTTAATCATGATTTGATACCAATATCCACCACACAAATTAGGTCACAATCTTATTGAGATATTTCAGATGATCTTTTGTGGAGTACACCTCTTTTGCAATGCATTATGGGGTGATTATTGTTTTTAGCATGTAACAAACAAGGGGATTTACTGATTTCATGCCGCATGTGAAATATGTTTTTCGCTTGAGAAGACTCATCATTTACTTAAAACTATCTTTGATTGTTTGTTGTATTAAAAAAGGGTTAAGCAGCTGGTCAATTTGCTCGGTGCCCAGCCATTGGCCCTTAATGAAACCCCTGCAGCGAAGCATGTTGAGCCTTTGAAGTTACCAAAGCCTGAAATTCTGGACTACTCGATCTTGCTCTCTATTATGGAACTGGTTTCTCAAGTGCAAGCAACCGAAAATTGATAAACTGATGGTGATAACTTACACAGTTGTACCATTAGGCCTGGGTTCACAACTGTATCCCAGCAGCAACCAGCACATGCTCAACAAAGATCTTACTCCACTTCATGCAGCATCTTTCGCATGTACACCAGTATCAAACAAGTGAAAGAAAGACTCTGCTACCAGTATGGTTTATAATTAATGACAAATTATGAACTGCAGTGCCAATCAAATTATCATAATTTCAGAACATTAATTACTCACCACATAGTACATTGAATATAAAACCAAATGTTTGGATGTGGGGCTTTTGACTCAGGGAAAATGTTAGTGTTTTTCAGCTCTTTAAGTAGTGATAAGAAAATTATCTCCTTTCGTAATAAGGCTCACAAATAGTGGAAAATATTCTAGTTTCCCATTTGTCAGGTCAGTACCTTTGCCAAATATTTACACTACCTCTGAAAAATGATTGCTTTGAAATCAGCTTTAATGCTTATGATAACTTTCACCCAAGGTTTCCACAATAACAGTACAAAACTCGTCTACTCACAAATCATATGATAATTCTACAACATACAGCACTACACACATTTCCATTCTACCAGTTACGATTTATGCAGATACATGTACAGTGGGGTAGTTTTGAAAACGAAGCACTCGAAAACGAAGACTGAAGCACGGAGCACCAAAATCTTGAAAACGAAGCACCCAAAATTCAAAAACGAAGCACCCTAAACTCGCAAACGAAGCACCCAAAACTTGAAAATGAAGACCCCTAAATCTTGAAAACGAAGAATCCAAAACTCGAAACTCTTGACCCTTGTTGTTGATACCACTGAAAGGGTAGTCAGCTGTGAAAACTGCTCCATACGCACCGTTTCCTATCTCCTCTTTGTAAACAATTTTGAAAAGTCGTAAACCGGTAGTCCAGAGCAATCAACAGTTGCTCTTGGTTTGACAAGAGGCACTTTCAACTCCATAATCAAAGCTCTACTCAGCGCATCCTGACACGAGACTCTGCGAGAGTGAGCTAACTTGCGCAATAATTTAAAAAATTGCAGGTGTGAAAAGGCAACGTGATCAGTGGTGAAAGTGTTAAAAAACAAGTCTCACTCTTAAAACTTGTCCTCATTAGTGCTGCGTTTTTTATTATTCAGTGAGGCGGCGCACCGGTTGAAATAGATAAAAAGCATAAAAAAAATCAAATGGCATCTAACAAACAATAATATTTTTCAACTACAACAACGTGTAAGCAACGCATTAAAAATCATACAAAATTTCAACTACAACAAAAGGAAAATCAATTTCCGGTTTCGAGTTTTCGGGTGCTTCATTTTCGAGTTTTGGGTGCTTCATTTTCGATCTAGAGGTCTTCATTTTCGAGTTTTTAGGTGCTTCGTTTTCGAGATTTGGGTGCTTCATGCTTCAGTCTTCGTATTCGAAATTATCTGTACAGTGGAATGTCATCACATTGAACAGAGTTCTTACCAAAAGCTTTAGACACATCACCAGGACAAGTGCATCCACCATCCTACAAGACACATCTAAAATTACCCTGGCCTATGTTTACACTTTGATTCTAACAGGAGAATGTCACTTATCCATTGACAGAGGTGTTTTATGTATAATAGAGACAGAATGCCAATTAGGCCATTCCCTACCCCCTCAAAATTAGGCATTTAACAATACATTAAACTACCAATGGATTGTGTGATAGTGTATCAATAGTAATGCATTAAATTTAATAAATAATAATACCCTGTACTACGTGCAGACAGCTTCACTTTCATAAATTTACAGATAGCAATTTTTTACACTACTAAAAAAATGGAATTTAAAGACTTGTTGCTTGGGCAAGTAGCTCTCACATTATCCGCCTTTCCCAGGACCATTATTTCCTTGTCTTAGTTACTATCATATGGCTTGACTGGCCTCTAATTTGCCCATTGAGCAGGTGAGCTATCAACAGTTGATTGCCCAGCAAGAAAATCTACTAGTCCTGGACTACCGCAAAGGACTTTTTCTAGCCCTGGTTACTCTATTGTTTTCAAATAATCTTTTGTAAATCACTTTTCTTGCATTAAAGAGGCATATCCTTTCTTCATCATTTGCCATTTCTTTTGAAATCAAGTATTAACAGACATGGATTGTAGACCCATGAAAGCAGAAATGGACTTCACTGACACTGCTTTGTTTTGTAAAAGTTGTTGCCAGAACATGGTCTGAGTTCAAAATGACAGCCAGTGGAGTTTCTGCATAAATTATATCTCACTTCCAGGTGAAATCAACAATGATAAAACCATTATTCACAATTGCAATGTTATTGCAACAGTACAGATTACAGTTGAAACTCTCATAAGCAACCACCTCGGAAATTCAAAAAACATGGTTGTAGCTAGAGCTGGTCGCTTACAAGAAAATGAGCTCTTGAAATTGATGGCATGGTAAAACAAAAGAAGGTGGTTGCTTACGAGAGCTTCAGGAACTCATTAATAATTCATAATGAAAAAACACGTTAAAACGAAGAAATAAATGCTTAATGAGTATCTTTATATCTGATATAGACAAGGTTATAACTTTACGTGTAATTTCTTAGGCAATTGATTTTTATGAAAAAGACTCTGAGTGATGCTTACAAGAGCTTAAATACAAAACAAAAGTTCAGTTGGGTAATTCCAAAAGTGGTCACAGACACATACGGAAGCAGTTGCTTACGAGAGCTTTTTATTACAAAGTTTATGTAAAGTCACTGTTCAAATGGGGTTTCACAAATGTGGTCATAACTAGAGCTGGTCTTTTGGGAGAGCGGTCACAAGGAGAGTTTCGACTATATTTCATTACTACTGCAATGGTTAAAGTAACCTCAGGTAACATGAAAAAGGCATTATACTGTACATACAGAAATAATATGTCCCTTGAGTCCATGGGCAGCATCAGCACATTCTAATACTGCACTAAGTTGTGGATATCCTACACCAGTCTGACGACGCGTGGTACAGACAGACCCTGATCAAACAACAAGACACACACCAAAACATTACCAAACACGTTGACTGACACATTAAGAACTGTCGTAAATCTGATCTACAGCAAGCCCAAGCAGTATGTAGAGTAGAATACTGAAATCACAATATTACTGTATCTTGGCATTCTCAACACAGTTGGCAATTAAGATGGGGTAAATACACCACAGTACTAACCTGGGCCGATACCAACTTTGACAACATCAGCTCCATTAAGGATCAGCTGTTCCACCATCTCACCTGTAACAACATTTCCTGCCTACGGTAAATGAAAAAAAAAAAAAAAAAAAAAAAAAAACATGTCAGACACTGACAAAACAATATATAACCGCCCAATAATATCATGACAAAAAGAAGAAACATGTTTCCTATAATGCAAATTTGGATCTGCATTGAAAGACATTTTAAATCAAATGTAAAAAGGAGTAAGCAACAAAGAGTACCATCACTCAGTTCTAGTGGTCAGAAGTATTTTGTAAGCACATGCTCAGTAGTCCACTATAATAAAATTACCATATCGATCATGCTAATTTTGGCAGTGTGTGTAGTTTCTACAAGCAGTGTTTGCCAGAGCTTTATACAGCAAGTTTTCTTCCCCACCTCCTGTCCACCCCCTCAACTTGCCTTTCCTTTTCCAATGACATTTCAGTGAGGCTGGTGCCTTTTTTTTTTTTTACGTGGGGCTCATGGTTAGGTTACAGGGTTGTGCAAGTCAAGGGGGCATTATTCAGTCTAGGAACTGGCTACAAAAAGAAGAAGCCCTTGGATTCTCCTGGCATCCAGCCGCCATCAAGCAATATGGTTGTTAAAGGTCTGTTAATGCTGGTATTTCAATATTTTCATTGCACACAACAAATAAAGGGCAGAAGTCACTGAGAAGTATGCAAAAAATAAGTGGCCTCAAAATGAGGAATTAGAGAATTCAGTTGATTGCAAAAAATACTAAGCATTCAAATTTAATTTATTCAATACCATGATAATGTGCTCTGGGAATTTGCTCCGCACATTTTTGACAAATTCTACAAAGTGCTCAGAATAACCGTTGGCCACATCCAGACAGATTGCAGGCACAGCAGGGCAAGCATCAAGGATCTGCTTTAATCTAGCGACGTCTTCATCCATCATCCCACAGCTAGCAATCACATACTGTGAATTCAATGCAGCATTTTTATATTGATGCTTCAAATAGACCTTATTCATGATACCCACCATCTTTGCACGCGCTTTAGGATGGATGGGATAAAAGCCATGTCACATAGTATTTAGGGGCAAACAAAGGATAAAATTTGCCAATGCAAGAAATTGCAGTCGAGTTTGTTTATTCTCTCAAAACGAAATGATGATTTAATGGTCATGCAAAATGTAAAGTTTGAGTTTCAACAAAATTAATGTCATTATTGCTTTCTGTGAGGACATCTACGGTCACTGCTGCATCCAAAAAAAAATTATTTCTTCCACCCATAATTTGCCATTATCGTCTTTAATATGAAAAGTCGTTCATTTTCTGTTGTCAAGAATAAACAAACTCAACGACCATTTCTTGTATTGGAAAAATTTATCACTTGTTTACCTCCTAAGAATCCATGTGACATCGCTTTTACCCCATCAGTCCTTAAGCGAGTGCAAAGATGGCGGGCATTACAACACTTAACACAAGTAACTGAAATTTATTAGCAAAGAAATAAGTGATGAAACTGAAAATGAACATTTTTTAACATTGCTTAACTTAATACCAATCACATCTACCTGGAAAAGTTGAATTTAACATTCAAACTTGATGCCCAGGCCCCAGACAGTGGACAGTGCTATACACTGATTTAATGACTGTCTAGTGGATGACTGCAAAGCATCATTCAAATTTCGAACAACTTATTATATGCTTCTAGAGATAATCAGCTAAGCCTGACAAAATATCTAGACGTCATAAAATAAAAAAAACAAGTTACCGGTAATACATCTGGGTGGTCTTTAGCAAACTCTTGCCATTCTTCCACAGTGTAATGCTTGTGAATTGCTGTTAGAAGCTTGTGCTAAAAATTCAGTGTTAAACAAATAGAGAACTTAAGATCAGACCAAGGTGATGGCAATGAGAACCTCAAAAGAGCCATAGGTTTAAAACTCAAAACAGCTCTACATGTGCAGTACTTTTTTTGACATTTCTTTGCCTTCACTGCTAGATTACAAAGTGAAAATGTCCCATTTCACATTTTGTCAAATATGAAACAAGCCATGGCAAGCTTTGCTTTCTCTTTCTGAACTCGGATGTGGTCCTTAGAATTCAACTGCGAGAGAGTTGCCAACAATTCGGCTCTAAGTAAGTGAGTTTGAATATTTGCGATAAAGACTGAAAGAATGTGAATTCACTTTTTGAGCAACTTTTTCACTGCCGGTACTATCCTCAGATCTTACTGGACATCCCTATTAAGCATGACATTTATTGAAACAGGGAAGAACATTGAACATTATACTCCTACTGTACTGCCAACAACAACTTGAAAGAGCTCAGATATTTTTTTTCTTTCTTAATAGCCTGTATATCTTGATCTTGAATGAATCTTGAATCGTTAGGGAATGGCGTTATACATTCAGGATTAGTATGTACACACTCAGTGATCTTGGTGATTTAAGCAATCTGATTGGTTCACTATCTCGGACTATTTAACAATATTCATCTCCCAGCGAGTGGATAATGAGTGAGCTCGGTGTTTTTCCCACTTTTTTAGAGAACGATCTTTTAAAAGTCGACAAAATCCTAGGGTTGACTTTTTTTAAGGCAAGAAAAGACTTGAAAGGATTCAAAATGGCATTTTTCATTTACTGTAGCTGTGTTTTGTGCAAGAAGGATTGTTTACAACTCCCGTTTATTTGCGTAGAAGAAGCCGTTTTGTGAACTCAAAGAAGATTTGGCCCAAAAATTGAAGTTTATTTATGACAAACAAATTTGAAAGCAAATGTTTGCAAAAATTCTATGTTTCAAGTAAATAGGAAAAAGAATGGTACAGGAAGACGTCTTACCTGAGTCTTACCTCGGGCAACCGAGCCACCGTTTTTGTCAGCACTTTATGCGAAGAACGACACAACAAACCTTTTTGGCTATAAACTTGGTGGGTCAACAGAAAACAACAAAGCTCTACTTTTCTTCTCAGGTAAGGAAACAATTCAAACCTTTAACAGTTCCATTTAAGCCATTACGCTGTCGTTTGCGAAGTGATAAACTTGTAACTCGCCATGTTTGAAAATTCTGCAAAGATCTATTTTTAAACTTTTGCGTGATTTGATCCATCAATCAATCATAATTTTTAACGGTTTCCTCTCTGATTTTGTTGAGATCACTTTGTGTGTATATACTAAAACAATTATTCTTTATAATCTTGGTGAATAGTGGCTTTAGGAATATTTACCTTGCCGCTTTGCGCCTCGATAAATATTAAGCCACTATTTACCTCGATTTCAAAGAATCATTGTTAAGTATCAGGAGGAGCAATTTACTGAACATGATGCAAAGGCTCAAACTGCCTGCAGAACATTCAAAACACAAACACCCTAAATCATGACGGTGTATGGTGAATGAATTAACCACTTCTGGCCATAGTGACACACCCCCTCCTAACCTAGATTAAATCCCACCCCAACTTTTTACAGCTTATTTATAACTCAAGAAATCTATTTATCATGAGAGTCATATGAATGGCTCCAAGAGTGGGCAAGCTGAGGCCAGTAATATGTTCTGATTGGCTATTGGGTAATTTTTGCATTCTCTGATGGGACTTAACTTGGCCAATATCCAGCCATCTTGACCTGGCCCCAGTTGTTTGAAAGCTGGATAGCACTATCCACCAGATAAATTGCTATCCAGAGGATAAGTATTACGACAATCAACTGCGCTATCCAGTGGATAGTTATTTATCCAGTGGAAAATGTTAACCACCTTTCGAACAACTGGGGCCTGACGTTTGGTCGGTGATGCATAAGATTATCAAGACTCCTTATTTTTGTAACAATGATATGTTTACCTCTGCTAAAGCCATGGCCATTTCAAATGTACCAATGGTATCCATATTAGCACTTATAATGGGAATGATGTCATCAGGAAGTCTCTTCTTTGCATACTTAAAGTTGAAATGTCTGCAAAGTTCAACCTGTAAAGCGATATATCCTAATACTGTACAGTCGGCCCAAACATCAAAGCAATTTTAATGAACACATGAAGATCTCGGTAAAAACACATTTATCGCGCGTTAAAAAACACGATCGGCTAACTTTTCTGAGCAGTGATGGATCTACAATCATTCGCTTGAAATTCTAGGGACTGTCCACAACTAGCATGGGTGTACTAAATAACTTCGATTCTATGCACGTTCACGTTAAGTTCGATTGTACTGCATCGTTATACTTACATCAGCTCGGCTTCGAATTGTACTTCGCTTAGGACGAATTAAAACATCTTTAAAGTCCAATCTCACACTGTGATCTAAATGTGGCATTCTTCTGAAAATCAGTGAACACCGCAAACAGACAAATTGAATTGAAGTTAGCAAATGCAAGTTAATGCAGGTAAAAAGGCGCTAAAATCGAACTTCATCACGTGGTAAGAAACTTGTACCCAGTTTGCGCACGGAATGCTCGTGCTAAGCGAGAGAAAAACACATTCATACCTTCCGAGGGTTTTGGCTTCGGTGTCAGCTTCAGTTTATCTGTGCCTCTTAAAATTATCAGTCTAATCATGGCACAAGTGGTCATAGTCTGTTTCAGGGCCGTAGCAAGCCTTTAGAAACTAGGGGGGTCGGCACAAAGATTTTAGCAGAGGGTTTTGTGGTTCCGGGAGGCCGGAGGACCCATTGGACTGGTCTCTGTAACTTAAAATCAGAAAATGTTTCACCTAACTGCAGAGATATCATTGTTTCAATGCTCTGGGAGATGAAGTTTTATTTTCAACTTTTATGCGTGCATAGTGAGATTTTGGGGCACGAGGGGCACGGGTTACCCCGGCCCCTCCCCGTGCTACGGCCCTGTTGTTACCGTGGCCGTTCTGGGCTAGGTCATAGACGGCTAGCAAGGTCACGGTGCTTAGCGAAATGCTGTACAAAAAAAATAAATATCAGCTGGAGCGACTTTAATAAATGAAGGACAAGCGAGCAACCTCGTCGGGTCGTCCCTGATCCTTCAGAATCCAATCTGTTACAGAGCAACCAATCGCGTCGTTATATCGAACAACTTGTTTTAGCGCGTGCGTACACTTTTGGCGCGCAAGTTCAACGGAGGATGCGCAACATGGCCGATGCTATTTATGAGGTAGGTTTTAACAATACTGACACAATTTTTCTCATTTCTGCTTTTTGATGCGACCCGATCCGTTCAGTTTTTCCTCCACGTAGGTACTAGTTCTTAAGATTTGATCTGATTAATTTAAAAGACAATTTTCGTGTTTTTTGTTACTTTATTTCTCCTCTTTTAAACAGCTCATTCATTGACAGTGCCAAACTAAAGTTTCACTTCTTCAAGGAGGAATTATTATGCATTGTGCTCATTTGTCGCTTTCTACTTGTTATTTGGAACGATTTTTATCGCTATCTATGTCCAGTTTTCTGATGTTACTCGAACATTTAGAGGCTTTATCTTGTCTTTAATATACATTTTTAAGTTTTCGTTTGCGACAGCTCACTTCCAAACTAACACGTGTGACTGTTTTTGTTGTAAGCTTATAATCCTTCACATTATAAAAATTGTTAAGGGCTGCCTTGTCCCAGAATTTAACGTGTGGTACTTGTTTTTTAAACAAGAGAATTAGCGTTTAAGTTATGAACGTGGTGTATTTGTGTACATTACAGATTTTTTTAATTGATCCAGGTTGATAAAGTAATTGGAAGGAGAAGGACATCAAAAGGAAAGGAAGAATATCTGGTCCACTGGAAAAATTACGATCGTCTTTATAGTACTTGGGAACCTGTTGAGAATTTAACTCCCTGTCTTCATACTGTGACTGAATTTATGGCAAAGTCCTTTCCAATGCCAGGTAAAAAACAGCAATTAACGAACCAACGTCGTAAAACGCCCAGGTTGATTTTTCTCAAACGTATTTTCATTTATCTTTATTGTTATTTTTATACTTGTTTTTCCATGTATTGGATTAAGAAAGAAAATCATACTCTCATCTTCAATCATCCCACAGTAAATAGATGTAGGTTAGGTGACCTGCAAATTGCAGCATATCCTATGACCCAGATCAAACGCCAGGCCGCTGATGTCTTGAACTAGACTTGCTACAAGTCGACCTCCCATAAGTTGTTAAAAGTGAGCAAAGGAAGCTGCAGTACATGAAGGTCGCTGTGCGACTGGACGAGCAACAAAGTCTCAAGGTCGACTTGTTTCACCTAAATGGAATTGAATCATATTATAAATTCATGCAGGAAAAAAACAATCAACATATGCTGTGTCGGGAGTGGCGTGAAATATCACTCACTGTCCTATTGGTCAATTGTCATGATGTCACCGGTAGAATTTTCAACCAGTGAACTTCGCGCCAAACATGTATAAAAAGTCCTTTAAAATGGCATAACCATGCAACCGTGAAACAAATAAAGCCCTCTCAGAAAGTCTAGTGTTGAACCTAATTGATGAGTTATTTAACAAATATTGAATTCAGCTTTCCTATCATTTGAAGAATTATGGAGATTGAGGAGGGTGTTATCCGCCAAGGCCGTAGGTCAAAGAGAACAACACTGTCCTTGATCTCCATAATTCTTCAAATGATACGAAAGCCAAATTCAATAATTGTTTTATTATTCATTCAAAATAATTCCTAGTTTTAAAACAAGCTAACACATGCTTATCAAAGATGAACTTATTATTGATGGAGGTAGTGCATGTTTATCTGCAAGTTTTGGAGATAAAGAGTTCTTCAGGTGTGCAAATATTCTCCAAATAGCAGATGTTGTCCGTTAAGTTGTCTTCTTGCTGTTCTTGCTATGCTTTTTGAAAATAGTTCGCCTTGAAACAAGTAAAATGTCCCGCTATTTTGTACTCACTACCAAAACAACTCAAACTCGTCCCCAGGTCTTCTGGGTTAATGGTTCAATAATCTGTCAATTTTGCTGCATGATAGAGGTCGTCAGTTCAATATCACAAAATTCTTTCACATTTGGTCAGCAATAGCTTGTTATGATGAATTATGCATGAGATTTTAGCCAATCAGATACAGAGAAATACTTTGAATGAATAATAAAACAATTATTAGGTGAGGATTTTGTGTGATGTGGAATAATTTAATAAGTTTGAGGTGTAAGTAGAATAATAACACACCATTGCATGGAACACAGTTTAACACTGCTCTTTGAAATCATAAACAACAACACCATGGCATTTGAAGAAATTATTCAATGAATTTAGAAGCAGAGTGGATTTGATTGTGACATGATTAAGCTGACAAAGACTATTAACTCTTTCCAGACTATAAAGTGATATTTCATTTCATTGGTTGTTTTTTGATTGTTTGAACCAGTTTCATTCACCACATGAGTGGCTTGGCAATTGAACAAAGCCATTTGAGTTGATAAGGTAGATTGGCCACCATAAAGGGATTAAGAAACTCATGTTTCAACGCTAGTCCTTTTTCAGAGTATTTCAGGGGGACAGTATGAGGTTTACATATCTGTGTTGAATGTAATACTGTTAATGCTATTAAAGGGAGCAACAGTAACATGAAAAACAAGAATTATTTAGTTGAATGAGAAGGTACGTTTGTTGATTCCATGGGAATTAAGAGTGTCCCTTATATTTAGAAAAATTTTTGTTCTGGATTTTTGTGGCTTTCTGTGTTGCCTTGGTGAAGGGCTGGAATGATTGGCAAGGTTAAAAGTGCAAGCTACTGGGTTTGATGCATATAATTGCCATTTCTTTCAACACCTCAAAGACATTGACAGAAAGTCAAACCATTGCAGCCTAGTTTTCAGCCTATTTTGCCATATATCTGTTGATAAAACCAAAGCTTTGCATTTCACTCTTCCACTAAAGCAGCACCACAGTTTCTTTAGAAACTAACCCCTTCTTTTCTGTGAATAGCATTTCTCTTCCCTGCACACATGCTTTCTGTTGCACGAGATATGAAAAATAGTCTTTACTTGTAGCTCTCTAGTAAGTTCTATTTAGGAGTCACCTCAATGAAATATTATTTTTTTACTGTTTGACAGGAATAAATGCAAGTTGTGTAACTCATTTAGAAACTAGCAAACCAGAGTTACGTCAACTGAAAAAAGTCACTGATATTGACAAAAGGAAGCTGAAGGGCCTTGCAAACAAGGAAATGGTGGATGAAATTTTGAAAGTGAAAAATATGACTACGGAACTTAAAAAATTCCAACGAGGAAGAGGTAGAGGCAGGAAAAGGTCACAAATCCCTGATGTGTGTGATGTGTTAGGTGCAGAGTTGGATGGCAGAAAAAAACTTAAGACAAACCCAATAAATGGAGCTATTAATGAACATACCTTGCTAGCTGAAGTAGCTGGTAAATGTCCTGGAAAAGCTGCTGGAAAAAAGAAGAAAGGCCTAAAATCTCCAGGGCGGCCAAGAAAAAATGGTTTGACACATTCTATGGTGGAGTTAGATGAAAGTGAGATGGCAAGGTTAATGCGCACCACCCGAACACATGGTGTTTTAGATGAGTGTGTGTCAGTAATAAAGGAAGGACGGGTTTGGAAAATCACTCTGTGCAGTGAAAAGAAGAGAAATGCATTAACAACTGAGGTTTGTTTGGTTTTGCTGTTTTAAGGGTATTTCAGGGAATGGTTGCAGGACTTTCAGATTCCCCTAACATCCCTTTTTGGGCCGTGTTAATGCCCATTGCCATAGAAAGAGAAAAGCTCCAAAATCCTTTGTTTTCTACCAAGCAAAATCTTTGCCATGTAAGAAAAAAATTGATTTAAAAAACTTTGTATCACATACTTTCACAAGAATTTGCAATGAAGCTGAACAAGGTGGAAAGATCAGTCTGAACTTGCCCTAATGTACATCCATAACAGTAAACAAATTGTTATTTTTGCTGGTGGCCTTATTCATCTATATGGTGCTTCCTTATAGTTGATACCTGAGCTGTGTGAAACAGTAGATAGCAAGACAACAATCTATTACTTTGAGTTTTAGGCTAATTGTTTACACCATACCAGACAGCTTTTTTGCTGAGGCTTCTGTTGAGTGATTTTGGCATGATTTCCATGATGGAGCAAAGCTGCAGAGCCACACCAATCCCATATCGGATAGGTGTGCATACTGTACCATTTAGCTTTTCGTCTCAGCACTCACTCCACTGACAGCTGATGTATGTAATTTGATCCTGTGAATAGTACAGAGCAAATATGTGATAATTATTTTGACATTGTCCACTTCCCAGATGTGTGACCAGCTTGCTAACTTTCTTCATGAAGCTTCTAAAGATGATGATGTCAGTGTTGTTGTTTTGACTGGAGCGGGAGACAATTTTTGCAGTGGTCTTGATTATCAGGACTTGGTGAATACCCATCATCGACAGAGTGCAAAAAGAATGGTAGAGAAATTCAAGTAAGTCATGTCCTTGGATAACTGTCAATGCTAAATATTAGTTTGTTTGTGTTAGGCAAATTACGCCCTTTTCTGAGGGAACCCTTCAATAATGTGTCTCCTTTGTTAAAACCCAAATTTGTTGTCTTATGAAAAACTATAACGATTTTCACATTGATCTTTACTTTAATAAATTTTCAGTTATAAAAATTCAAGGAAATAAAATTGCATTTAAGAAAACTTGGAAAAACCTCAAATAGGATTTAGCAATCACTTACTAGGAGATCTTTAATTTAGTTTCATTTGGTTAAATAATGAATAGGTATTATTATTCATTTCACCACAATGAACCTAAAGGTCAATGTCAAAGAGAAAGAATCTCCAAAAATCTGCCACTGCTTCCCTTCTTTTTCCTTTTGGGAAACTCTAGTTTCTAATTACAGTCAAAGCTATTGTAAGTGACCACCTCAGAAATGGAAAAAGTGGTCATAACTAGAGCTAGTCGCTTACAAGAATGAATTCTCGTAAGTGACCGCATGGTAAAACAATAATGGGTGGTTACTCAGAGCTCCAGAAACTCATTAATAATTCATAAGGAAAAACAAACGAAAATTAATATTTAATGAGTGACTTAAGCTGATATAGACTAAGCTTAACTATACATCCAATTTTTTTAAACCCAAATTACTCCAAGATCTTTATCAACAAGCCATTAATGCAGTGTGCAGTTTTATTAAAGTGTTGGTTTATCGTTTATGAGAGCTTAAAAACAAAGAAAAAGTCCAGTTGGGTAATCCCAAAATGCAGTCATGGTCACTTATGAGAGCTCTTCATTGCAAAGTTTCACTGACAGTTGAAATGGGGTTTTGCAAAGGTGGTTGTAACCAGAGCTGGTCACTTACAACAGAGGTCTCATTGAGAGCTTTAACCATATTATTAAAAGAGATCATTTTGTAACATCTCTATATTCTCTAACAGCCCAAGATTGTACCTCAGTGCTGTTATTTCAGTCCTTACCAAGACCTACTCTAATGGCATCATCTTAATCTGTGCCATAGGCAATGCCTTGTTATTAGGAGAAGTTACGGTTTCTTAAATGACATGTATTTCTCTGCCTGTTCCACGCTCCAAGCTAGTTGAGAAAGTGTGAACATGAAAATAAAACTGGAGGAAACTCATGAGGAAATGCGCTTATATTTTCGCATGCCTTACACCATCCGTAATATCTGAGGGCCTGGAACAAACTAGTATTTCTCCTGATAAGCAGTCTGAATACATCAACAAAAAGAAGTTCTGTCCTCATTTCTTAAATGGTCATCAATTTCTCCACAGGCTTTTGGTCGAATTATTAATCAGCTTTCCTAAAGTGCTTGTAGCAGCTGTGAATGGCAATGCTTTGGGGTTTGGAACAGCTCTCCTTGGATTGTGTGACGTGGTGTATGCCAGCAACAAGGTCTGTAGTTATATTTATTCATTTCAGAACAGCAGGCATCAACAGTTACTGTTGTTCTTTAATTTTTGACCACTGTAAAATACCAATTTGACAGCACAATCCTTATTTCTGACCGGTATGCTGCCTTGTCACATCTTTCCCTTTTATGTTGGAAGGTGACTTTATGTATGCAAAACTTTGTGCAAGGTTAAGAAATCTCCTGAAGCATGTCCAAATGCAAGTGATTTCATCAAATACATGTCCCAGACACGCCGATTTTGAGGTCACATATGCAAATATAAATGACTGAATTCTTGTCTCCCTACTCTTAAATATCATTCAGCCAAGCCTGTCTTAGAAAGAATTTGATTTGAAAATTTTTAAAATACTGATTTTTGGACTTAAACTGTTGGAAGTGAAAAAGCTCAATTCAAGGTATATTGCTCATCTCATAATGACCATTTCTTTAACTTAAAAAAGAAAAAAATAATTTCAAAGCACTTTCTTTTGCATTTTTCTTTTTCAGGCAACATTTCAGACCTGCTTTACTAACTGGGGTCATCCACCTATAGGGTGTTGTTCTACAGTCCTCTCACGCCTGCTAGGAAAAACTGGGGTGAGTGCTAGATTAAACAACTTTATTAAGAGATGTCCCTCAAATCCTTACATTCTAGCCTGCAGGGTGGTTTTAAATGGAAAGAAGAGTGGGGACTGGAGAGAGTGAGAGATGTTTTATATCCATTTCTGTGGATACTGACAAAAACCACAAAATAATTACTGATTACAGTCAACTCTCACATTTTGGACAAACCGCTCCAACAGACTGCCCCGATAAAACGGACAGTAACTAAATCTGCAGCAAAGACAAATTACAGACGTTTGACTGAAAGAAACTCCTGGTATTGCGGACTCTCGCTAAAGAGAATGCTAACTCGATGTCCCTATATTGTCTGTTATGAAGGGAGTTGACTGTAACTGAGATGTAATGAATAATCTGTTTTTCCATCAGTGACTTGCAAATTGAAGAGAATTGCATCACTCGTGGGTTTAAAGCATCGTATGATCACTCATCTTGGGAACAGAATAGTGTCTGGAATGTATTGTTTTGCTCTAAATGGACCTAGGACCATCTGAAAATGAGATTTTCTAGCAAACCCAATAGATACCAGTGTGGAGTCACTCATTCAACATACTTTAGTCAAGCCGAAACCACTTATTAAAAATAATAATTGCATTCTCTTACCTCGAACGCAACCTCTAATTTGTGTTGGGCATTCTGTGCATTATTGGGTGTACTGTGCAATTAATAAGGGAGATTTTTTGAGAATGCGTTTTTGTTGTCGACACACATTTGCCTCAATTTGAGGCGCTTGCTTACGATTTGCCTCACTTTGATGCGCTGACTCGCGTGGTGATTCTTGTGTCTGCGGCGTTCATCTTTCAAAGCGGTTTGCTAAGGTCTGATATTCTTTGTGAAGCGTTCATCTTTTAAAAAGTTTACTGAATCTTTGTAAAGTGTACATCGATCTGTGTTTGCTGAATCCTCCAAAGCGTTCATTTTTCAGAAATTTGCCGTTAAAGTTTACTTTGGATTAAGCCTTCATACTTTTCAGCATGGTTCGTCACTGTCTTTGGAAAAGGTCTGCGACTCCTAGTGCATGCATCAAACCGGGTTTAGTTTGGCGGCCGTTGTACCACTAGACTGCGAGCAGTCTCTTATTTTTCTTTGCAAAGTTACTGCACGGGAAACCTAAGTACATGAGCGGCGAGCCGCGAGAAACAAGGGCGTAAGCCCGAGAAGAAAAAATCTCATTCCCTTTAGTAATAATAACGTCGTGGTTATCGCGCTGGATGAGATAAGAACTAGACGGATTTAAAAGAGAAAAGGCGGACTGCAAGCCGTCTATTGTACCACAAGGTAAATTTACCGAGTTGTGTAGCTTGGTGGCCAATGTGTCACAAAGTAAATCTACCAAGTTGTGTAGCTCGGCAACCGTTGTGCCACAAAGTAAATCTACCGAGATGTGAAGCTCGGCAACACCATTTGATCATGACTTGTGATATTTTCGGCACTGGACAAACAAACACTTTAACTCTCTGTTATTTATTAGGAAAATGTATAAACCAGCCCACAGTAGCACCACTCTTAAGTCACTGAAATCAACACGCTCGACCAAATTACTGGAAAAGTTATTGACGTGAGCCGCACACACATTCCATTGAAACCTTTGACAGGGTTTGTGCAAAGTTTGAATTCCGATGTGAAAGCTTTTAAAACAGTTAATTCAATTTAAATCATTTTGTCAACAAGTTGATGATTGGATGCTCTTAAACTAAAAACAGAGAAAATTGTCCGAAGAAATGTTTTTGAAGAAAGAAAAAGAATCCCGGGTTAAGCACTAATCAGCCTTTGAGCAACTGCGCCCTGTAAGCGTGCCAGTAAAACAAATTATATTTATCTATATCGCAACCACCCTTCCCCCTTCAAATGCTACCCATAGGCCTAAGAAACATATCAAATGCACTCTCCTAAGCTCCGATTACTCCTAGTATAATAATAATGGTAATATGATAATAATTGTCTATCTGCTGACCTGATTTTGGCATTGATAGGACAGTATATGTCATGCCTTAGTAACTGGATACTACATGCCATCGTGAGCGCACTTGAATCACCTTTTTGTTTTCACTTCTACAGTGTAGCTTAGAAAATGCTCAAAATTTCTGTATATTTTGTCAGTCACTGGCGTAATTACAGACTGAACTGGACTCCACTTAGCCCTATTACCATTACTGACAGTAACAGTAACAGATGGATTCTTAAGAATTTGGGCGAGCATGTGCATTTACCTTAGAGGTGTGATTGATGTTGAGACTGCTTTGATTCACAATTGTGTACATGAATAACAATGCCCCTTTAGTTCCAGTATCAGTGGATCTGCTTTGGTATGCAGCTTATTTGCTTATATACAACTGCTAGAGCATGTAGCACTCCTATTGTCAATAAATAGATTACAAACTTTTAATGGATTTATTCCTTTTTTTTTTTCACTGGTAGGCGGTTTCAATGCTGCTGCTAAACCATAAAATGGCTGCCACAGAGGCTTGGGAAAATGGTCTTGTGATGGAAGTTTTAAAGCCGAACAATTTCATGGGTCAGGTCAATAGCAAAGTGAAAACCATGGCTTCCATGTCTACAAAGGTACAGTAATCATCTGCGACATTATCAAATCCGAACACCTTTCAAACGTGGTCAGGGCTGGGTTGTTCAAAGCTGAGTTGAGATAACCCAGGGTTAGTGCGAAATTTGAATTCAGATATGAAAGCATAAAAAGTAAATTCAGTTTAAAAATTCTTTTGGTCAGCAAGTTGATGATTGGATGCTCTTAAAATAACAGAGAAAATTATCCGAGAAAATGTGTTTAAGCAAAAGAAAAAGAAAGCCGCATTAAATTTAACCCTGGGTTAAGGATTAATCGGCCTTCGAACAACTGGGCTCAGTTGTTTAAGTAACACAGGTACCATGGTATTGTTTTCATTTCAGAGTTTTTGATAATATTTTAAGAACATTATCTAAAAACTTCACATTGATGAAATGGCCAAGTCAGTGTTAGAAAAATAGTGTTCTTTAAATACTGGAAGTATGGACTGGAACCTCTCCTTATGGATGCTCTTGTAAGCGGACAACTCTACTTACAGCCACCTTCACAAAACCCTGTTTTACTCACCTCCCGTACAAATTTTGTATTTTTTATTCTTTTAAGTGGCCAGGCCAAGTTATGAACACATCCCAAGGGAATCTGCTTACAAGAGCCTCCACTGTAGCCAATATTATTCCATAATCAGTTTTCAGTGCACAGATATATTAATGGATCTCACTAATTTTGTACTGTGCAACTGAACTTTTTGGCAGTTGAATGGCAATGTCCAGTTCCGAGTTGACTCATTGTATTGGCCGTTGCTACATTCTGGTGCAGTCTGCATTTCACTGCAGTTAAGCTTATTTTGATCAATACCTCTTAGGTCCTACAGGACACAAAATCACTGATGAAGCAGCCAAGTCAAGAAAATCTCCTAGATACGAATGACGAAGAGTGCAAGTTATTACTAAAATACCTTACAGATGATACTGTGTTGGACAATCTGAAAACACTATGGCTACCTGATGTAGTCAGTACATAGTCACATTACATAATTATTATGTGAACACCTCTCTTGCATACATTAAGTCTTAATTATATATTTAAATAGTAGATTTAGTTATCTTCCAAGTCCATGATCAAAATAGGCCAATTTACAGTAAAGACGTGGTTATCATGTAAAGATGATGTATCTGTGACATAGCTGCTGGTATTGCCTGTGATACTGCTTTGACATGAAAACACGCTGAAAGCAACTAAAAACGTCACAGTTCTTTATTGCCAACATTCCTTTGAAGATTAACTCAAGTTAACTTTGCAGGCATACTGCTGCTGCTAACTACTATTCTCATAAGAAAATAGTACCACAGACAGCACCAGCGGCTTATGTTGCAGTTTGGTTGGTTTCATATGCAAACCAGGTTTAACATAGCTTGCGATGACTTTGTTTTAAACTAGAAAGTTCAGTGCCATTCTTATGCAGTAGCAGAGCATGGTTTGCATTTGAAAAGAAGTGTGGTTTCTACCACAACAAGGTCACCTTCAGCCTGTTTTCCACTCAAGGTCAGAACTCAGAGCACAACTGTAAATTGGTCTATTCAAGTTTTGGGGAAAATTATTGTAATAATTATTATATGCACTTTATAAGTAGTGTCTTGGTGCTTCTGGTTTAGAAAACACAAGTTCTTGATTATTTTCACTGAAGAAAAGCATTTTGCAGATTGATGTATTAAGCTGATACCTAGTTAGACTAATTCATTTCACTAATTCATTCCCAGATGGTTCAAAGTTGTCTGTCTCAGATCATCTGAGAATCAGACTTACTTACTTTAAACCAGTCGTTTGCAAGAGAAGGAATTGTTGTAGAGCTTTATGGCAAGTTTCCAATTTTACGCAGTAGGATTCAAGGATTAGAAAAAAATGGACTACGCCAAAAAGTGTCATCAGTGTAAACAACACTCCCGGAAAGTATCCCTTGAGGGATTTACCCTGATTACAACAAACAGACAAAAGTGCTAGAGGCTGGATCAAGGTTTAAAAACAATAGAGTTCAACAAACTGAGGAAAGGGGGTTATTATGTCACCTCAATCAGTTGTTGCAACTACTTTTTCAGGGCCAATTTCTAGTGTCCTGTTAACAGGCATTAAAATAACAGCTCCATCTCTGCAGACTAGGATGGCTGGACCAGACTTTAGGGACTGCTAATTCATTTTCTTTATAGTGTACGATCCCATTATTTTAGAATTTAACTTGTTGAGATGTAATATATCCTTTTTAGGAGCAAACAATATGTTAGGGAAGCACTCCGCTATATTCTCTTTTACTGAATTGTTTTTCCCTTACAACTAGGATATTTGCATAAATAGTGAACTAAAAAGGATTTGATTTTAAGTCAGAAGTCTGAGAACTTTTAAAAAGAATAAGCCAGTGCCTTTCGGTTCAGACATTTTACACAGACATTTCTTGGCATTTTTTATGTGTATTGTATTAGTAACAGCTTTTTCAAGATTTGAAATTTAATAATTGTAGCTGCTACCACATTTAAATTCTAAATATATTTTACTTTCTTATCCATTGTGGAAATTTATGACTAAATATGCAAACATTTATAATGCATTAGATGTATGCATTAAGGGCCTGTTACCTGGAGGTGGGGGACCCCAGGTAGGTGAGGTAACCTGCCTGTCCATATATTCTCTTACTTTAATCTGATCATGTTTACATGATAGGTGAGGTGACCCGCCACATGTTACCTCACCTATCTGGGGTCACCCACCTCCATGTAAACAGGCCCTTAGAAAACTTTTCACATAATCTCTAGGGACTGTAGAATTAACATGCTCGACATTAAACATTCTCTTTAGGTAAGATTCAGTTAAGTTTAATTAAAGTTAAACACTTTGGTTTAAAACACTTTCTTTTCGTTGTGGCCTTCTTTATCCCTTCTCAAGCCGAGTTACATGGAAAAGCCTAGCCTGTTCACAGACCCTCTGTTTTTTCTTTAGAGAACGCTCTTACGCTGTCGAATTCTCGTAAAAGAAAAGAAAAACGTCTGCGGACAAGCTAGGAAAAATTAGGGGATTGTATTCTCTGGTTGCCACAGGGTTTCATAAAAGCTCTAAAGACGTTTTCATTCGGAAAAAAATCCGTTGATGATTGATTTGATCGATGATGAAAATCCCGTTGAAAAAGGCTAATGGCTAGAAAAGGTTACCATATCGAAAATATAGTGAAGAAGACCACCCTCTGAAGAAAACAAGAAAAATCGTCTTAAAGTCAGGGATTTTCGTTTCAGCGAGTGGTGAACATGCGACAAGCAAGAGAGCTTGGGTGAACGCTACTCTTCCACCCAAACAGCTTGTAGAGAGGTACAGAGCAAAGAATTCGTAGAAGATATGTGGACAATATCTTAATGTTTTGTCATTTTAAGCTTTTCTTTATGTTTTGTTCCAGTCGTTCTCGCTTCAAAACTATGTTAGCTTACAAGGAGCTGTCTGACAATCTGACTTCCATCCCCTAAGTGGCTCTGCCGTTCAAAATGGAGCTCCAACGCAGTGTAAAAATCGCTACCAGACAGTGGCAGCCAATCTGAGGCTGCTTTACCGGTCCTGCAGTGTAATTTTGGGGAACTTAAGCAACAACGACAGCGACGGCCAAGAAAACGTAGTAAAACGTCACTTAAAAACTGATGTCGCGCTTCTTCAAAACTTTATCGCGCTCACTCATTCCATCTCGTTCAGTTCGTCAAAAACGAATTATTATTATTTTCACGTCGTAGTCGTAGTCGTGCAGTACGGCAAAGAAATGTACAAAAAAGCGTGTTATGCAAAGTTGTTTTGCCAGCTCAAACCTATTGCTTTTTGACGTTCTCGTTGCCGTCGCCGTCGTTGTGACACAGGTTACCTAGGCCCCGTTATTATTTACCGGAAAGTAAGCCTTAGAAATTGAAAGGACGTTTGATCAATTCACGCTCGCGCATTCACGTCTTATTTTAAACTTTATAGAAGAAGGACATTTGTGAGCAGGGAATAAGTCAGCACAGAATTTGATTGTCGGCGAATTTCTGTAATCGTCCATTGTTCTGCTAGTGATACAGGTGATAAAGGTAGCCGTTGTTCATTCGTCTTGCTTGTTTTGGGCTGAGTCTTATTCCGGTCAAAGAGAGAGAAAGAGTGTCTGGCAAGGTTTCCAATCTAAGATTTGTGAAGTCGTGTCTGGCAAACTCTCCAAGCGTTTAACGCACCTTATAACTTCATCTGCGCTTAACGAGTGACTTTCAAAACAACTGCTCATCAGAATGTCACTGACAACACGTAACGCAAAAGAATATCGAAATATATGACAGCACAATAAATGTCACAAAGTCTACCCAAGCGGTCACTTCGGGATTTTCTGTCTTTACGTCATCCTAACCATTTCGCACTTGCGGGGGCAAACAATAGAAACGTCATCATTACCTACCGATTCCTCGCGGCCCCTGTTCAAGCAAATCGAGATACTGACTGTATTTTTCAACTGTAAATACTTCCTTAAGTATACGCGCGAGTTACTAGGGTGCCTCTTTGGGATTACGCCTTCTGGGCGAAATCTCTGGGGGGGGGGGGGGGGGTAATAACTTTTCGAGGGAGCAACTCACTTTGTATTGCCTAGAAACGTCTGTTAAAAAGGTCGAGAAAAAAAGTTTCTGGATAATTGTTCCTTTTCTGGGCACGTCACTTAATAAAATGAATTTGCACTGCTTCAAACTAGCCTGTGTAAAGACTCTAGCCTGAATTTCAGACGATTACTTCGAGTCGTTTACTCTTCTCAGCAAGTAACCGTCTGAAATTCAGGTTAAAAAAATCGGGAAGGGAGAGTTTGCTTGAGGGGAGGGGACGTCTGTAAACAGGCTTGTGTGAACGCAAAAATGGCAAAACCTTGTGTGACCAGCCTGACAATAATTATGTTTGAGAAACCGTTTCCACCAAACTTTACCTCCTTTTAACAGAGATCTCTGTTTAAAAGACCAGGATCGACCAGCGACCCAGTGATGTTCAATAAAGATCGCGAGAAAAAAAGGAAGCCCTAGCCTTGTCACGTTTATCTTTGTCACTAGACTGCGACTGCGAGCAGTCTCTTATTTTGCTTTGCAAAGTTACTGCACGCGAAACCCAAGCACGCGAGCGGAGAAGCCGCTAGTCCCCAAGGGCCGGGGGTGGGGGTACTCCCTTTTTTGGCCTAAATGGGGATGTGCCGCTGGACAGGGTATGGTTTTCGTCCTGTCTGTCCTATATAGGGTACATAATTTCGCACGAGTCTGTCCAAAACAGGGTATACAATTTCGCGGGAGTCTGTCCTAAACAGTGTGCATGATTTGTACGAGTCTGTACTAATTATAAACAGGGCGTTGGACCGGAAACAGGGTACTAAAATTAAGGGTCTTGCCCTAAACAGGGTCTGGGTTTCAAACCCTCAGCTATCCCCAAATATTGGTCGAGTACACCCCCGGGCGCGAGCCGCGATAAACGAGGCAACATAACGTCGTGGTTTGCAATCGCGCTGGTAAGAAGATAAGAACTAGACAGATTTTAAGGGAAAGGCGGACTGCAAGCAGTCTAGTTTATCACAAACGTTTTGCCGTCCTTTCTGGGCTCATCATGTCTTCTTTCTGCCCGTCTTGTTGCGTAAGCCAGGGAAATATTAAAAAAACGTCACAGGAATCTCAGGTCCGAAGTTCGAGGTGTTTATAACAGCGCTGCTGCCGAAACCATATTACATGATAATCCATATAATAACGTGACCTTAGAAACTTATAAATACAGGACATATTTTCCAAACACGTTCAGTAAATTAGTTCAAGAGCTGTAATTATTTCATTGGCCTCTGCTGTCACTTGATTCTGTCGTACTGCTTCCTCCTACGCTTTTGTGAATCACCAACCCAGCACTTCATTAAAATTGTCTTAAAAGCTCTTCGATATTCCCTGTTGTTAAAGCAGTATAGGAGTGGATTGATAGCTGAAGCAGATAAAGCCACTGTTCTTGCAGTGTTGTACAAGATACCATAATCCACTTCCGGTTGAGTTAATCGAAGGTAGAAAAGAAAAGACCATCCAGCTGTGAAAACAACAAGAACCATTACTATGGTGCGAGCAAACCGTCTCTCTGTAGAATTGCTCTCGGTCTGGTCTTGTAAATTCTCTGTAGTATTGTTCCGTGTGTTTCGGTGTCGCGAGTCAGCCAGTATTTTACGCTGTTTAAAAACTTGATAGTAAACCACGACGTAACATACAATCATTTCAACGTAACAAAACCCAAATACCGCTGTGGTGAGATAAGATGTGATTTTCTTATCGACAGTAAGTCGCAATGCTGAATACACACAAGCCAAGACCCACACAATGACCAAAACGATTTTCTTTCCACGTGTCATAGTATTCTTATAGTTGAATTTGTTTGCAACGAACAAGCATCGATCCATTGCAATTAACGCCAATGTCAATAAGGCGACTGCGCACGCGAAGTTGCCAACTAAACGGAAAGCGAAATCAACTCTGAGAAGACATTTTGACTCAATGCGACTGATTAACAGAGCGACTAAAAGAGGCTGATCCACAAGCGCAATGGCTAGGTCGGCTAAGGCGAGACTTGAGATGAAATAGTGGAAGCTTGATGTCAAGCCTTGGGTTGTGAACACTGCTAAACAAACCAGCAAATTACCAAGTATTCCTAGAAGACTGGTGCTGATGTTGACTCCTACAAGGACCAAGGCCTCGGTTTTAAAGTCTGCTAAGGAATATTTGGTTGAACAGTTAGACGGCGATGAATCGCTCTCCATGATTGTCAAAGGCAGAGAATTTTGGTTACTTCCGGCCGTCTTCTTGAAATTGACAACTACCGGTAGTTCCCAGTACCTTGTTTATTTTGGTGGACCCCAAAATGGTATCCAAATAATTTCTGCCTTGTTCACACGAGTAAGTTTTCCTAAACAAGTTATTCCTTGTCTATGAAAACTTGCTCGTATTTTGCGCGACCTTTATGTAACAGGATCAGGGAATCCAGAGTCTACAAAATCTGGAGTCCCGTGAAAAGGAGTCCACGTTTGAACGAGAAAACTTGTCTTCTATAGCCATTCAAAGAAAGCAATCATTTCGCGTCAGCTTTTTCTCCGTGTGAACCTGCTTTTGGTGCAGAGCAATTTTCGATATTTTAGAAGTGATCTTGAGAGAAAAAAATTTCCAAAAAACAACAAGAAAATTTAAAGAACAACAAAAGTTGATAACGAGTTGAAAAAATGCTCCTTTGACGTTAGAGGGAAAAAAAGATGACAACAGAACAACAGGCAGCCCAAACTCACGTTACGAGGGAAGGGTTTAATGTCATTTACATACCATAGGTGACGCGCCGGTGTCGCGTTACAGGCGACCGTTGAAAACGGTAAGAGACTTTGTATGAGAAATATATTACTGAGATCTGCGAACGCTAAATAAGGCTAAACCTTTACTCCTTTCATAGAACGACGTGCTATCACTTCGTAACAGTGGTTACGCAATAAAGCAAAAAAACCAGTAAAACGACAAACAGACACCAAAACGCAGTGGAATACATTGCAAGTAAGTCTTTTTTATCATGATTTCATTTAAGAAAAAGTAAGGTTTACCGTTATTTAGGGTTCGCAAATCTCAGTAATATATTTCTCATACAAAGTCTCTTACTGTTTTCAACGGTCGCCTGTAACGCGACACCGGCGCGTCACCTATGGTATGTAAATTACATTACACCCTTCCTTCGTAACGTGAGTTTGGTCGCCTGTGCAGAACTGACTCGTCCCTAGCCTGCGAACGGTAACCTGAGATCAGGCGTCTTTTTTTTTTTTTTGCTTCTTTGGCTCGAGAGGGAAAAAAAATAACGCCTGATACATTTATTTAACAAGCAGTCAACCGCCCCCTAATTTACATGATCTACCGTTTGCTTGACCTGTCATGTTTTTAGCCAATAAGCGTTTACCAAACGGGAATCAAATTTTGGCGCGAATAATGTCTCTTTTGAAATCATGATCAGTTTTAGGGGAAAAAAAATTTTTTAAGTACGTCCGTGTTCAGATGGCGCTTCGCAAAAAATAATAAAAAAAATTAATGTGATGAAATACTCTGGAGCTGTCGTACCTTTGTGAATAGCTACAAATAATAAAGAATTTACTGGTTAAAGCTCGTTGACTTCGTTCTGTACTACGAAAGCAGTGGAAAAAAAATTAGGCTGAAGCACCATATTTCACGAACTGAAAGGTGTTGTGAAAGCGAAGATCGCTCAGAATAATTCGCAGCATGATTTCTGAAGGAGGAAATACAGTCAAACCAGGTCAAGATTCCATTCATGAATTGATTATTTGAAAAGTGAACCCGTTTGTCGCTTCTGTAACTTGTTGCCAGTATCAAATTGCATTCAAATGATCGGTGAAGTTTTAACTGCAACTGTTTTGGTATACGATGAGCTGGTCAATATTTCAATGGATGAAACTTCTATTTAGGCATTCTTCAAATTCAAAGAAAACTGAGCGGGCAGAAATTTCATTTATAACGAACTCGCGTGTGTATTCACTGCTTATTACGCAAGCAAAAATGCAGACTGAAATCAACAACAACTAACGGATGGCGTCATTTTGGCCAATCGGAACAGCGCAAATCATCCGCATTGTTTCCTATCCAATCAGAAAAAAGTCCAGATTCTGGCATTTTTACATGTGATCCGACAAAGAAATGTATCATGCCCTCTTCCCGTGAGAGACATAAAGGGATAATAGGGAGAGGGCATGATCTCAGGCTATGCGAACGGCAGACGTTTCTCCTCGCTCATCGCCGCTGAGGAAAGTTTCGCGTCCCTCAGCGGCGATGAGCGAGAAGAAACGTATGTCGTTCGCACGCTAACTCGTCTCCGGTGGAGCGTCCCGCCCACCTGCTCAACACTAAGATATTAACGTTTTGTATCAATTCTCAATTTTTCTTAAAACACTCGTGAAAATTCATACCTGTTTTGTCCAAACCATAGGGAGCCCACACAATCTGTTTGTGTAGCCGACTGTTATTTTATAGTAAATGTACAGATCGTTTTCACGTGACGTCACGAAAACTTTGCCGCGTAAATATAACGCAAATAAAGTCCACATCGCAAATCGTAACCTTTCTAAAATGGATTGTTCTGACAGTGAAGCTAAATCAGATGAAAATGTTGAAGCTACGTCTTCCGTACCTCTTTCTGATCATGCTAAGAAGATGGACCAGCGAGTTAAAAAGCGCTACGAGGACAAAATCGCAGCCATTGGGATTGATCCCGTGTTACTTGAGGGCGGGCAAGCACTTTGAACCGGATTGTTTACCTCCCATGGAAGCTACAGATATTTTATCTTATTAAAAACTGAATCATTGGATAATGCAATTCTAGCATTTTGATTGGCTTAGCGGTTATGGTATATGAGCTAATATACCATGCTCTCCATATATGGTCGGTGTACGCGTCAGTTTAAAATTGGAAGCTAGCTGAGATTTTCTTATCGCGAAGGATAGAACGGCGCCCGAAGCAAATCGTTTTAATTCATTTCTTAGAATACTAGAAATGCAATTTCGTCGAAAGAAAAAAGACAAAAACAAACAAAAAAGCCACAAGAGCTTGTTTTTTTGTTCCATGTGTTTTCATGTGGCACATGAAAACACATGGAACAAAAAGTACCTTGACCAGCTACGAAAGAAGACAAGTGTTGTTTCTTCATGATCGCGAAGCCATTCGCCGATCGAGTCACTCGCCGATAGATAACTGCGGCTTGTTTATCCGACATCAAGAATATAAATCACAAGTAACCAGCTACAAATACAGGCTACGCAGCCATTCACTAGAGCAATCGAGGCGGCAGTATAGCTTCTTTTCTCGTTCAGCAAAACCAGCTTGTGGCTTCAAACAACTTCATAACAAGCGACCAAGGTAATAATTTTTCTCCGTTGTTCTTACTTTTAGAACTGCGCCGAAAATCCAAATTCACAGTAATTTCGACGGCTGTCACTTAAAAATTCTTTTCCTTCACATTATCTGCCAGGTTTTTTTAGCTGTTCTGCTGTGTAAAATCCTAGAATCCCGATGAGTTTTTAAGAAACTAATGTTCATCGCTACAATGTTTTGATATTTCATTCATGCAGTCCAGGCGAGTCCGTTCGCGCGTTGACAGTTTTGATAGACGTGTGACATGTGAATAGCGGAAGTCCCTTGTCTTTTCCGGTTTGTTCTAGTATTTTGTGGGTGTTTTTAATAAAACAATTATTCCACTCGCGCTTGTTGGATATGAAATGATTATAGCCAACTCGGCGCTACGCTCCTCGTTGGCTATCTATCATCTCATATCCAACGCGCCCTCGTGGAATAATTGTTAAATATCTAGTCTTAGAGACTAGCTACTACACGCAAAACCAATTCAAGGCTTTTAGAAGTCTCGAGGCCTACAATCAGATGGTATCAGGATTCATTGCGAGCGTCGAAGGGCACATTAGGGCTATTTATACGACGAAAAATAAGACGCGAACAGTACCATTTATACGAGCATGTCTTATCTAATAAGACGCGTCTTATTTTAGACGAAATGTGACGTTTATACGGAAAGTTCGCGTCTTATTTTTCCTCGTATAAATGGCCCTAATGTCGCAAACAAGTTCGTTGTTTTGGCAAAGGTGAGACATTCACAACGTATACTTTGATTCCTATCTGGATAATCACAGAACGAGAGGGAACGATACTTTCTGCCCATTGTTTCGGTTGCAAGGCCGGACTGGCAGAATCTTGCTCTCACATAGCCAGCGTTTTATTTTATCTTTGTCTTACCAAAAGTGACTAACTTTTGGAAAACATATGTGTTAGCAGAAGTGCTCGGTAGGTGGTATACTCGGAAGCACAATACCCCCAAAGTTGACCATCCACCAAACAACGATGTATGCTTTTGCACAACTGCTACAGATGAAGACACTGTCATCTGCTGCAACCCAGAATGTCCCATCGGAAGTTTTCACCTTTCCTGCTTACAAATTGTCAGTGTGCCTAAGACATGGTATTGTCCGAACTGTAGAACTTTGCCAAAATTCAGGCAAAAAGGAAAATGTGCTCAATCTACTAGGAAATCAAGCACACCTTCCCCTGCCTTGGCCATGCATGCCATTTGCGCATGTAAAAGCAAGCCTAATGAAAGTGACAAGCTTGTGGAATGTCACAGTTCTGATTGCAAGTACGGCAAATATTTTCATTTGTCATGTATCGGCTTAAGACGAATGCCAAATAACAGTAAAACAACCTGGATCTTTGCCAGTTGTAAAGGCAAGAAATTACAACTTCAGACTAGTTCAAGTCGACTGAGTTCTGCAGATGACATCACATTTGTAAAAGTGGTAAAAAACACTAACATTGGAATTGAAAAACAAAAACGCATTGCTAATCTAACTCAAGCAGAATGGGATATCATTACTTCACCCACTGGATGGCTAGACTGTACCATTGTCCAAGAAGCCCATGTTCTTTTGGCAAAAGTAAATCCCCTTATAACTGGCTTTCAAAGACCAACCCTTGGCCCTATAAGGCAGTTTGATATCATGATCACAGAGTTTGTCCAACTTGTCCATGTAAATAACAATCACTGGGTTTGTTTTAGTTCTATTGGGTGTGTCCCTGGACATGTCAATTTATTGAACAGTTTAGCATAATCTGTTATTTCTAGGGAAATTAGAGAGCTGGCAATGAATTTACTCGGGCCTAATTTCAAAGGAATTGTTCAAATACCAGTGCAGCAACAAAAGAATGGAAGTGATTGTGGTGTTTTCGCCATAGCCTTTGCAACATGCCTTGTTTATGGAGGAAATCCATGCACCATAACTTTTGACATTCCTAAAATGCGTCTACATTAGTTGAGGTGCCTACAGAATGGCTCAATGCAACCATTCCCTACCACTTGAATTTCTTGAATTTAATGATGATAACATTATGTTATCTTGAGGGTTGACCTACATGCATATGAAAGTACGTTGAAAGAGTAGAGCAAGTTTTGAAACTTTGTTTTGTCAACAAGTAGCATTGTATTTATTCCATGTTTAATATGACTAATCAGTTTAATATAATTGGATGAAATAACCGGAGTCAAATGGGAAACTAAAACTGATCATTTACAACTGCCTAACTTTATGTTTACTGCGCCTGGCAATAAACTTTCTGTGCTTCAAGCTTGCAATATAGGTTCAATGTGTTGTTTGCTCCTGTTACAATGCTAGTAAGTGATTTGATTTCATTTTTACTAAGGCCCCAAGTGACTTCTGATAAACTGCTAGATTCTCCTTCAAATTGCACTGTATTTTCTTGTGAAGCAAAAGTAGAATTTGACATTTACATCAAGAGTCACTTAGGGTCTGGTCATTGGAAACCTGTTTTATGATGTAACATTGTTAATCAAGAGGAACAATGCCTGGACATAGGTTAACAAGAGCAGCACATACAGTAATAATACGATCAATCATGGGCACTGCTTCTTCCTTGGAGCCTTAGAGATTGCATATAGGAAAATCAATTGGAAGAATTCCATATAGAATAGAGTATTTCCTGCGGAGGAGACCAATCACTCTTTCGACATGTATCCTTACATTGGCAATACCCCTTGTCCTCTCAACATCTACTGGGTCGAGCTGGTCCTTAGCTTGTGAATGCTGGAATAGCCAGTTGGGCCTGATGGAACATAAGACTTTCTTGTATGGTAAAACCACGACCTGACTGTATTGTGGTTCTTATAGGAGGAGAATGTCTGTGCCCTGGCATAAAGACCTGACGGGCGATTAATAAAACTTCAAAACAGTCAATAATAACAGTTACTTTTTTCCCAAAAGAATCCTGAAAACACTGTGGCATTGTGCGCCACAGGTCTTCTCGATCAGGCCAAGACACTAATGGTGAAAGTCTGACATCCAAAGCAATCATCCAACTAGAAAAAACTCGAGATACTGTCGAGAGGGAAACACCAAAACGAAAGGCCAAGTCTTTCAGTGGCATGTCTAGTTTCAACTTCATCAGTCTCAAGGCAAATTCTTGAAATTTTGTCAAAGTTAAAGTGTCACGAGATACATGAGGGGAAACGTGAAGAAAAACAGCGTTTAAAATATCGAAGGAAGGCAGCCCTGCGTAAAATCTAACTTTATCCTTGTTATTGGCAAACTCATGTTGATCAAATGCCTTGTGATCTTTAAGTGATGGCGTGAATAAATAACCATATTCCTCCGACTGAATGCCAGTTTCTTTGCAGACAACTTTCTCAGTTTGAATTCCCTTTTAGTTCGGCGTTTCCTCGATCTGTTCGTCAAAATTAAAATTCACATCTGCGATTTGGTGGCCAGGTTCGCTAAGATTTATCATCTTGGCGGTCCTCTCGGCTTCAAGCTCTTTTTCCCTTTGTTCTTGTGCGGATCTTTTGATCTGTTCACGATCCCTCGCTCTCTGGCTTCGCTTTGCCGCTTTCTCCAGGTTTTTGGGACCTACTACTTTCTTAGAGTGCCCTAAACACAGTGTTGGAACCCAGTCAACGTTAAATCTATCCCAGCCTTTGGCAGCCTTACCAGATACAAAGTGCCTTCCACAAACACCGTTTAGGGTTGCCACTGCTTAATTGAGTCATTCTAACTGGTATTTTAGATTTTGGCAAAATAAAGCTGCTGTCAAGATTCTTTTGTTGTTTTCTTGTTGTTTGATGGTTTGTTTATTTTTTTTTATTTCTGGTTGAGGGAAACGTCGCATGATAAACGGGCGGAGTTAGATGTAGCTGATGGGAGCATTTTTGACAGTTCATGCAGGCTTTTACTGACCTAATTTACTGCTTTTCAGGACCTGTTTCTCAGAGGAAGTTGATTATTCATTGTTTTCCTGTCTGATTTGCTTTCTTTGCCGGCCTGTGGTTGTCACAGTTACAAAAGGCATGTTTTCAAGATTTGACTGAGAGGCGCGACAGTATATATGGCCTCCTGTCATCAGGTTAAACTACACACTATGACTTGAGGCTTAAACATTTTTCTGGTTATCAATGACATGAATGAAAAGGAAAGGTTCTGAAGAACTGTTGTTGTTATACATGTTAGCGAACACTACTGTTTTCCATAATTCGTGTCCTGAATAACACTTGAATGAAGTTTTAAAATACGTTTCTTTTACATCTTCTTTATGATCCTGCCGAAAAAAATATCTAAATATATGAAAGAGTTCAGGTGTGTTAGTTGGATATATTTCTTTGTCATCCAGACTCTTAAATCAAAAGGAGGATTCTTTTTAGTGGCTTGGAGTTTATTATGCTTTAATTGCTTTCATAGAAATAGGTATATCGCAAACCCTCGCGAAACCAGCTGTTGCACACGACATGTTAAGACCTACAAAGAAAGCTGGCAAACCATAGAATTACCTCCCAAACGGGGATGAGTAAGACTAGCATTCGCAAAACGCTAACAAGAAACTCTGGCTTTATAATGTAAATCGAGGAACTCTAAGGGTACTAGTACATTAGCTAACCCAGGTCAATCCGAAAGACTGGGCAAACTCACTACATAATTAAGTGACTTTCAGTTAGAGCGAAAACATCAACGGCATATTTCGTCTGAAATAAGACTAGCCTTATCTAACAACAGGTGTTAACGGATGTTTTTATATAGGACGTACCTTAGCAAAGTCAAGGGGCACCCAACGAGAATATAGTTCAAAACCACTTAAACATAGAATTGTTTAACGTATTTTAGTATTTAAACGGTAGATATAGGCATATTTTTATCCCCTAAAAATTTTTCATCTGTTCGGATTTCTTAGCTGAAAGTCAAGTGACCCGAAAATTATAGGGATCAAAACTTACTTTTTCGAAAATTTTAGCCAGAATAAAGGCTCCCGAAAATTCTAGGTGGCCTTTTTAGGGTAAAAATCCGTTAAAAATAGGCAATTATACCATTTTTTAGATGTCCGAAAATCCTAGGAGAGGCAGGCAAGCAAGAAATTTTACAACAAATGTTCGGAAAATTCTAGATCTCAGATCGTCTTCCGAACAGACATTTTTCCGAAAATTGTCCTTGGGTGCCCCTGAAAGTCGCGTCGCAGCTAAATTTCATACGACATGAACCGTTTATACAGGACAGTTTGCGTCTTATTTAGGATGCGTGTTATTTTTCCTCGTATCAGCCCTATCTTCATTCCTTCGAAAATCAACGAAGTGAAAAGGCCAAATTGAAAAACACAAACACACAACAGTTCGGAATCAAGAGTTGAACTAACTGAGACGTTGAAATTAATAGAAAGCGATTGCAACCTAAGTAAGCAAGAAAAGGTTTTTAAACTTGTTCGGCAACAAAAAGTACACTTTTGTGGTTTTGAACTTTTTTAGCGTATTACAATCTATTTAACCAATAGACCACACTTTCTGTGGGTTTACCGGCATGATAACCCACGCGGAATGTTAGGAGAACACGAGAAAAGCTTGTACATCAAGAGCCAAAGGAAAGTGATTTACAAGCTTTTCGAGTGTTCTCCCAACATCCCAAGTGGGTTATCACGCCGGTAAATCCTCAGAAAGTGTGTTCTATTGCTTTTATAAAGTAGCTTTAAGTTTTCTATGAGTTTACCAACACAATAAACCATAGGTTTTTAACCAATCAGAACGCGCGTTCTATCTTACTATATTTTATGATAGAAAATATATCAGGTGTCACAGAAGAGAACAATAAAACGTGAACAAATATTGAGAAGCTAAGGGGAAACTGAGTGAGGAACAATTAGTAGATAAAAAGTGCTTATCGTAGTTGATAGATTAAATAAATAGAGGCCAAAGAAACTAAAACTTTCAAACAGCACGTAGTATTTTACTATTCATTTGCGACATTAAAAACGCCCAAACATACTTCTAAACATACTTCCAAACATACCTCCTAATTAAAATCGTTTCTTTTTAATTCAGTTTTTGTTTAGGTCTTAGAAGAGTGCAACAGTACATATTCCTCGGCTTTATGCATGTCAAAAGTATTTTTTGAGATTTCGTCCACATTTTCCTACTGAATACATGTTGTCTTTATTACATCTAGTGTTCCACTGTGTTTGATAAATAATTTATCCAATATAAATATTTTCTGAGCCATTTCTTTTAAAACGTATCCGCCGCTGAAAATTTCCCCCCTGGTCAGTTCATTTTTAGATAAAATTGCTTTTTACTGTGAGTGGGAAGAAAAATCTGACGCAGAATATATCGCTAACAGGAAACTTTTTAATTTAGAACCAGCAGATTACTCATTTCGTCTCAATTTTCTTGCCTAGCGTGTTTACACAATGAACCATGTTTTAAGTCCTCAAGCGTGGCCTAAATATGACCAACTGATGCCTATAATTAATTTTTTTGATAAGTTTTTTAGTAAAAAAACAACTGCGAGTTTGGTTTAATGGTACTAGCTCTTTTATTAAAGGGTTTGTTGCTTGGTAGTACTAATAACCTGACCGTAGGTCTGATCCTCTTTACCTTTTATGTAATGGAAATATCACACTAACACTGAAAAAACTAAAACTAAAATCATAGACATTTCTTTTGCCGATCAGCTGACAAGGGTAAACACCTCAATCAATTCAACCAACCAATTAAGTTCCAATTGATAAGATTATTTCAAATGAATTTATGATTCAACTACAATTAAAGTAGACTGTGATCAAAAGTCGCTCAGAGATGAAATGATAAAAAAAGAACACAAAGAGTCTAAGGAAAGTTATTTAAAGAACGGGTGGAAATCAGACTTCAGTTATTTTAATGCCAACCCAAGCTTTGCAGCAAAACTACCATAGAAAGAGTTAGAAAGGTAAGATATGTCCAGTCATGGGTCAAATTTTGATTTCATGTTAAAATTTTTATCCTATTGTAGGTTTTTCTCCTGAATCTTTTGTCTCCTAGGGCTATGAGACAAAGGAAATTGAAAATCAATATGTATGTATGTAACATCAAATTTGACCTCTAGTATACTTTTCATTTTCCAAAACATCTATTTTTCACTTTTCTGTTTTTCTTTCGTGCTTTTTCTACAATTCAAAGTCATTAGTTGTTATTTCTCTGTGTTCTTCAGTTCTGGAACCAGCTTGTAAATCTTGAATGCAATCTTAATATCGTCAGTATAAATTGCGTGACATGTAGATTATTAAATCATTCTCAAGTACACTTTATCTCCTTGAAATGAAATGGCATTTTTCAAACAATAGCGCCCCGTTCTGGCTTATTCAATTATAAGTAGCCACATAGGAGAGCAATTAACTATTGTATTCTTGGTTACTCGGTGCAAGGCAATCTTAGCGCTTGCCACGCGATCAAAGAGCCCCCGGGCAAAGAGCTTACTCAGGAGAATAACAACATGACTGCTTCAAGCCGTAGAAGATCGAAGACAACAGAACTAAAAAATAAAAAAAAAGCTGAAATGAGCAAAACTGAAGAAGATAAACAATATACTGGAGAAACAGTGGCACACTAAGATTTCAAGTTGTTTGAAGTTCAGTTTGTTAGTGAACTTGTGACTCTAAAGTGCTCTACCAATCACTCCAGACTTTACCCCGATTCAGTTGATCTACTCTCATCAATATTCACACTTGAAAGTGTTAGATCAGGGAAACAAGTGTTTATTGTTTGTTATTATTACAGCTAATTCAATCCACAATGATATCACAAGCTTCAATGCTGGATCTTTGCCCTCTTGTTTGTGGCAAGCATATTTACTAAAAGCGAAAGTTTTCAAGGAAAAGGTGGGGTCATGAGAAACGGCAAACGAAACACCAAACTGCAGGTCAGAAAAATTTCGCCAATAAAACCTTTGCTAAATTTAAAACCTTTACTCCTTTACTTACTTAATATTTTAATATTTTAAACCAGCCGTTGCTGTTCACACACAGTCATTCATGATTCAAGTTACCTAAGAACTGCTTCGAATCGCGTCAGCATTTTAAGATAATTAAGACGATAATGATGATGATGATGATAAAATAAATGTCGCTAGTGCGGATATCTGAAATACGTGTCTATATGC